CTCAGGAGCATGTAACATTTTGCCCCATTTTCCAATGTTAAATAGTTTGGAACGCTTTTAGATAACCTCCAGTTCAAAAGCTGTTTTAGCATTCAAAACGAAACACTGGCTTCATATTATGAGTTCAGAGAAAGGAATTCCTTGTTTGTGTGGAAATATGGAAAAGAAAAAATTTGTTATTTCGTAATAAAATATTTATTATGTATAAACTGAAATTAGAGATTTTCTCATATTTTGGAACTCGATCACAGCCCACATGGATAATTGAGTTTAGTCATATGGAAATTAATGCGATTTGCATCAAAACCCAAATTTGCAATATTTAAACTTTCTCCATAAAACTTGCATAATATTTAAGTTTACATATTATATTATTTAAACTTTCGCAAATTCATATCACCAGTTTCCTGGAAATGTTGGGAAATTGTGTTTCAATTTTGAGGTGAATCTTTCCTCTTCGTCTGCTCAGATAAGTAAACAAATAAAGCCACACTAAATTTTGTCTCGTATTCGCAATTTTCAATTCCAATCGGAACTCAGACATACGAAACGATGATTACGAAGGCCTATTCGTCGGGATGCAACCTTCCATCCACGGAATGAAATTGAAGATATTGTGTTTTAATACCTAGAACCGTGTGGTTACGGTTTACATTCTCCAATCATTTCGTCATTACTGCTGCCGGATACGCGGTGGCCGCGGAAGCCGTGGGGACATGTGGGGAAGTTAACATTGCAGGATAGGGGGGACGGGTTTGTATAACATGGGGAGATGATGGGGGCATCGAATAATAGGGGGGACATTGACCCACGCTTCCGCGGCCACTGCGGACATACGTAGGTATGCATGTAACAGACTTATGTAGACTCCACTGTCCTCCAACTCCAACTTTTGACCCATTTAGTTGCACAATGGCCTTCGAAATTATTCGCTCATTTGATCCGATCATTTTGAATTTTAGGAGACCTAACTCTAAATATTTTCGAAGCTCTAGCTTTCTTTTCACGGGAATATATTGTATGAGACAAGAATGATGTTGGAGGAAAGCTGCGATATTTTGTGGGATAGATTGCTTTCATGAGAAATAGCGTGCTCTTTCCTTCCTTCATATTATCACATTTTGGTCAAGTTTTTGTGCTTACCAAGAGAAGTGAAACAGTGTTTCGTTACGAAACTTTCGTAAATCTAATTTTTAGACCTCTCACTGTCCAAAAAAATTTTTGGCGTCCAAAATTCATAAAAGTGACAAAATAACAGAATGGGGCGATATGTTACAAGGTCTTTATTTACGACTTTTTTGCAAATTTATGCACAGATATGTAATCTCCCCTTAATTTTGAGCACTTTGGTCAGTGTGTAATATCACAAAATTTGGAAAACTTTAGTTTTAGCATGCTTTTCCTATTAGAAATCAGAAAATTTTGTAAACCATGTCGTATTACACATCAAAATCCTCAAGATTAATACGAGATTACATATATGCCAACTGATTATCGAAAGATTCAATAATGAAGAACTTGTAACATTTTGCCCCATTTTCTATTTTGAGCACTTTTCGATTCTTCAGACCTCTAAAATTAGGTGTTCAAAACTTGTTAAAACCTGTTTTTTACGGTTGTTTTGGCCAGTCGTTAAAACCATAACGAAACCCTGATAAAGGGTTGAGCAGTGAAAGTATTTTTAGTGGAGAAAGCCTGCATGTTCTTGAATAAGCGAGTAACTTGGTGCAGTAAAAAGCAGGATAGATAACTAACAGACACATGTAGGGACACACATGTGCATAAAAATCGTTTGTCAACTCAGCGAAATGTCAACATGCCGCAGTGATCTCGTTTAGAATCGAGCAGGTCATCATTTACGTTGCAAAAGAGGGAAAATTATGGCAAAGCTATTAAATTTTACGAAGTTCCAGGCACAATTAAACACACAATAAAATCGGGAAAATATGAGAATCGTTGCATCGTAATTAAACTAATTGGGGAGATTTGGTAACTGGTACGTGCATTAAAATGGTGTAGTTTATTTGGATACAATACAATGCTTATCTGGGTATGGAGATAACCTAATTCGGCTTTTATAAGCGCTGCTGCTATCAAATATTTATTGGGCATGCAGCAATAATTTTTGCAGCCTGGTTCAGCAAAAGTTTATGCATACTTAAGGATGAATCTCGCCTGGAAAAATTTGCAGCAACTTTTAGATTATTCATTTCGGAATCCGGTCCGCTTTGAATAAATTAGTCCGTGCAAACCTCCTTTTTCTGGTTTTGTGCAGCATCCGAACCATCCCATTTTCCGAAGTTATGTAAATATACGTAGGAAGTGCCAATCATATATATCTTTTTAAAGTTACGTGTTCGAATAATTTACAAAAATCAGTCTAAAACTTACAATGGAGATTTAGCAGTGAATGCTCTCCAATTTTGACGAAACTAGTGGCAATCGATCACAAATTTAATAAATATGAAATTTGCAAAGGACACGATCTCCCAATGGGCACGTTTGGCAGAGATATTTGCATCGGAAGAGGAGAAAATGCGCAGTAAACTTCGAAAGTGTACAATTTTTCGACTTTAGGGCACGTTTTCTCCTCTTCAGATGCAAATAGATATCTCTACCAAACCTGTTTGGAAATAGTGCCTTTTGCAAATTTCATCCAAATTAAATTTGTGATCGATTGACACTAATTCGCTCAAAATCGGAGAGCCTACACTGGGAAACCTCCATTGTGAGAATATGGACGAAAAGCTCTTGTTTCAATAGCACTTTACTTCTGCATGTATCACGTTGATTTTCGTACATCGTCATTGCCAGTGTATAATATTACTACGAGAAAGCCAATACCCAGCCTGCCTGGAGGGAAGTGGTGCTTGACTTGATTCTGCATTTACCAGAATGAGAACACTTTACGAAAAGTGTAAGAATATGGAAATTGATGTCAATGAAATTAATAAACATGAATGAATACATTTCTTTGAAACGCCACTTGTTAACTTTGCTTCCCTTTGTCACCCAATTTTCTCACCACGCCAGACCAGACATATCCCACGGCAAATAATGAAGTAATTCGCCGTCAAAGAAGGATGGACGCATTTGTCGTAGCCACAACTTCATTTTGTAGCAGGTTGCCAATAGTTTGGTACAATTTACGTTTGAAACGTATGTACCAACACGGAAATAAATGGGCGCAGATTTACTGAGAAAGTGTGGCGGTTAGAGAAATTGATGAACACCTGTTTAGGTAATAATTCTATTGTACATTCGTCCACGTGTGTGTATTGTACACCTACACCTGACATCATCCCACGCATTTCACTTATTAACGAGTTTTTTTCAGTGTTTCGGGGGAAAGTAGCCACGTGCACGAAATAACGGGGCGAAAGTGGTTTTTTGCAGGTATTTTGAGGTGCAAGAAATGCAAGGTGCAAGAAACTACGTTCCTTCATACAGCACGTGGCTATGCAGATGGCGCATATTTTTTGCACTTTTTTTGCAATTTCTTGCACCTCGATTTTTTTGCGTGGCTTGCTTTGCAGAGTAATAAATGTTGCAAACCCGCAAGAAACGAAGCACTGCGTTCTTTTACTGGGTTTATGCGAGTTTCTAGTTTCAAAAAAAGGTTATCTAAGGCTAGGTTTCTAATTTCACGGAAAGCCAGAGCAAGTAATGTAGATGGAACAGATACTAGAATTTGACAGCCAGCATAGAAATCCAATAATCCAATGTATTTTACAAAGCTATAAATATATACTGCATGAGGTTGTCAAGTCACGTTATCTCGCACGTGTGGGAACAAAAAGAATGTTTGATATTTCAATTTGTACTTCAATTCCAGATCGGAAATTGTTTTTAAATTCGTTTTACAAGTGAAGCGTTATCCATTCAGAAAAAAACAGGTAGGTAGCATCCTGTCAAATCACATTATATAAGTTCTGGAAAACAAATTACACCAATTTTCGTCATAATTGTGACGCTTTGGTTTAATTGAATTTGAAGAAAACAAGGTAACATTTTTGGAAGCCTTGTGCTATCTGCACAAATGTGGTTCAGGTGGTCGTGTGGTGCTCAAAAATAACATATTTTGACTACGCATATATTTCAAGTTGATTAAACTCGAGTTCTTTTTTCTTTGAGAAATGATACCTTCAAACCCACGCACTAAATTGCAGAGACGCGCAAAATACTTTGTGGATTTTGTTATTCCAAGGGTTTGGATTTCCGCGGGTCCACACCCACAAAAAGACGAGAATCTGCGTGGAGGAAACAATATTTGTACGAAAATACAGGTTTTTGAAGAAATTAACTTTTTATCGCTGTCAAAGTACTTTATTTTTAAAGAATCACGAAAACAATGTAGTTTGACAGCGATAAAAAGTTAATTTCTTCACAAAACCTGTATTTTTGTGTGATTGTTCTTTTCTCGATGCAAATTCTCGTCTTTTGTGGGTGTAACAGCCCCGGAAGCCTAAACCCTGGGAAGAACGGAGCTAAAGATACTGTATTTTGACAAAGTATTTTGCCCACCTCTGAAATTTAGTGTGTGGGTTTGAAGGTATCATTTCTCATGAAAAAGAACTCGATTTAATCAACTTGAAATATATAAATCTTTCACACGTTTTGACAAAGTATTTCGCCCACCCCTGCATTAAATTGGCATACTTTGAGCTAACAAATGGCGAATGAACAGCAGATACACACACCGCGTTGAGCTGAGTTCGTTATCTAACTAAACTTGGCCTGAAATAGTATAGATGCAAACATGTCACAAAGTATGGTTTTTAAATAATGGTTGATGCTATTATTAGATTTCTAATAATACGATAAAGTTCTTCTCATTATGTATGTATGTAAATTAGCTATATAAATATTACGCAGGGGGAGAAAGTTGAGTCTCATAATGCCCATTACGTAACACGTACATATTCCTTTCTCTAATCTCATTTTTGCCTGGTAAATGCTGGATTATAAATACCTACTGAATATAAAATTGAGTTTCGAACCTTTGATCAATCAGCAGGACGACGTTGTCGACTCGGAAACTTCAGGAACTAGGGGCATCTTAATAAATCAGGTTATTCGTTCAAGAGATACGACGAAAATGTCAAAGAAATCAAGAATGCAGTCCAACTTTAAATTATTTTTTGGTTATTAAATCATAAACTAATTTCGAAAAAAGTTACGTCTTTGAGGCGACTTTCTCGTTTTATTATTCTGCTTCTTGCCTCCGCTTAATAATTTTCCTGAATTTTTGTCCAAGTACAAATTACTTATGTAACTTTCTACATTTTTACACAGTTCGAAAGTGCACCACTTAAACAATGATCACGATTAAACAAGTCTCCTAAAATACTTGAACCCACGAATCTACTTATCCTGCAGAAGTAAAAAGACTGACTCCGAGCAAGAATTTGCAAGACTTTGTCAATTTCACAGAGAGAGAAAGTTAGTTGTCGTTTTCTTTGAAATGTTCACACTTTGCTCTATTTTGAAATGAGATACGAGTCTAAATAAGTATCTGAAACAACAACAACGGGATTGTTTCACGTCGTCGCGGTGCTTGGTTTTCTCGGCGTGGTGAATGTACGTATACTCCTTCACATTGCGACTAAATCGAGTTTTGTCCTAGTTGAAGAATTGAATTGAAGTCACTTATTTAACACCTTCTTTATTTTATTGGTGGCGGTGGTTGGTTGGTATTGTGTCCTTGTTGCTTGTGTAGTTTGGCGTCTCGAAGTAGTTGCCGAGTGGTTTGGTTTTGATCAAGTCACAAGTAGTTTTGCGAGTGAAGAAAGCGGAGAAAGCGAGGAGAAAGACGAGACTCGTGAAGTGCTCTGGAGAAAGTCTTGCTTCACTCCAGCCCTGGTCTGGTCTGAGACTGGGCTGAATTTGCCCATTTCACTCTTGGTGTTGCCTTTCTGCCTCGTAAAATAAGGGAAATAAGAGGGGAGTAAGTGGAGAAAGGGAAAGCTCAGTGTGCTCGGACTGAGTGACGTCCTGTTTCTGAAAATATGTGTATGTGCATATGATACGATACGGTTCTGTCTCTTTCAGGGGAAAGTTCTTTCGCTGTGATGGTGATCATTGTGCAATTAAAGTTATATTTCACTGTCAATTCCATCAAAAGTTTGAGCCCCACTTTAATTCGAGCTCTTTTGTTAAGCCAAATCAAACGGGGCGAGAACAATGGGAGAAAATTACGGAGTGTGGGGAAAAGTTGGAAATATGTTATTTTAATATTTTAATCGGGTTTGTAATTAATAGGTTTTTGGAGACGGTGTGAGTAAAGTCGTATAAATTTTAGAGGTATTGTACTCAAGTTATAATGAAAATACGTAATAAAAATCTGGTAGAGTGAGATATACACTCCGTACTGGTACTGATGTGGCAATAGATAACTTATTACTACCGGATTGGTAGTAGTTTGTTTCTGCGTGGTAAATTTTTCATTACCACAACATTACTATAGGGTTCTGCCCCTTATTACCAGGGGCGGTAGAGTCATACATACATACATATGACGTACATATGTGTCAGTAATGATTTAATACCAGTTTTCTAAGAGTGTGCATAGCAGAAAAGTTAGTAATATTTTTGAGAGTATGGTAGATCCGTCTTATTTTTTTGTCAATTTTGCTACGCGAATTATTTAAGAATATGAATGCGTAATACGATCGAGTGAGACAAGGATCCAAGACGAATGTTATGTAGTGCAGATTGGTGCGTGTACTACACAGTTTAATTTACTGAGCTCGAATTTCATTTCATTTCACTTCATTCCTTGTCCTTTAAGAAAACGGGACCCACATCTCAGCCACAACTACATACTACAAATTTCTATAGCAGTAGTCATTCCAGCATAAATTAAGGAACCCGCAGCAGCACTAACCAGTCAACGCAAGAGAGATCCGATTTATGACCCAGGACACAATAGACGAGAGAGTATTAAGAATGCCAAAATAGATTTACATACAAATTCTCCAGCAAATCTGCATTGTTTCAAGAAAGTAAATTGAAGAAGAAGACGACGCCGTAAAAGGTTGTGTGTGGGTGAAAACAGATAATGGTTGACATTCTGAGGTGACTTTATGTAGTTGCACTTTACATACGTGAGAGAGTCCCAATTTGCAAGACAGGACATGAAATTAAGGACTTTCTACTTTCTCTCGCGAGCTGAAATCACTCATTATCCACGAGAGAATGGTGACGAGAAAGGCCGGATGAAGTGACGGAATTAGTTTACAGATCACTGCGTAATTTTGTCCTCGGGGATACGTAACAATGACAAATGGAAGATGTGCATGTTTAGATAGATGCCGGAGTGTCTCCTACTTGAGTGATTTGTGGCAGTGCCGCGGGGAAGCTGTGGGGACGTTAACATTGTAGGATGGGGGGGGGGAGGGGTTTGTATAACATGGAGAGATGATGCGGACACCGAATAACCGTGGAGACATTGTCCCTCTGTCCCCACGCTTCCGCGGCTACTGATTTTGAGACATTTCACGTTATATAATGTCTGCAATATTGTTTTATGTGGTGATCATTCAAAGGGAAATAGATAAGGGGCAAATCTTTCCAGGAAATGGATACATTTAACGACGCTAATTAGTATTATGTCGAAAATGATGTAACTTGGGCTGTTAATGCACTTGATTACTCGAGGGAAATTTATATATAAATACATATTTATGCAATTCAGGAAACAAACCTCGTCCGGAATTAATTATATTTTGAGTTTTATGCAAATGGATTAGTTCATTATTAAGTGATTCATATGTGCACTTTATAAAGTCTCTAAACACTTAAGCAAACATTAATTATTTAGTAAGTGCAGATTTCAATTGTTTTACGAAACATTGAAAGTTTTCAAATGGTACAAACTACAAAATAAACTTTACGTTCGTCACACATCATACTTATTTGTTTATGCTTGAACAAAGCTTTTATCCAAAAGGTGTGTCCGTCTACTTAAAAGGAAATGTAGCCTGAAATGTCTGAGTTTGGACTAGTTTTACACCACAATCGCATTTGGAAATTACTGGACAATCTTTAAGCATATGATTTAATTCGGGCAGGTAATCTAGTAGAAAGTACATTACATGAGAAATCCATAGTCTATCGAACAAATTCTCTCGTCTAGCCATGCAGCAGTGGCCGCGGAACAGAGGGACAATGTCCCCACGGGTATTCGATGTCCCCATCATCTGCCCATGTTATATAAACCCCTCCCTTCCCCTATCCTGCAATGCTAATGTCCCCAGATGTCCCCACGGCTTCCGCGGCTACTGCTATCAGCACTTGTATCTCGGCCCATGTTTCAGCCAGTGACCGCGGAAGCGGTGGTGAGGAGAGAGGAACAATGACCCCACGGCTATTCGATGTCCCCATCATCTGCCATGTTACATAAACCACTCCCTTCCCTATCCGACAATGTTAATGTCCCCACGGCTTCCGCGGCCACTGCTAGCCTTTCCAGTTACTTAATACTGTTTTGTTCTCGGAAGCTCAAATTTTCCCTGTAGTGTTACGTACGCATTAGTCGTGCTATTGTTCCACCAAGCAAAGCATGATGTATGTAATTGCATGTGAAGAAGTCGTAACACAATAATTAATTCCTGGAGTTTGCTGTGTGCGCCATCCTGTAATTCGTAATATCTGTATCAGTCGTCCGTCCCTTTTTGATTACTTTTGCTGAAATTCAGTGAACCTGAATTTCTCCTGAAATCTGTTACACAATGTATTTACTCAATTTTGCAATAAGAGGATCTCTGAAGTATTTATCATCGGGATAGGTGGGAAATAAATTTCAATCAAATGTTGATTCACAACGTGGGCAGGATATATGTGATGGAAAATCAGACCAAAATCCGGGATTTGAAGTATTTGATACTCTATTGTTTAGTGGTTTTAGTGGCTGGAAGAATAAAATGAAGGTAAAGATGGATGCAAAAATTTTCCCGTTTTCACAGAATGACATTGGTAGAATAATTGTCTCAGACGTATTGCGCATTATTCTCAGACGGACTTAGATTTTTCATGAAGGTTTGTTCAACATCAAGGTCTATTGGCTTAAGAGTATCGTTAGTAAATCTGTGTATTGTACAAGTTGTATGCTTAGATTTGTATTGTTTTTCTCTTACATATTTCAATTTAAGTAAAAACCTTGTTGTTCCAGCTTCTAGTTGTATGTATGTAAGTAATTCACATTTCTGGAGAAATTAAAATCATTTGTTTGATAAGAAAAACCAATTTGACATTTTTTTCAATTTTCAGATTTGGATATTTTTAAATTTCTCTGAAACAATAAAATATAAGATTTTCAATCTTGCTTATAAAATAGATCTTACACATTATTTACTATCAAAATATGTTCAAAGGTTAATAAGCTCCATTTTAAGGATTAAGTTTATCGTTATAAGTTCCATTTCCATCTTAATAATATGCAAATAATGGATAAATTGTGCAAAAAAATCTCAAAATTATTAAATTTGATCTACAAATGTAGTCCAAATCGGCGAATATCACTTCATGCATCAGTTTTGATATGTGGATCAAAAGGTGAAAGGGTGAAACACGCCTTGTTTTTTGGTAATAAAAGAATAAATCGTTTTATTAATAGCAACATATGTAACTTATTTCCAAAAATATCGAAAATGTTTAATAAATTGTCTCAAATGTGACGAAATCCCTAGAATATCACGGTTGTACACCTACTACTACAAGAATAATGAACCAACCCACTCCCACTGGAAATCAATTGAATAGATACCCATGTCCTTCCACGTGAATTATTTACTCACGAAATTTGATCTTCTTTACGCAAATGCCATTTCCAAAGAAAATCCCATTATTATTGTAAGAGAAGCAATACGTATGATGACGCAGGAAGGTGGTGACATTTACTCAACTTATTTACACTTCTGCACCTCCGTAACTTTGAAATAAACAATAAAAAAACTTAATGCTAAGATTTGATCTAATTTTTTCCCCTCGTCAATATTTGCTTCCAATTAAAACTTCCCAAGATGGCGAAGAAAGACAAACGAAGAAATAAATCCAATTAAACGTGTACGGGTTACGAGGTACAAACAGTGACCGCGGGAGCTTGAGGGGGTAGAGGGACAATGTCCCCACGGTTGTTCGATGTCCCCATCATCCCCCCATGTTATATAAACCCCGCCCTCCCCTATCCTACAATGTTAACGTCCCCAGATGTCCCCCTGGCTTCCGCGGCCACTGGGTACAAAGACTCAAAATTAAGAAAGTGTTTACTGTATCTGTTAAATTTTTTTGCTCAAGTGCATTCGTTACATGGAAGAAATCATGTTCTTGCATTTGCTTTGCTCGCATAATTTGTTGTCTTAATAACTGCGACGACTAAAACAAAGAAATGCGTCTCAACTCAACTATTGAAAGTTGGGAGAGAGAAATGTATGGCTTTTTTGTGAATCTGGGTCACATTTTAAAGTTGATTCGAATGTATCATGATGAGCATTAAAAAAATTGAAAATATCGATGATTCAACGTCAACTTAGAAAGTAATGTGTGTATGAATGAAGCACATGGGTGGCGAGTATATATGTGCATATTGCAGATAATAAATATCTAGATTTGATCTTGAATCTGGATCTACGAGTAAAATGGGCTGACTTCTTATAATATGCTCTTCGGCAGGGGTGGGCATAATACTTGATCAAAATACAGTGTTTTGAGCTCCGCTCTTTCCATTATTTAAATTTCTAAGGCTGTTACACCCACAAAAAGATGAAAATCTGCATCGAGAAGGCAGCAGTCATGCGAAAATGAAGGGTTTCTGAAGAAATTAACTTTTTTATCTCTGTTAAAATACTGTATTTTTTTAAATCTTGAGAACAATGTATTTTGACAGCGATAAAAAGTCAATTTCTTAACAAAACCTTAATTTTCGTATGACTTTTATATTTTAATTAAATTCTCTATGTAGATTCATTTTGTGGGTGTAACACACCCGGAAATCCAAACCCTGGGAAGACCGAAGCTCAAAATATTCTATTTTTCCAAATTATTTTGCCCACCCCTGTTCTCCGGCAATATTCACCCATGCAGACACAGACAAGAAAAAAGTGATACATATATTTGCCTGCAGTACATACACATAAAACTGAATTATGGAAGAATAGTAGACTTGCATCGCAAAAAATACCGGTACGACTTTTCTGAGACGCACGTACGATTCTACCAAAAAACTATGTCAGTACTATCACCAATCGTATAATTAATGGGTGCAATAATCCGACCATTGACTCCAATTAATCGCCCAGAAGGTAACAAGTAACAACCATTAAAGGGGAAATCCTATCCAAGTGTGAGGATTTAATTAATAAATTATGCAAATTATGTGAACTACATCATACCTACGCACATAGATAATTTCGTCATACAAATATTAAGATGCACACGTTTAAATTCGAAACAGGTCTAATTTATCACGACTACCGGTAAAATGTGAATGAACTACATAATTGCAACTTGACTTATGTACATTTGCTATGTCTGCCACAAGTTCAGAGTTTTACTTACTTATTATGTGACATACAGGTTCAAGTGGTTGGTTGGTGGTAAGATAAATGCATTTGACTGGTTTGTTCGTTTGTGGGTAAAATTATGATCCGTTACTTGTGATGCAAATTGCAGCGATTATTTAGTCAGACAACACGTTAAACAACACATTCCTGAAGATGAGTGAAAGCGAGAGTGGAGTGAACATACATAAGCTTCACCAATTAAATATTAATTAATTAGGATATATTTTCCTTATGGTACTGCAGAAATGTGCAATTGATGTATTTCCGCTGTCGTATAACAATTAAAGAAGGACAAGTGCACGAATAAATAGGTATGAAAAGTTGAAAGTTCATTAACAACTAGTCAGAATTATTGATATGATGAAGGCGTTCAATTATGTATATTTCAAAATATAATTAGTTTTTACTGAAAATTTGTATGTACAATTTGCAAGAATTTTTATTTTATTGAAATTCACAAATTCACTGGTCTAAAAAAGTTATGAATTTTTGACATGATATGTTCAATTATATTTCGAATTTCGAAATGGAAACTTAATAATTATTTAGTTTTTATTCAAATCATTTATAATTTTATTTAGAAATTTTATTTTATTTTATTGAAATTCAGAAGTCGTCTGATAAAAAGTGCCAAATTGGGATTTCGTTGAAGGAATTAAAAACGTTTTTATTTTTGTGACATGATAGATTTATCGTGCAAAAACTAAGCCAGTCAAGATTTACAACTGACAACGAAGATGCCACTCCTCGTTACAGAAGAACGCATTGAAATCGCTCTCATGAATAGTAATGGGTTTACGAAAGAAGAAAGTGAACTTGAATTTATTAAGTAAATGTTTGTAGATAATAAAACTGTTTCATAAAGTTTTTTAGGAATTTTTTTCCCAAGGGAGAAGACCCAAACAATGAAAAAAAGTGAGATTATGGGCATCTTTGTGAGTTAATTGTATTATTACGAATGTGCTTAAACTTACAAATTAATGAACATTTAAGCATCATTAACAAATTCTTTAATTGAATAGATTATGATCCATTGTAACTTTTGCTTAAAGAGTAGAAAAGAAAGGTCAGGTACATATGTAGCTTAAAATTTCAGAAATGCTATGCAGCGAATTCCGTCATCGCTAAATTTAAAAAAGAAAATAAAATTCAATTTATTATGACTTTATTTGGCATTTAATTATTTCTACCTAAAACCTGACAAGGTAAAACATGTGCCAAAATTGACTGAAAGTATTTACATTCTTGACACGTGATGAATGATAAACTGCATGCATTTCTAGTGCAATATCTGGTTTAGTAAGTACATAAATAAATAGTTGCAGATATGTGCATACGCTAAATTTATCGCTTATCTACATATCTTGTATTTACATACGTACATACATTCTAAGGCTCAAACTATTATTTTGAATTCTACTCTAGATTATTTCCTGATAATGAACAAATAGCTGACAAAATTGAAATCTTGAACCTTTTAAAGCACGCGCAGTATCTGTATTGCAATGCAAAAGTTCATCCAGCTTGCACTTATGTACATATATATGTACATTAAATCATATAATATCCCTAATTTTGAAATCTAATGAACGTAACCAAAAACACTAAAACTTGTGTTTTTACGTATGTACGTATTAGTGGACCCACACGCTACACAACTTTCTACTGCACATTCCTATTTATTTATTGGAGATGCTACTATGTACAAGAGAATAACAACAATAGGATGAGCTTGTCGTCTTCTTCTGCAACAAAATTGTGCGTCTCCACCACTCCACAATACCTACCTCGTCAAGAATTCAAAAAACCGGAAGTTTTCTAGGTCAACACATTTCCTTTCGATGAACTTTATCACTTATTTCATACGTGATTGAACATATCCAACAACGCTGTTTTGTGCTTGGCTCACACGCTTATCTTGCGGTTTTGCAGCATGTGCACAAATAACGTAAACATACGTATGTACATATACTTTTATGGCTGATGCTGCATCCGTCCGTTGCCCTACCCTTAAACCAAGTTGATTTTGAAAAAAAAGAATCTCACTTTCATTTGCTGTATGATTTTATGTATTATGTTTCCCTAAAATGCAGCAGTGTGGTTGAACTCAATGTGTGCAATGTCAATGCCTCTCAATGTGTGATGTACATACATAAAACCACCAAGTAAAGTAATGTCAAGTCTTAATTCTGTGCAGGTGTATTGTTGTTGCATATGACCAAATCCTATGGGGATAAGAAGACACTCGATATGGCTGTGATGATAACGTAAACGGTACGTAAAGCTGACTGACAGAAATCCCCCCTCAAATGTGGCAGTTAGTTTACGTACGTATGTAATGTTATAACAAAGTGTTTTTCCACTTATAAAATCACAGCAATATAAAAACAAAGATAACGAGGTCAATTCCATTTCAGTCCTGAGTTGTTCTTCCACGGCGTGTTAAGTGTGGTTATTGAAAGTGAATTGGAGGATCATGCCTCGTGTAAGTGTTTGATTTGAAATCTCGCTTTAAAAGATAAGATAAGATTTGGGCAGGGTTTTTTAAAATTTGGATTAGACGGATAAGTTTTAGTGGAAAATGGGGGAAATTTTTGGCTTTGTAGGGATTTAGAATGTTATCTGCTACTCGTTATCGTAGAAAAATACGAAAAATTGTCAAAAAATACGATTTTTTTACAGGTTGTGGAAAATAATACACACAATTTCGGAAATATAAATATATTTTTTTCGGGATCGGGATATTTAGAATTCTATCTGCCACTATCAAGATATGCGTAGAAAAAAAAGAAAAATTGTCAAAAAAGACGAAAATGATTTTTTTACAAGTTGCGAAAAATTCTTCAGAAATATAAACATATTTTTTCGGGATTTTGTCTATTTTTGGCTTGGTTTTCTCGTGGCGTAACATGTTTTTCTTCTCAGATTCTAATCGAGAAAGGGGAATTGAATATCATAAATCGTTAAAGGTCTACGTGTGGGTGTTCACGGAATAATTTACGTCGTGGTGTTAACGATTCTATTGAAAATCGTTGTGGACAAGGGGTCCGCAAAATTTCCAGAATTTCAAACAAACAACAGGATTGCTCTGGACAGTTGGAAATGGAAGAAATTGAATTCCACAGGAATAAATTAGATTATAGGAAATTGCATTCTCTTTTCGGTGAGGGTGAGACCCTGCTTTGGGCAGATTTGTGTGTGTGTAGGTGTGTAGGTGGGGGAGATCAATAACACAGAGAGAAAATTGAGGCTTTACGCAATATCGTCATTATACATAATTCCAGAACAGGTTTAATAATATTTCGTACCGTGAGGGATTACTTTTCACGGTTTAATAAGGAAATCTATTTTGAGACGCACGGGTAGATTTCTGAGCAAGCAAATTGGTAAAGTTTGTCCTATGAAAATGGGCGGGTGACCTGGCTGAGGATTTACATATTGGATTGCTTTAGTCCAACTCCAAAAATAATGGAGTTTGCATATGTATGTATGCGAAAATGGTGTGGGTGTGGGTGTGGATATGCACGTGTTAGGTAACTGCCTCGGAGAAAGAGGACAGATTTAATTTAATTGCAATACTTTGTAATTTCTTTGTTCTCCATTTCCAACTTTTAATTAGCCATGATTATTAAAAATATGGGAAAGTTATGGGATTTAGGTTCGTTTACGGGTGGTATGATAAATTGACAAAGTTGGGGAGTGCAGCTTGTTGTTTAATTTGGGTTAAGGAAGTATTAAATAAGTTGATAATTTAAGGATGGGATAAGCAATTATAATTATATTTATTCGACGGATATATAATATTTTTGTTCTGTTTTCCTGGCATATAAGTGATGTATCCATAATAGATAAGCACTGATTTAGTGAGGGTGGCTGAAATGGAAAGTGGTGAAATTTAAATTCCAAGTTGAAACTGAGGGAGCAATTAGTTTATTAATAATCTCAATTTTACTTATTTATTTATATTTTAGAAATACTGAATAAGCAGTTTTTCAATTATGCTCATGACAGGTCTTAATCATGTCGTTTTTCTTTAATTGTTAGACACCGGCGTTTCAAATTTGAACTCAATTAATGTGTGTGATACATGTACATATATACCATAGTAGGTACACATACACACATAATATGTATGTATGCGTTTAATGGGTGTATAATGCGTACAACAATGACCGGAAATAAATCCCGGCTCTGATTTCTGTAAGTCTCGTCTTTTTATTTCTTTGATTTTTTACTCAAGAAAAGTTCTAAATGTGTTTAACACTAGATTTTTTCAAGCTCTGTTAATCAAAAAAACATAGCGAAATTAATTTAGTAATGTAGCCACTCAATTAAGTAGATATAATCCCTCATAAATATTTGTCAGATCAACAACCTTGAATATTGCATTTATGCAAATTATAATTTTAAGAATGAAAGTGATCTTACAACTTTGGCAGGCTTACGTAGCTCCCCACCACCACAACGACTTGGCATGCACATAAACAAATCAGGTAACGTAAGTGGTGGTGGCGGAGTGAAAGTGAAATTAGGAAGGAAGGAAATAATGCCTTATCCCAATCAAGCCGTGGCCTTAGATATCTGCCACGGGGGAGAATGAATCAATAAATTGTTCAGTCTGAGGCTCGCAATCTGGCCACAACAAACACATGCCAACATTAATCAGACACTGTTAAGAAGGAAAGCAAGTTTGGTTAGGTATAAATGCGAAAAGTGTAGAATACTGAGAAATTGAGGTCATTTCAGCCTTCTCATTTCAGGTGAGAGGCGAGGATCATGTATGTACAGATATTTAATCCGCAATAAATTCGTGTTTTAGTCAAGACAAATAATAATGTAACACGAGCGAGAGACGGCTTCAGCTTTTGAGAGAATTAGTTTTCAATACTATTTAGAAAATAACATGCCGCCGTTGGTGGTGGTGATTTATCGGATGGCGATATGTTCATCATTACAAACTGATATGTCACGATTCGTTTTGGTTCATTAATTTGCGGCGGCTTGAATCTTGCTTGATTTTTCATACGTTTTTTACATGGAAAACTTTCGATTTCTTGAAAGATAACGTTTCAATTGCCATAATGTTTTTTGATGAAATACAAAAATAAATATGTGTGAAAGTTAATCCATAAAAGTTTGTAGCTAATATGACGAAATATGCAAATGTATTTATGAGATGTGTTGCCATTTTTATGCAAATGTAGAGTAAACATTTTGCAATTCTTATCTTTACCAGGTGTTGAATTCCATGAGGTGCCTCGCATTCGTGCTGACATCGTCCTTATGCAGCACGCTGACCTTAGCCGAGCCCCCGGGGGGTGGGCCCACCTATAACGGAGTGAGATACGCCGGTCCCATCGTGTACAGTAATGAGATGCCGCCAATCATACATTTCCCACCGCCACCAAAAGTACGCAGAATTTAATTTGCATAAGAATTTTTTCGGCCAATTTTACTATAAGAATGTTTACGTAGGGGGCAAGTCTTTCCGGGTCTGGATGGGGAGGACATGGGCCAAGTCAAATTAAATATATTCCAATGCCGCATCACGACCTGCCCGTTTTAATCTATCAGTCCGCAAATAACCCTCCGATTCATGTGGTATCTCCGCCTCAAGGATCGTCATCGTCGTCGTCCTCTGCGGTATGCAATTTCATGGGAAACGTGTAATGAGACGTGTATTTATGTATGTATCTTTCGACAGGCTGAGTATGGTCCTCCTACGCAGAATTCGTTCGAATTTTCGAATAACAAGGTAAACAAAGGGTCAAAGTTAACATGCTACACAGATTAAAATTGGGTTGATGTAGATATGCTGACGTGTGTTTTGGATTTATTTGTAGGTCGAGTACGGAGTTCCTAGTTCGGAATATGGGGTAGGCCAATCTCAACCTTCCTCTTCGTATGGTCCGCCACAGGTTTGTAGCAATCAATTATTTATCTGTGTTGGAGGGTGCATCATTAAATGGGAATTATAACTATTTTTAGAGTCAGTATGGAGTACCAAGTCAAAAGCCGGGTCCAGTTTATGGTCCACCCCCACCAGTTTCTCAGCCACAGGCTTCCTATGGTCCACCCCCAGCTTCTTCGCCACCACAGGCTTCTTATGGCCCTCCTCCAGCTGCATATGGTCCTCCAAAAGTAACAGTTTTAGCGATTATTACAATAAAATTGTGTCTTTAACGAAATTGTTAACTTACTTTTTTTGTTTAGCAGGCCTCCTACGGCACATCAGACCACCAAGAATCTGGGGTATTCGATATTAATTATGAGAATTTAAATTTCCACAATAATTAACTACATATGCAATCAATTTTAAATTTTAGTGGATGCCAGGCCCACCACCGGCGAGCTTATCTGGCGGCGGGTGGGGTCGACCACCACCTCCACCCCCACCACCACGACAAAGGAAACCAGCTCCCCACATAATTTTCAGGGGGCAACCACCCGTGCATGTGATGAATCATGCCCCACCACCACCACCCCCACAGGCTCCCTGGTCCTTCGCTAGCTCAGTAAGGAAAATATCGCCGCACATTTTTTGACTGTCTGATAACACTTAGATTTTACAATTCAATTTTCAGACAAGCTATGGTCCCCCAGCGCATGGTGGTGAAACTCAGTACGGGACATCGTTGTCCTCATTTTATCAGGACAGTCAACAATATGGTCCACCAAAAGTATGCAAGAATAATGAAAATAGTGTATCGTTATCTGCATTTTATTTATTTTTTCTCCAGCAGCATTACGGATCACACAATAGTGGACGTGGATCAAAAATGATAAGTTTTTCTTATGGTCCACCCACTTTCGCACAGAACAACCATCAACATCAACCAGTTGAATCTTACGGTCCCCCAGCTCAAAGTTCACCTTCGTACGGTCCCCCAGCTCAAAGTTCACCTTCTTATGGCCCCCCAGCATCCACACCCGCAGCCTCGTACGGAGTCCCACTTGGCGAGCCAATCTCATCCTACTCGTCTCACGTTGGATCCTCTTACGGAGCTCCCGAATTCGGAGGATATTCGTCCTCAAACTCCTTTTCTTCTCACTCAAACCACCACGGATTCGTCTCAAATTCGTACGGCCGACCACCACAACGTCCAAAGAATAGCTTGCTCTCCTCGATGATTTCATCCTTCGCGTCTCCCTCCTCTTTTAGACCACAAAAGCACAGGTCTAAATACGCCATTGCACCGACGAGTTGGCATAAACCACCAATTATCATCTACGCCGGGATTAAGCCCCCAGTCCACGTGTACAAGAAGGAGGAGAGTGGTGGGTATGCAGAATCCGCGCCCACTGCAAGTGTAGCAAACCCTACGCCAGCATCGACAGGTTATGAGCAATCGTCTCAATCTCATTTTACGGACAATGTCGATATCACGTACGGTACTGGGAATTCGGGGGGAGGTAAGTCGTCTAAATAATTGTGGGGATATAATCAACATAGAGTGGATATGTATTTATTTTCAACTTTTTCATTTGTTGACGATGGTCAAACTTTGTGGGTGTGTTCCCGAAATCACGCAGGGCTCAAAAAATTGCAATATATTTCCACGTATCGCTACATATTTCTAGGTTTTCAGACATAAATATATTTATAAATGTTTCCGCTATTATTTGAAAAATACGTAAATATTTTAGAAATTTTTTCAAAAATAGGTACGTATATTTTGAAAATATTTCAACAATACCTATTGGCATCAAAATTTGATAGACGAAATTTTTTGCTTAAAGAAATTCGACCACAAAAAATACAGAGTATCAGAAATACAAATTTTGCGATTTTTTATTTTATTTTCTGGTTTTTTCGTACAGATTTGGTAAATATTTCAGCCTTTTCGTAAATAATGAATACATTCTCCAGCGATTTTTCGTAAATACAAATCCGCCCCCTGATAATCAAGCACCTGGTAAAATCTCAACTCTGTGTACTCTTTCTTAGGTGAAGTCTACCTTCCTTCCGCCTCTGTTCCACGACCAACCATCATCAAACCACAGGCGCAACCTTCTCTCCGAACAATTTATGTTTCCGGTCTATCTTCCTCCGGATCGAGCGGACCCTTTAAAACATTCCTGGTCACAAACACGAATCCCGTGAAGGTCGAAAACGTGGGTTTCACCCGTCCCAGCGGTGCCCTGCCTTCCGTCGAGTCCTCCTCCTCCTCCTTGACTGACTCCAGTTTCGACCTGGACACGGCAGCCTCGACATCCGCAATTTCTCCGGAAGCGTTCACCGCCCAACTGCAAAACCACCTTCCACGCAACTCGCTCGCCACCTCGTTCCAAAAAGCGACCGTTATTCATGAACATGTCGCAGAATCTCGCATCTTGCCGTCCAATTTGGACAACATTTTTGAAAATTATAAACAAGCTGAAGCTGAATCAGAGTCAGCTCAAGCGGAGCGGAGGTCAGATTCGGCGGAAAATGTGAGCATCAATGTCCCCCTTTCGCTAATAGTGTCGACCGAGTCGACGGAAACTGTGGCATCGACAGAGTCAGATCACACTACCTCCACAACGACGGACGCTTCAACGTAACGTATAACGTAGGAGTCAGGAGTCCGTTATTATGTGAAATAATGCAATGCAAAAATTGTTGTCATTTTGTTTGCTAAATGTGCTCAAAGAGTTTATACTTGAAATTTACATTTTTGATAATTTTTGAAAGATAATATAAGTTATAAATAGTATTTAATTTAACTCAAGTTGCCAAAGTTTAAAGGGGCTCACATACGTAGTGGAAATTTGTTCGTTTCTTGTTGCAAATTCCGCATATGTAAATGATATGTATACATGGATGGAAGTTTTGTATGTTTGAATGGTTGCTGATTTTACAGTTCTATTATTTAAGTAGAACATGTGTATTGAGATTTTAGTAATTTTCTTACTCAATATTATTTATTGAATTTTATATATTTTTATATCTTCTTCACAAAACTATATGTGCCTATTTTTCTATGTATTTCATCTCCTGCGACTTAACGAAAATGCATGTTGTTACACACACAGGTTCAAATGAGAAGTAATAAATAGTATTGAAAAGTAAAGTCTCACGTTATTCTCACGGGTGGATTAAATTTCAGTGTATTTAAAGCCCTCATAAATATTTACAAAATTCATGCGTCATTCACCCCACAATTGATAATAAATAAATAATAATACTACTCCTTAATTATCCACAACATTAATTTTTATTCATACATATATCAAATTTTTTTCAATTATAATATAGAAATTTATTGAATTAAATTCAACAATTATGATTAAGCCGCTTAAAATAAATTTCCCAAAGGTGGTGATAAGTAAGTAAGCTGATTATAACTTTGTATTGGTCGAGTCTCGCCATGATTTCTACCAGACGGACGGACGGGGTGCGATTCGTGAAATGTATGCATGCATGAAAGTCAAAGTCAAGGTTTGTAATTCGATCTGAATTTGTCTTAATATTAAAAATTGGTTTTACTTTTTCCACGATTTTATCAATAGACGATTTTCTCATGCAAAAAAATAAACGACAAATTTCACGCGTGCACTGCATCAACAAGACTTTTAGTTGAACAATACGATACGTTTTATCAGTGCGTATCTCGCTGTATGGCATGCGAACGATGGGATTGTGCCACTACTTCCTCTCGTTGCAGTGGCCGCGGAAACGGTGTGGGGACAGAGAGGCAATGTCCCCAGGGTTGTTCGATGTCCGCATCATCTCTCCGTGTTATATAAACCCCTCACTCCCCTATCACACAATGTTATGTCCCCAGATGACCCCACAGTTTCCGCGGCCACTGTAAGCGTAAGCATATTTTTGATAGGGGTACAGTGGCCGCGGAAGTGTGAACACAGAGGGACAATGTCCCCATAACTATTCGATGTCCCCATCATCTGCCCATGTTATAAAAACCCCTCCCTACCCTATCCTACAATGTTAACGTCCCCACATGTCCCTACGGCTTCCGCGGCCACTGTTTCGTTCTATGCACAAAGTGCTGCTTCCCCAGTGTGCTGCAAAAATATGGCTAAATGACAATTTAATACACCGATTCAATCTTGTAATTACCGAGTCGCATCAAATTTTGAGTCTACACTTTTCCTCGTACTTAGAAATATAAAATGTACGTATGTATGTAACTGTACTGAATGGTTGAACTGTGAGCGAAATGGCATTTATCTACTAGAGTGATGATAAGATCATATTCTATACGATTAGTTCTGCCCAAATGGGAACCATTATTCACGCAAATTACATTTTGAGCAACGAAGACTTGAAAATCGTTCACTATTCATTTGAAGTTTAAATATTGACGAAAAGGTATGTAGCTGAACAAAAAAGAGTTTAAATTTCTATCTTCGTTTGGTCACTGAAAGGGGTCCGATTTCAATTTCTACTTATTGAAAACAATGGAAAAGCTCAAGTAAATGTGAAAAGTGAAAAACATATTAGAAAAAAAATATTACAAATATTGGTGCAAATTACATACGTCTGTGCAAAATTTCTATCCAAGTGCCATACATACGTAATCCGATCACATTGCCAATTTAGAAATATTTATAAATGCTAATTATACAAATTAATAAGTAAAAGTGACTCCCAATCTGGCACGATACCCAGAATTACACCGCAGTTTCTCATCAAATCTAATTAAAAAAAAGTAACTTATCGCTGTATCGCATCGAAAACGAAACCAAGTCAAGAAGCAGAAGAAGAAGATTCCCCTAAATAAAACGCAGGACGCGACTATTTAAATAGTTAACCACGATGAGTCGTAAAGTTAAGGCCTGCTCGTAATAACAAGTTAAAATTAAAAGTGAAACATTTAATGGTAGTAATTATAACCAAACGGGGAAAGGAAATGACATAGAAAAGTGAAGAAGACGAGGAACGAGGTGAAGTTTGTTGCGTATCTTAGGTATTCGCCATGAAATAGAATTTAAATACAAATTGGGAGCACATTATTATTTATCATGAGAAAGTTCTTAGGGAACAATGTGAGACTGGAATTATAAGCAAAGTAAACCCAGCGAACGTTTTACCCACAATGTTTTCTCAGCAAAGTGTGTGTGCACATTCAGCTTAAAGGAAGTGGAAGCCTCAATGTGCTCTAGTTTTAGATAAGTTGAATGTCATGCCTTGGAACTAAGTGGTGCTTATTAAACAAAGCTTGAGTGTGTGTATGACTCCGAATCAGCATCATTTCAACTTCCATTTTTTCATTTCAATCTCGCCAATCTGAATGCGATTATTATTTGCTTATTATTGGTGGGTGGAGGAGGGAAATAATGTAATTACTGGCGTCCGCCGAGTTCAATTTCAATTTCAAGACGTACACACATTTTATGCTCCCCTTTTTCATGCTATCCTTTAAACGGTATGCAGATATTTAGGTAGGTAGACATGCATACGTACATATACTTAATGTAACCGTTTAGAATTCTAATCGAGTTAGTGCTTATGCGCGTGGGATTATTTTTCTATAACTGAAAGTGTTTTGCAGATAGGACAGTATTATTTACGATTGACGAAGTATGTACGTACGCAGTGGGGAGTTTAGTATGAAATTAACTCTCGGGTAGAGCAGCAAATATCAATTTGTTTTTTTATTCGGTACGGTTGGTTAGTAAAGTTTAAGGATTTTTTATTAGGGGAAGGTTAGGAATATTTAGTGACTAAATAAGTAAGTAACTTTACTGTTGATCTTGGGAGAAAGTAAATATATACGAAAAAGTGTTGATAAACAAAGCATCTGCAGTTTAGAGTGACGTGAAAAACCACAAATTACAAAGTCTACGGAACGAAACAAATAAATTTTGTTGCAGACATACATACCACCCGCAAATAAATTTCCGCGAAAAAGAACCCTTGTTTACACAATGCGCCCATTTAGTAGTACTCGTGCGGTTTCTCCTTTACTAATGTTTAGAACCGTGTTGTTGTTTTAGTTTTGAGGTTAAAACTCGGAAAGTGAAGAAGATATGATGAGGAGAAAATCAATTTTTGGGTTTGCACCCCAACGTCAAAACAATTTGGTCGCGGTGTTGTCATCGCTGGTGGTGTTTTTGAGCCTAATTCAGAGCAACAATGTGGTGCAGGGACAAGCCTTAATAAATCAATTGGCCGCCTTGTTCCGGTCGAGATCACCGTGGCCGACGACGTTTCCTTCTGGGACGACGACGGGAACGGGAGGAGAAAGTGGTGGTACTTTGACTGAACCGGGCTCATTCAGTGATATGATTACGAGTCAGATAGGCAAGGATCTCAGGCTGGAAGACTTTTCTCATTTCAACGACCTCCTCACGGGACAATCGATCAATCAATTGAATTTGGGCGAGCAGGACCTTGGTGTTTCAGGTGGTAATACGAACAGTAATGCGGGTGAAAGTGGTAGCGATGGGTTTTCCAGTCTGCAACTCCCCATTCTCGCCACGAGCCATCCACTTCCTCAACTCGAGATGCAGCACGGGAATGGAAAATCCGTTTTAATCGCACATCCCGTCCTGGGACCAAATCCGAACGAACCCCCGGAGAAAGTTGAGCATAAGTTTAACGGGATGGTGATGACGAATCCGTTGAGTAGTCAGATTAATAAAAATGCGGGTTTGTACAATAATAATGGGAATAATCACCAACAACAAGACGGTCACAATCAGCAGGCGCCACGACCTTCCGCCGTGCGATATCCGAATAATAATGAACGGTTGAAAAATAGTTTTCAAAATTTCGCTCAAAAATTATTCTACCCGAATAAGAATAATAATATAGCCAATAAGCAGCCTCACTATCAAAAAGTGATGATCCCAATGATCGGGAAACCACCAGTTGGTGGGAAAATAATTGCAATTCCGGTCCCCGTACCGTCAAATTCACCGTTGTTGAAAAACTTTCATGGCGGCGGAGGTGGAGGGAGACGTCCCACGCCGCAAATTATTGCGGTGCGACAACCATTTCCCCCGATTACATCAGTGCCCAGTCAACCTTACCAGCAGCAAGAGCAACATGTCACCAGCTTTCTGGGGAAATTCAGCCCATCGCCGCTTGACATGTCGACGTCCTATGCACAAGCGACCAATTTTAGTTTTACGGAAAGAGAAAGTAGTGGGAACGGTACGACGGCAGCTTTTTCTCCGCCGACGACGCTGGCAATGTCGTCATCTGTCGCGGCGACGACGCCATCCCCTCCGATTTATCAGAGTCATCGGTATGTCGGGGAACAAATTAGCAGTGGGAGCAGTCATGAATATTCTAGCACGACCCTGGTGACGACGCCAGCGCCCACGACGACAATCACAACAACGACGCCAATCACGACGACGACAACGTCTCGACCCCCGTACAAAAATATCCAGGATGTCATTCTGAACAGTTCTCAGCAACAAAACAGCTTACACAGCTCACCTTCCACACTTGTTGGTTCGTTCCGTTACCCGGACCCTCCCACGCCACCGAAAATGCTGAATATGAATACGCGCTACGAATTGAAACAGAGTGAGAGTGAAGACACTCAGAAGTCCCAGTGGATCCCACAACCTTCACTTTCTCAGAAAAAGGCTGCTTATTTCAGTGCAGAGAAAAATGTGAACAATAATAATAACGCTAATGGATTTCTGCTATCCTCCTCCGCTCCAATCTCGTTGACGCCCAGGGGTTCTCGGTCTAAATGGAGACATGACGACGACAATTCAAATTCTGCATCTGTCCCGGCTTTCAGCAAGTTTAATGGACACAATTCTGGAGATTCGGGTTTTAAACCGTCTCTGCAACTTCATTCTTTTGAGGATACGACGTCAGGGGTAAGTAAAATAAGGAGGAACAATGGAGGTGGCACAGCGTATGCTCGCAGATTTTAAGGAAAATTAGTGTCAATCGATTACAAATTTAATTAGTATGAAATTTGCAAAAGACACGATCTACCAATGGTCATGTTTGACAGAAATGTTTGCATCCGAAGAGGAGAAAACGGCCACTAAGGCTGAAAAATTGTACACTTTCCAAATTTACTGCACGTTTTCTCCTCTTCGGATGCAAAATATTTCTGCCAAACCTGCGCATTGGTAGATCGTGTCTTTTGCAAATTTCATACTAATTAAACTTGCGATCGATTGACACTAATTTTGCCAAAATCTGTGAGCATACGCTGGGAAACCTCCATTCTGACTACCACAAACAAGATATTTAAGTAATTGGTATCTTTTTATACTCTCCAGCTCCGAGAATTTATCACAATAAACCCGCTTTCCAATCGCAACTCGAAATCTTTGTTCCCGACGACAACCTCTCGGAGTACCGGGTCAAACGAGAATGTCGACTTGCCCGCAATGGAATCTGGCTTCCGACCTTTTAACCACTTCGCATTTTCCAATGGGATCTCCAGCGCGTCCGTCTCGTCAACAACGGAGTCCTCCATGATGAACATGCTAAGAAACGAGTTCACAAAGGACATTGTGACCGCGAACGTCTGGAGTGATATGGACCCCACGAAATCATCAAAACCGTATTCTTCTTCTCCCGGAATCCGACAAAACCGACAGTTTTTCTCCAATTCGGGATACGCCAATACAAAGCCATTTTACGCTCCGGCCCCCGCCAGCACCAGCATCACGGTCGGAGCGAGCTATTCAAATGGAGGTGGAGGATACAACTACAACAGAAATGACATGCATAAACCCACCCAAACTGGGAGCGATTGGGTGGGAAGATTCGGGTCAAATTTTCAATTTCCTCCTTTCACCACTGAACCAAGTCATTATTCTGGCGATCATCACGCGGCGAGTACGACGGCAGCGAGTTCGAGCCTCGTTTCGGAGTGGTTGGTGCCCACGACGAAGAGGAAAAAGGAAAATAAAGATCATCATAAAGATGCCAGTGGTAAATCAGAAGCGAACTCGTTCTCAATTTCTGCATCCTCTTCTTCTTCCCTGGAAAGATTTAAGAGCCCACCGGACTGCGAAAAATTCCATCGGTTTGGATTCTGCCCGGTTACGTCGTACTACCCACTGTGAGTGCTATTTGTTAAAGGGGTGAAAGCGCTTTATGAGATCGCTATGTCCGTCCGTGTGTCTGTCCGTTGGTCTGATAACGAAAAATCAGAGACTTGAAATTTTGAACATAAACTCACAGCGTAAAGCGACAGTACTAGTTCAAAGACAGGTCACTGTAGGTCACACTCAAAAACGGTCACCAAATGTTAAATATGGTATATATGTCAATTTGAACTGAAATTTAACCCCGAATTCAATGATGACCTCCATTTTGACCTCAAATGTCACAAAAAGGTCACCAAATTTTAAATTAGGATAAGATGTTATAACTGTCGAAAATACGTCAGCCGTGTAAATTTTAACAGATAACAGATTTTCGATGCAAAAACAATATGACATTCATTTTGCCGTATAACACACTGCTTTCACCCCTTGGTTATATATGTTGTAACTGTTTACTGCACTTAACTAGGATGCATGGCGTCGTAAAATAAGTGCAGTTTGAGTGACTCTTTTATGTGTGTGGTTACAGGGGCAAGGTTGAAGCCGTAGGTGCGAGATGTTCGACCTTGTTATCTCACTTGATCGCCCCTCTGCCGAAAACGGATGTACGCTATGACGTAATTGTGACGAAGAACTCGACCTCAAGTAGTTCTTCGAAGGGAAAAGGCTCCTCCTCGTCTGCGAAAAATACGGCGGGGTGGAGTTGGAAGACATTTTCTGGGAAGCCTGTTTGTGACACGAAAGAAGTAAAAATTGTGCCCGGCTGGGCAAAAAATGAACAAGGACAATGGCTCATCATTCTTCAGGTGGTTTGATTTAAGTACAAGCCGTGGCCGCGGAAGCCGTGGGGACATTAAAATTGTAGGGTAGAGGAGGGAGGGGTTTGAATAACATGGGGAGATGATGTGGCCATTGAATAACCGTGGGGACATTGCCCTTTTGTCCCCTCAAGCTTCCGCGGCCAATGTTTTGATCTGAAATATGTAAGTATGAAATTAATGCATAATTTAACATTGCAGACACAAGAGTGGAAACAGGAAGCGCAAATCAGCCTTTGTGCCCATAATTCCCACCCGAGTAGGGATGACGATATGAAATGCGTGCAGAGATTCACAGCCCAAAGACTCGTCGTTTTAGACCCGCAAAATGAGGAGCGTTGTCCCGTCGTCCGATCTGTATTTTTGCCATCTGCCTGCGTCTGCTTAAACGATGAGGAAAAGCATGGCAAGCAGAAAAAATCCAAGAATCGTCACCATAAGAAAAGCAGTCACAACTCGACGACAAAGTCTGGCGGAGATAAAAGTTCGACTTCTTCTCTCTCGAATTCGAAAACAATTTCTGGTAAAATAAAATAAAATCGGTTTCATCATCAGTCTAGACTTTTGTACAGTGGCCGCGGAAGCTGTGGGGACATTAACATTGTGGGATAGGGGAGGGAGGGGTTTGTATAACATGGGCAGATGATGCGGACATCGAATAACCGTGGGGACATTGTCCCCACACTTCTGCGGCCACTGGGCCCCCACACTAATTTATGTGTATCAAACTACTTCCAATTATTTAGGCCGATCCCTGCTGACATCACTCTTTGGCCTGGATCTTGATCCCGCTTCGTCAGAAGTCGTCCCCGTCCCCCCAACCTCATCATCTATCGAGGCTTCCCAAGAAGATTCGCGTTCTGATAATGCAAAATCAGAGGAAGAAGAAGAAGCCAAAAATCCTTTAACTCCGTCTAATTCTCCTTTTATGGTTATTGCGAATGAAGGAGAAAGTGAGACTTGGGCCGAATCTGGGGAAGAGTTGAGATCGAGTAGTCCCAATAAAAGGTCTGTTCTCGGGTCTTCCTTCATCCTCTCGTCGAGAAACAGTAGCAGAATTAACGGGACAATAAGACCAGATTCAGATTCATCCTCACAACGAAACGGCAATTGATATTGGATGAATAGAGCAATTTTATAAAACCGACAATCAGTATTTATTTTTATAGCTTAGTTTTTTATTTATTTTATTCTCGCTAATAATAAATATCGGGTATGTATGAAAATGTGTTATATTTTGTATTTTCCTGCAATAAATAAAGCTCGAAGATAAGGATTCAAGCAAAAATGGGACGTACACGGTTAGAAAACTGGTATTAAATCAATCCTGGCCGGAGTACGCATATGACTCCACGGTAATAACGAGTATTACCATTTGTGGCACTGAAAAATTTACTACGCAGAAACAAACTATTACCAATCCGGTAGGAAGTTGTTACCAAATCAATACCAGCACGGAGTACATATGTGCCTCTACACCGGATTTTTTCAGATTTTTCAGTGTACGTTTCTATATTTAGGTATATAGTGAGCCATCTAAGATAAGTAGATTCTGAAGAAAAAGTCCCCCAGCAAGCTCATTCTTCTATTTACTTCCTACTGTACATAAAATAAATAAATGTTTACTATTAATTAAGCTGACAATGATGATTTCTGCCTTTCGTATACAGGGAACCGTTTTGGCGAACTCGTCGTGATATGACCTGACGTTGAAATAATGGAAGTCGAGTTGAGAACACTCATCGAAACTATGTCCGTTATGGCCGTGCTATTTCTACTTTTGTTAAACTTTCTGCGTTTCTCTTTGTCTGTTAACTCTTGTTCAAACATGTGTGTGGGAGGCGTGACTGTTATCGCGTATTGGTAAACTTGTCGACTTTCCTCTTGGTCATTATCACCACCACCATTTAATTTCCCCTCGGACTCATTATCCGTGGAGAGGACCGAGTCCAAGAGCGGATTTACGGGATATCCTCCCGAACCGGATATTATACTTGATAAAGGTCGGCTGTATATGTAATTTTGGTGGTGATTGTTGTTGTTATTGTTGTCGCTGTCATTGTCTAGGGTCGGGGAGGGTGATGTAACAATATTTAGTTTTCGACGACGAGTAGTGGGGCGAGAATAATGGGGTCGGGATGATAAGTTTGTACTACTGCTACTACTACTACTAGTCGTTCTTAATTTAGTGCCGTCCGAATCAGTCGGGATGGTTGTAAAATCGTGATAATAATAAAGGTCCTTGTCATCGTCGTTTGGAAATTTAATATTTGGCGCATTTTGAGTGGTGGTGGTGACGTTAGTCGTCTTGTCGGTACGTTTGTTGTCATTGTTGTACTTGGGTCGGGTCTGTAATTGTTTAAGAATATTAGCTTTATTACGTAATTCATTATTCATGGAGGGAGGTGGTGGAGTGGTGAGAGGTGAAGTGGGAGGGAAAGCTAGAGAGGAGGGAGGTCGTGTTACCAAAGATGGAGGGGAACGACGAGGGGGAAAGTTAGAAGGAGCAGGAGAAAAGTTGGAAGGCTTTTGAAATTTAAGCTCATCTTTTCTGCCAGAGTAATTTGATAGTTTGTTGGCTTTCAAGTGTGAAGTGGGGGGAATACCGTATTGTGGAAGGAACTCTTGTTGTTGTGATGCGGCATAGGCTGGATTGTTACTCGCCGCATTCTCTTGATCCTCGGAAACAATGTCCTTCGGGTCCACTTGTGCACCTATTTAGAGAAGTAAGTAGTGGTTAGATGTAAAGTTGAGAAGAATGGGACAGGCCTGACAATGGGATGGAGGTTTGGCAGAGTATGCTCTCTGATTTTGAGCAAATTAGTGTGAATCGATGACAAATTGAAGTAATATGAAATTTGCAAAATACACGATCTCCCAATGGGCAGATTTTGGCGGAGATATTTGCATCCGAAGAAGAGAAAGCACGAATTAAAGTTTACAAATTTTTCAAATTTACTGCGCGTTTTCTCCTCTTCTGATGCAAATGTCTCCGCCAAACGTGCCCATTGGGAGATCGCGTCTTCCGCAAATTTCATGTAAATTAAATTTGTCATCGATTGACACTAATTTGCCCGAAATCTGACAGCATACCCTGGAGACCTCCATTTTGAACTCGAATTTCGTTGAAAATGCCAAAATCAAATTACTAACCAGGCTCAATCATGGAAATGAGTTGGTTAATGTCGAAAGGATGACCACCATCGTACGTGGGAGCGTTCGCATCTGCAAAAACTTCGAATGTCGGATTCCCATCGGCCGCACCATGGTTCACGATCTGAACTTGTTGCTGCTGGTTATTGCTCTCTGCTACTTGAAGGTCTTGTTGAGATTGTTGTTGAACACCTTGATATTGGAAGTTGGAGGGTGGTTGGACCACAGACATGGCAGCGGATTGGTGGGAGTAGTCGGCCTGCATGTCTTGGTTATCGGGGGAGGCGTACTGCTGTTGTTGTGGGGGTTGAACATAAATTGGTTCCTGATGGGATGGAGCGACTTGTTGCTGTTGTTGCTGCTCTTGTCCGTGAAGAGAAGATAAGTCGTAGATTGGGGCAATATCGGGGGAAACGCCGTTCAACATTGACCCCAAGTTTTCATCGATTCTTTGCACTTGTTGTCCTCTGTATTCATAATTTCCTGGAAGACTGGGGTGAGTATATTGTACTTGTTGTTGCACTTGCTGTTGTTGCTGTTGCTGCTGTTGTTGCTGATAATACACCGGATAACCATTTGACGCCGAGGTAACCATCCCATCCAAGGACGCTTGGTATTCAGGATGCCCCGTGGAAAGAACCTGCTTCTCATAGGATACCATTTTTGACGGGATTAGCTCAATATTCCCGGCAGCCTTGGCACCATAAAGGGGCTGTTGTCCTGCACTGTGGTACACGACTTGGCCGAATTGTCCTTGCTGTTGGACCACTTGGTCCATCGAGTGGACGGGTAAGCTTGGTCTCTGTGGAGGAGTTGGGGGTGAACGAGAAAATTGGCTTTGTTGAGGTGACGATCCTCCTGGTTGTTGTCCACTGAAAAAGTTTTCATACCCTGGAGGCGGACTGGCCTGATATCTGCTCGACCCATCGGCAGAAATTATTTGGAAAATGGTATTTTGTGGCGTCATCGAAGCTGAAGGGGTCGTGGAACCGGGCGGCATGTAAATATGGGAGACATCTCCTCCTCCCCCGTGAATAGAGTTGACCGATGAGCCTCCATATTTTGAGGATGAAGACGAAAAGATTACTGGCAGTTTTCCACCTCCTCCTCCGCCATGAATTTGCTGCTTATATTTTTGTTGTGGGAAAGGATTCGAAGGTCTAGCAGACCTAGTGAACGATGGAAATTTCGCCATTTGCGATCCCAACCATCCAATCAAATTCGGACCGGTGGACTTCCCCGGTTTTTTGCCATAAGGCGAGTAAGCCTGTGATTGTTGTGGGTATCCTAAACCTTGCGTGGGTGGGGAGGGGGATCCACGACCAAAATAGCTTGATATTGGTGATCCACGTTGACCATTAACCACCAATACGGTACCGAGGGTGACGATGAGTAAGAGTGAAATTCTTGAGTTGTGCTAAATCCATGTGAAATGAAGGTATGTTACAAAAATTATCATAATGTGGAGTATGAAAATGGAAACAGAAAGCCCAAAAGCGTTGGCGTACCCCGCGGCATATTTTTAACAATGACACGCTTAATTTTCCCATCAAAATCGCTCCCAAGGCGAAAAAATGTATCACTCACAGTTTAAGCTGCATGTGTCAAAAGTTTAAACTGACGAGACATCTCCATACACAAAATTCATAGCTCATTCATTCATTTATAACAACCGAGTTTCCTAAATGGAATGTGTTACACATGAAAGTTGATCTCTCAAAAATTGGTGATGATTTTTTCTTAACAAAAATTTTATTGGTGTTCTTCCAAATATTATTGACGAAACGAAAGACTAATTTATTTCGCTAAAGTGGCAGAAAGGCAAGTTTTTTTTAGAGAAAACGTCTTCTATAATAACTACGGCTAGTTTGTTATGTGCGTGTGCATACATATGTACATACATGAACTATATGATTGTTGTACATATGTACCCTGATGCATGAAAGAAATGTTACCTGCATGCAAAAGGATTTCTTTCTAAGCGTCGGTTAACTGGTTTATTGTACTGCATGCAAAGCGATCAAATAAAATCTACTGGTCTGGTAGATAAGTTGGTTCCACAAAAAAATCCAACCACAAATCAGGTTTGATGATGATCATTCCACGCACGCTTGATTTGATTGTTTACGAAAATGCATTTCTTTTAGAAATCGAGAGTGGTTACAGAACAGACAATACAGAAAATAAATTGTTGCTAAATTCAGAATGTTAATAAGCTGTCGCACGTAAAGTTTTAGAATCCGAATCGGTAAAATACTGACCATTTTGTTCGTTCAGAATTGATGACCTTGACGAACCGTCCTTTTTTAATATGTCAGGCACGATGCTTAACAAACAAATGTGGGAAATTTGCACAAAACTGGTTCCAGGTTATTTTCTCCAATTCACAAAATCGTATTCACTTTATTTATCACTGCCTAAGCTTTAATGTGGTCTTTTAAAAACTGAAAACTTTCTAGAGTGGTGCTTGACTCGGGATAAATAAATAATTTAAATATTGGAAGAAGTATTTTCTAGAGCCAAGTTGCAAATTGGAGTGCAACTGAAGGAGATGATCTTTTATGCAGCTTTCTTATAGACTCGGAAGGAAGAAGCAGATGAAAAAGTCAATCACATTTGCACTTGAAATCTTGAATGAGTTATGTACGGTACAACGCAACGCTGTCGTCGTTGTGGTGCTGAGATGAGATTTGGAGTGCAACAATATTTAAGTAGGTATATGTAGCAGTTTTCACACAAGATAGAGATAACAACTTGTGCCCCCCAGATACGTGTACTCGTATGTACACGCCAGTTGCAGCAGTAGTTCTATATATGCAGTAGTTGTTGTCGTCGTCGTACTTCTATTCTATAATTTGGATATGTTAAAAATTGGTCAAAAATCTTGCACTCGCTTTCTCTGCCTTTCCATCGTACTTACTTATTTGCAGATGCAGTCTCACATTTCTGCAATACATTTGGTTGCCAACTAGTATGTTGGGATTCGTACAGTTTTAAACTTTAGTTCAAGTTTTATCCAAAATAACCTTCAATAATCATTATGCTATGCTTATTTATTTATGTAATTTTGTGCACTGACTTGAGTTCATTCCTTATCGTATTTTACATTTAAGTTACCCATGTAACTTCATTTGAGTAATTGTGTACGAGTTCATTTCCTTTAATCTCTATTGTGACTAATAAGTTGAACCCGAGTTCTAAGTATTCTTATTTTACCTTGACAGTAACTTTCCAGAAGGTCTAATTTTACATACTTAATTGCTCATTTACTTACCATAGGTTATAAATACAAGTTACATATTTTTCCTCGTTGTCATTCTGCTTACACAATTTGTCCAAGTCAGTCAGGTCACGTCAGTCTATTTTCCTAATCTCAATTTGCCTCAATTTGTATGAATTTAATAACTTGTATAAACTGACTACAATCAAGTACTTCACATTGCCATCTTATTTCTCACCGATCCATACACATATTTGCACACATTTCAATACCCATAATCAGGGAACACTCATTTTTATCACTCACACAAACCCCCTGCTCGTTGGGAGCCGTCATCCCCAACATTTTGGTCTCTCCGAACCGGATATCTCTACCGGTAATTAAAGTGTGATAATAGTGATTAAAACCCCCTGAAGCCAAAAGCAACACCCATGGCACCTTCAGCGATCGACAAAGCAGTGCACGACCGCAGCAGCATCAGCGACACCCTCGATTTCCTTGAAGTTGAAGTCACCAACCATGCAACCACACCCCTTGATGAAGCCGGAATCAATCATCTCCTTGTAATGGCAAAAACCAGTCAATTAGAAGTGATGGATATTCATAAAAAGATTCAAGCAACAGCTCCTGCCGATATGACTCCCCACGTTACGGAATACCAACGTCTTCTTCGCAAGGCGTGTCGTATCGTCACAACGATGACCGGTTTCAAGCTGAAGATTCCTGGCACCCCCACCGTCTCGACATCCACAACCAACAGCGAAATCCGACTTCCTATACTGGAGCTACCCACGTTCGACGGTAATCTCCACGAATGGGTGTCATTCCGTGACATGTTTGTAACTGCAGTCCACGACAACACCAAGTTAAGTAAATCCCAAAAATTCACTTACCTCAAAAGCCAATTAAAGGGTGAAGCAGCCCGACAACTCCAAAGTATGATAATCACTGACGCCAATTACGACATCGCATGGAGCCAGCTATCCGACCGCTACCAGAATGACCGTGAGCTCCTTTTTGCAATCATGCGAAAGTTTACAAATCAACCAATTGTTCAGTCCCAATCAGCAACAGCAATTCGTCAACTTGTGGACGTATCAAGAGAATGCATCCGATCCCTTCAAGTCCTCAAACTACCTACAGACCAATGGGATGCTATTCTACTCTTCCTAATGATGATGAAGATGGATTCCTCCTCCAAAGAATTGTGGGAACAGAGCCTGAACGATAGCGCTATCCCAACCCTCAAGTCCTTCTTCGATTTCCTAGAGCAGCGTGCCCGCGCCCTCGCCGCCAGCGGAACCAGCACGACCCCAAAGAATGCAAGCAAATCCAACAACAATTATCATGGCGACAAGAGCCGAACCCCTCGAAGTCTTGTCCATGTCACCGCGACGAAGTCGTCCAATTCCTGCAAATGTTGCGATGAGCCGTCTCATCCCATCTACCGCTGTGAGAAGTTTATCCAATTTCCCGTCCAGCAGCGTTGTGAAGTCACCCGTAAGCACAACTTTTGCTATAATTGTCTAACTGAGGGACATCAGGTCTCAAAGTGTACGAGCAACAAGGGTTGTCGTACGTGCGGTGGAAGACATCATACCATGCTACACCGACCCACGCCATCGGATCACTCAACCGGCACCAGGCCAAGAGATGACCCCAATGGTGGTGCTATTGTGCACCTCACGTCTACTTCAACATCCCAAGGCTACAACAATAAATCAAATGTTGAAACACCCCCTCAATCAAGTCGTTCTTTCTCTTTGGGCAAGGAGTACGACACTCTCCTCGCCACAGCACTGGTGCAAGTCCTTGACAAGCACGGTCACTACCATACAGTAAGAATTCTCGCTGATAACGCCTGCAACACCAACTTCGCGACAGAATCCTGCGCCCGTCGTATCGGCCTACCACGTCGACGATATCTCACGTCAGCAACTGGACTCGGTGGAGCAGCAGTAGCTACGTCATCAGGATTCACTTGGTTCACAATAACTCCCCATTTCGACACATCCGTTACCTTTACTGTCTCAAGGTGCCTCCTTACAAACAAGATCACTGGTAAACTTCCAACTTCCAAATTTGACCACACCAGGTGGCCTCATCTGCAGGGTATCAATCTCTCAGACCCTTCGTACCACGAACCTGAAGAAGTGGATATGCTCCTGGGCGCAGAATTTTTCTTCGCCATCCTAGAAGGTGGAAAGAGGTCCGGTCCTCCCAACAGTCCCGTGGCTCTTGAAACCAGTTTCGGTTGGCTGATTGGTGGTGGATCTAGCGATTCTCCTCTTATCCAGCCCACGGTGCATACCACTCTCACGCCAAAGGAAACTACAACACCAAACTCGACACACTTCTCATCGACCAGTGATCAAGAAGATGAACACCTTGACAGCCTCCTTCGCAAGTTTTGGGAAATGGAGAATGAACCACCCACACGACTACTTTCCCCTGAAGAATCGGCCGCAGAAACACACTTCACTTCCACATACACCCGTGATGATGAAGGAAGATTCATGGTGAGAATCCCCTTCAAGACCCCACGACCAAAGCTGGGTCATTCCCTCAAGATTGCTGAGAAGCGTCTCATGTACCTCGAGCGACGACTTCAAGCAAACCCTACCTATCGCCAAGAGTATCACTCCTTCATGAAGGAATACGAGCAGCTCGGACACATGACAGAAGTTACCAATTTGGACTCCGAATCGGGTAACAAATGCTATTTGCCCCATCACTTTGTGCTGAAACCCTCAAGCACAACAACAAAGTTCAGGGTCGTCTTTGATGCATCTGCCAAGACATCCAACAACATTTCTCTCAACGACACAATGTTAGTTGGCCCAACTATTCAAGATCCCCTCATTGACTTACTAATCAGATTCAGGCTACACCGAATAGCATTTACGGCAGACATCGCCAAGATGTACCGTCAGATTCTTGTCCACCCGGAAGATGCTGAGATGCAGCGAATCTTGTGGAGAGAAGACTCCTCAGGCCCTATACGCCACTACAAACTCAACACTGTTACCTATGGTACAGCATCGGCATCATTCCTTGCCACCAGAGCAGTCAAGGAGGTCTCAACCGTAGAAAAGAAGAACTACCCCCAAGCAGCAGAAGCCGCCGCGCGCGACCTATACATGGATGACCTGATGTCCGGTGAGCCAACTATCAAACAAGCCCTCAACACCCAAACTCAGATTATTGCCCTTGCCAAGTCTGCATGTCTCAGCCTACGCAAATGGAGTTCCAACTCGCAAGCTGTGTTGGACTCGCTGCCCCCAGAAATGAGAGAGACCCAATCTCTCGACCTCTTCGATTTGGATTCAAGCGTGAAAACCCTCGGGATAAGTTGGAATCCAAAATCTGATCATTTCTTCTTCAGATTTAACCCGCAACCAAATGGTAATAAGCCTCTCAACAAACGCACCGTCCTGTCCGAAATAGCTCGCCTCTTCGACCCGATCGGTTGGCTAGCCCCCATCATGATAAACGCCAAGATTTTGATGCAATCATTGTGGAAATTGCATCAAGGGTGGGACGATGAACTTCCCCAAGACGTTCAACAACAATGGATGGAGTTCAAAGTGGACCTACAACAACTTTGCAAACTAAAAATCAAGCGTTGTTTCTTCAAAGATTCAAGCATAACCTGCCCAAGTCTCAATATCCCCTATCCGCTCACAACCCTCAAGATTTGCCTTGCTGGATTCTGCGACGCGTCTGAGAAAGCATTCGCCGCTGTCGTATACTTATGCGCCTACCAAGGGTCATGCTCATCAATTTCTCTCATCACATCCAAAACCCGTGTAGCCCCAACCAAAGTCGTCTCTCTTCCTCGCCTCGAATTGTGTGGAGCAGTTCTATTAGCCGAACTCATTCCCAAAGTAAAAACAGCTCTCAAGATCCCAATTCACTCCGTCAGCGCCTGGACGGACTCCACAGTCACACTCGCTTGGATCAAGTCCAATCCCTCCCGATGGAAGACCTTCGTGGCCAACAGGGTCACAAGGATTCAAGACAAGGTTCCCCTCGAGTCATGGAGTCACGTTCGCGGAGACGACAACCCAGCCGACTGCCCATCTCGTGGAATCAAATGTGACGAACTTATTCATCATCCCCTCTGGTGGAATGGTCCATCATGGCTCAAATGTGGGATACCAAATCCAACCAAGGTCCAAGTCCTCGAATCTGAAGACGTGTCCAAGGAAGAACGCCAAGTAACTTGTCACATCACGTTATCCGATACCGATCAAGCATTGTTATGTGGGACCTCATCACTCCGAAAATTGCAACGAGTCACCGCATTCGTACTTCGTTTCGTAAGGAATTGCAGAAATCCCAATCTCCACCCGCAAAAGACCAAGTCTCATCACCCGTTGACCCCAGGTGAACTACATCAAGCTTTGAATCACTGGGTCAAAGTCGTTCAGCACCAAGCTTTTTATGAAGATCTTCAACAACTGAAGAAAGGACAACCACTCCACAGCAAGAGCAAAATTCTCTCCCTTTCCCCATTTCTGGACGAAACTGGTGTTATCCGTGTTGGAGGTCGTCTCAAATCCTCATCACTTTCTCCAGACCAGAAAAATCCAATTCTCCTTCCGTATCATGGCCAGTTAACCCACCTCATCATCCAAGACGCCCATATCCGACACTTTCACGCCGGACCTCAACTAATGATGGCAGTGATCCAACGCCAGTTTTGGATCATCCGAGCCAGGGACGCTATTCGGTACTTTACACGAAAGTGCGTGAATTGTATTCGACAACGAGCCAGCACCATGCAGCAAGTGATGGCTGACCTACCAGCATTTCGCGTCAATCAATCCCGACCCTTTCTCAAATGTGGTGTGGACTACGCTGGACCCTTCATGCTCAAGCCCCTACTCAAAGGAAGCAAGATCACAATCAAAGCGTATTTAGCAGTATTTGTATGCTGTGTAACTCGTGCCCTCCACCTAGAAGTCGTGAGTGACTTAACTACTGAGGCATTTCTCGCCGCCCTGAAGAGATTCATTGCCCGCAGAGGTCGACCCACCGATGTCTACAGTGACTGCGGTACCAATTTCGTTGGAGCCATGAACGAGATGAAGGATGTCATGAGACTTCTCCTTTCAAAATCCCATAATGACAAGATTGCAAATTACATGTCAACTGATGGAATAACCTGGCATCTAAATAGTCCTGCCTCTCCCCATTTTGGAGGACTCTGGGAAGCAGGAGTGAAATCTATCAAGTACCACCTCCGCCGAGTGATTGGCTTGCAACGCCTCAACTTCGAAGAGATGACGACAGCAATATGCCAAATAGAAGCAATCCTTAACTCAAGACCCCTCACAGCAGAATCCACTGATCCCCAGGATTTAGCTGCCTTAACGCCAGGCCACTTCTTAATCGGTGCCCCCTTGACTGCAATCCCTGAACCGTCACTCGACCACATCAAGCAAAATCAATTATCCCATTGGCAACTGCTGCAGCAACTGATGCAGTCATTCTGGAAACGCTGGTCTGCAGAATATCTCACGCGCCTACAACAACGCCCAAAGTGGATGGCTGGAAACAAGAAGATATCAGTTGGTGAACTGGTACTTATCAAAGATGAGAACCTCCCCCCATTGAAGTGGAAGCTCGGACGCGTTCTCGCCCTTCATCCTGGACCCGATTCAATCGTTCGAGTCGTCACCCTCAAGACATCCAACGGTGAAATCAAACGCCCCATCGTGAAAATTTGCCCACTTTCCGTACCTTCATCCGACCCCAATCAAGACGACGATTTAGTGCTTACTTTGTAATTATTTTTGAAATAGTTATTTCAACCCGGCCGGAATGTTGGGATTCGTACAGTTTTAAACTTTAGTTCAAGTTTTATCCAAAATAACCTTCAATAATCATTATGCTATGCTTATTTATTTATGTAATTTTGTGCACTGACTTGAGTTCATTCCTTATCGTATTTTACATTTAAGTTACCCATGTAACTTCATTTGAGTAATTGTGTACGAGTTCATTTCCTTTAATCTCTATTGTGACTAATAAGTTGAACCCGAGTTCTAAGTATTCTTATTTTACCTTGACAGTAACTTTCCAGAAGGTCTAATTTTACATACTTAATTGCTCATTTACTTACCATAGGTTATAAATACAAGTTACATATTTTTCCTCGTTGTCATTCTGCTTACACAATTTGTCCAAGTCAGTCAGGTCACGTCAGTCTATTTTCCTAATCTCAATTTGCCTCAATTTGTATGAATTTAATAACTTGTATAAACTGACTACAATCAAGTACTTCACATTGCCATCTTATTTCTCACCGATCCATACACATATTTGCACACATTTCAATACCCATAATCAGGGAACACTCATTTTTATCACTCACACAAACCCCCTGCTCGTTGGGAGCCGTCATCCCCAACATTTTGGTCTCTCCGAACCGGATATCTCTACCGGTAATTAAAGTGTGATAATAGTGATTAAAACCCCCTGAAGCCAAAAGCAACACCCATGGCACCTTCAGCGATCGACAAAGCAGTGCACGACCGCAGCAGCATCAGCGACACCCTCGATTTCCTTGAAGTTGAAGTCACCAACCATGCAACCACACCCCTTGATGAAGCCGGAATCAATCATCTCCTTGTAATGGCAAAAACCAGTCAATTAGAAGTGATGGATATTCATAAAAAGATTCAAGCAACAGCTCCTGCCGATATGACTCCCCACGTTACGGAATACCAACGTCTTCTTCGCAAGGCGTGTCGTATCGTCACAACGATGACCGGTTTCAAGCTGAAGATTCCTGGCACCCCCACCGTCTCGACATCCACAACCAACAGCGAAATCCGACTTCCTATACTGGAGCTACCCACGTTCGACGGTAATCTCCACGAATGGGTGTCATTCCGTGACATGTTTGTAACTGCAGTCCACGACAACACCAAGTTAAGTAAATCCCAAAAATTCACTTACCTCAAAAGCCAATTAAAGGGTGAAGCAGCCCGACAACTCCAAAGTATGATAATCACTGACGCCAATTACGACATCGCATGGAGCCAGCTATCCGACCGCTACCAGAATGACCGTGAGCTCCTTTTTGCAATCATGCGAAAGTTTACAAATCAACCAATTGTTCAGTCCCAATCAGCAACAGCAATTCGTCAACTTGTGGACGTATCAAGAGAATGCATCCGATCCCTTCAAGTCCTCAAACTACCTACAGACCAATGGGATGCTATTCTACTCTTCCTAATGATGATGAAGATGGATTCCTCCTCCAAAGAATTGTGGGAACAGAGCCTGAACGATAGCGCTATCCCAACCCTCAAGTCCTTCTTCGATTTCCTAGAGCAGCGTGCCCGCGCCCTCGCCGCCAGCGGAACCAGCACGACCCCAAAGAATGCAAGCAAATCCAACAACAATTATCATGGCGACAAGAGCCGAACCCCTCGAAGTCTTGTCCATGTCACCGCGACGAAGTCGTCCAATTCCTGCAAATGTTGCGATGAGCCGTCTCATCCCATCTACCGCTGTGAGAAGTTTATCCAATTTCCCGTCCAGCAGCGTTGTGAAGTCACCCGTAAGCACAACTTTTGCTATAATTGTCTAACTGAGGGACATCAGGTCTCAAAGTGTACGAGCAACAAGGGTTGTCGTACGTGCGGTGGAAGACATCATACCATGCTACACCGACCCACGCCATCGGATCACTCAACCGGCACCAGGCCAAGAGATGACCCCAATGGTGGTGCTATTGTGCACCTCACGTCTACTTCAACATCCCAAGGCTACAACAATAAATCAAATGTTGAAACACCCCCTCAATCAAGTCGTTCTTTCTCTTTGGGCAAGGAGTACGACACTCTCCTCGCCACAGCACTGGTGCAAGTCCTTGACAAGCACGGTCACTACCATACAGTAAGAATTCTCGCTGATAACGCCTGCAACACCAACTTCGCGACAGAATCCTGCGCCCGTCGTATCGGCCTACCACGTCGACGATATCTCACGTCAGCAACTGGACTCGGTGGAGCAGCAGTAGCTACGTCATCAGGATTCACTTGGTTCACAATAACTCCCCATTTCGACACATCCGTTACCTTTACTGTCTCAAGGTGCCTCCTTACAAACAAGATCACTGGTAAACTTCCAACTTCCAAATTTGACCACACCAGGTGGCCTCATCTGCAGGGTATCAATCTCTCAGACCCTTCGTACCACGAACCTGAAGAAGTGGATATGCTCCTGGGCGCAGAATTTTTCTTCGCCATCCTAGAAGGTGGAAAGAGGTCCGGTCCTCCCAACAGTCCCGTGGCTCTTGAAACCAGTTTCGGTTGGCTGATTGGTGGTGGATCTAGCGATTCTCCTCTTATCCAGCCCACGGTGCATACCACTCTCACGCCAAAGGAAACTACAACACCAAACTCGACACACTTCTCATCGACCAGTGATCAAGAAGATGAACACCTTGACAGCCTCCTTCGCAAGTTTTGGGAAATGGAGAATGAACCACCCACACGACTACTTTCCCCTGAAGAATCGGCCGCAGAAACACACTTCACTTCCACATACACCCGTGATGATGAAGGAAGATTCATGGTGAGAATCCCCTTCAAGACCCCACGACCAAAGCTGGGTCATTCCCTCAAGATTGCTGAGAAGCGTCTCATGTACCTCGAGCGACGACTTCAAGCAAACCCTACCTATCGCCAAGAGTATCACTCCTTCATGAAGGAATACGAGCAGCTCGGACACATGACAGAAGTTACCAATTTGGACTCCGAATCGGGTAACAAATGCTATTTGCCCCATCACTTTGTGCTGAAACCCTCAAGCACAACAACAAAGTTCAGGGTCGTCTTTGATGCATCTGCCAAGACATCCAACAACATTTCTCTCAACGACACAATGTTAGTTGGCCCAACTATTCAAGATCCCCTCATTGACTTACTAATCAGATTCAGGCTACACCGAATAGCATTTACGGCAGACATCGCCAAGATGTACCGTCAGATTCTTGTCCACCCGGAAGATGCTGAGATGCAGCGAATCTTGTGGAGAGAAGACTCCTCAGGCCCTATACGCCACTACAAACTCAACACTGTTACCTATGGTACAGCATCGGCATCATTCCTTGCCACCAGAGCAGTCAAGGAGGTCTCAACCGTAGAAAAGAAGAACTACCCCCAAGCAGCAGAAGCCGCCGCGCGCGACCTATACATGGATGACCTGATGTCCGGTGAGCCAACTATCAAACAAGCCCTCAACACCCAAACTCAGATTATTGCCCTTGCCAAGTCTGCATGTCTCAGCCTACGCAAATGGAGTTCCAACTCGCAAGCTGTGTTGGACTCGCTGCCCCCAGAAATGAGAGAGACCCAATCTCTCGACCTCTTCGATTTGGATTCAAGCGTGAAAACCCTCGGGATAAGTTGGAATCCAAAATCTGATCATTTCTTCTTCAGATTTAACCCGCAACCAAATGGTAATAAGCCTCTCAACAAACGCACCGTCCTGTCCGAAATAGCTCGCCTCTTCGACCCGATCGGTTGGCTAGCCCCCATCATGATAAACGCCAAGATTTTGATGCAATCATTGTGGAAATTGCATCAAGGGTGGGACGATGAACTTCCCCAAGACGTTCAACAACAATGGATGGAGTTCAAAGTGGACCTACAACAACTTTGCAAACTAAAAATCAAGCGTTGTTTCTTCAAAGATTCAAGCATAACCTGCCCAAGTCTCAATATCCCCTATCCGCTCACAACCCTCAAGATTTGCCTTGCTGGATTCTGCGACGCGTCTGAGAAAGCATTCGCCGCTGTCGTATACTTATGCGCCTACCAAGGGTCATGCTCATCAATTTCTCTCATCACATCCAAAACCCGTGTAGCCCCAACCAAAGTCGTCTCTCTTCCTCGCCTCGAATTGTGTGGAGCAGTTCTATTAGCCGAACTCATTCCCAAAGTAAAAACAGCTCTCAAGATCCCAATTCACTCCGTCAGCGCCTGGACGGACTCCACAGTCACACTCGCTTGGATCAAGTCCAATCCCTCCCGATGGAAGACCTTCGTGGCCAACAGGGTCACAAGGATTCAAGACAAGGTTCCCCTCGAGTCATGGAGTCACGTTCGCGGAGACGACAACCCAGCCGACTGCCCATCTCGTGGAATCAAATGTGACGAACTTATTCATCATCCCCTCTGGTGGAATGGTCCATCATGGCTCAAATGTGGGATACCAAATCCAACCAAGGTCCAAGTCCTCGAATCTGAAGACGTGTCCAAGGAAGAACGCCAAGTAACTTGTCACATCACGTTATCCGATACCGATCAAGCATTGTTATGTGGGACCTCATCACTCCGAAAATTGCAACGAGTCACCGCATTCGTACTTCGTTTCGTAAGGAATTGCAGAAATCCCAATCTCCACCCGCAAAAGACCAAGTCTCATCACCCGTTGACCCCAGGTGAACTACATCAAGCTTTGAATCACTGGGTCAAAGTCGTTCAGCACCAAGCTTTTTATGAAGATCTTCAACAACTGAAGAAAGGACAACCACTCCACAGCAAGAGCAAAATTCTCTCCCTTTCCCCATTTCTGGACGAAACTGGTGTTATCCGTGTTGGAGGTCGTCTCAAATCCTCATCACTTTCTCCAGACCAGAAAAATCCAATTCTCCTTCCGTATCATGGCCAGTTAACCCACCTCATCATCCAAGACGCCCATATCCGACACTTTCACGCCGGACCTCAACTAATGATGGCAGTGATCCAACGCCAGTTTTGGATCATCCGAGCCAGGGACGCTATTCGGTACTTTACACGAAAGTGCGTGAATTGTATTCGACAACGAGCCAGCACCATGCAGCAAGTGATGGCTGACCTACCAGCATTTCGCGTCAATCAATCCCGACCCTTTCTCAAATGTGGTGTGGACTACGCTGGACCCTTCATGCTCAAGCCCCTACTCAAAGGAAGCAAGATCACAATCAAAGCGTATTTAGCAGTATTTGTATGCTGTGTAACTCGTGCCCTCCACCTAGAAGTCGTGAGTGACTTAACTACTGAGGCATTTCTCGCCGCCCTGAAGAGATTCATTGCCCGCAGAGGTCGACCCACCGATGTCTACAGTGACTGCGGTACCAATTTCGTTGGAGCCATGAACGAGATGAAGGATGTCATGAGACTTCTCCTTTCAAAATCCCATAATGACAAGATTGCAAATTACATGTCAACTGATGGAATAACCTGGCATCTAAATAGTCCTGCCTCTCCCCATTTTGGAGGACTCTGGGAAGCAGGAGTGAAATCTATCAAGTACCACCTCCGCCGAGTGATTGGCTTGCAACGCCTCAACTTCGAAGAGATGACGACAGCAATATGCCAAATAGAAGCAATCCTTAACTCAAGACCCCTCACAGCAGAATCCACTGATCCCCAGGATTTAGCTGCCTTAACGCCAGGCCACTTCTTAATCGGTGCCCCCTTGACTGCAATCCCTGAACCGTCACTCGACCACATCAAGCAAAATCAATTATCCCATTGGCAACTGCTGCAGCAACTGATGCAGTCATTCTGGAAACGCTGGTCTGCAGAATATCTCACGCGCCTACAACAACGCCCAAAGTGGATGGCTGGAAACAAGAAGATATCAGTTGGTGAACTGGTACTTATCAAAGATGAGAACCTCCCCCCATTGAAGTGGAAGCTCGGACGCGTTCTCGCCCTTCATCCTGGACCCGATTCAATCGTTCGAGTCGTCACCCTCAAGACATCCAACGGTGAAATCAAACGCCCCATCGTGAAAATTTGCCCACTTTCCGTACCTTCATCCGACCCCAATCAAGACGACGATTTAGTGCTTACTTTGTAATTATTTTTGAAATAGTTATTTCAACCCGGCCGGAATGTTGGGATTCGTACAGTTTTAAACTTTAGTTCAAGTTTTATCCAAAATAACCTTCAATAATCATTATGCTATGCTTATTTATTTATGTAATTTTGTGCACTGACTTGAGTTCATTCCTTATCGTATTTTACATTTAAGTTACCCATGTAACTTCATTTGAGTAATTGTGTACGAGTTCATTTCCTTTAATCTCTATTGTGACTAATAAGTTGAACCCGAGTTCTAAGTATTCTTATTTTACCTTGACAGTAACTTTCCAGAAGGTCTAATTTTACATACTTAATTGCTCATTTACTTACCATAGGTTATAAATACAAGTTACATATTTTTCCTCGTTGTCATTCTGCTTACACAATTTGTCCAAGTCAGTCAGGTCACGTCAGTCTATTTTCCTAATCTCAATTTGCCTCAATTTGTATGAATTTAATAACTTGTATAAACTGACTACAATCAAGTACTTCACATTGCCATCTTATTTCTCACCGATCCATACACATATTTGCACACATTTCAATACCCATAATCAGGGAACACTCATTTTTATCACTCACACAAACCCCCTGCTCGTTGGGAGCCGTCATCCCCAACATAGTATGTATTTAGCATGTTTGCTTTACCGTAGTTAGAGGTGATGGACGTATGTAAGATAGATACATGCAACTGTATGATTGTCATGATTTAAATACATGATTATCTTATTGCTTGATCAAATTTGTCAACCTAAGTAGCATCAGAAAGTATCAAGCTGTACACATAAATTATCAGTGCAAAAATACTTAATTCCATTACTTCAAGTAATTAAGGTCGTAGTTCATTTCTATTTAAATATGAAATAAGCCTCCATTTTTCCTTGGCCTGATTGTAGGTCGTTGTTACTTACTCATCCCAAGTAATTTTCGAAATGACAAAAAAATAATAATTTGAATCATTCAAAACGTGACAAAATGAAGCGAACCCAAGGCATTTTATTCAACCAGAATGATTTCGTTCCTATAAAATTGTATTATAGCACTGCCATTTGTTTTATTGAAATTTTGACAATTTTACTTGCTACCGTTTCATATTAGGAAACCGCACAGTGCGAAATGCTGCGAAATGTTGGCAAAAGCTGCCGTGGTACATATAATTTTTATGTGATCGTTGTTACTAACTAGTAATAATGATAAGAAGCGCTTCACCGCAAGAAAGATGCGATAGAAAACTTGCTCGACGAGATTTACTTGTACTGCATTTTTTTAATAGAAGCAAACAATCGTTTTTAATTTTAATTCAGAATACTTGAATTATTGAAAAAGTTTGATTTCGCGCATAATTAATGAGATTTTTTCATAATGCCGATTTCGAGGTTTGCATAATAATAGTAATCGAAACGGGGCAGTGAACCTGTTTCTGATTCGTTATTTTATAGCAGCCATTCACTTATTTATGTAATTTCGGTAAACAACTTTCTGTTTTTATTGGGAAAAATAAGGAGTTATGTATAAAAAATAATTACAATTAGTCATGCAACTTTATATTGTGTCTAAAATAATCAGGATATTTACGAGAATCATTCAATATTCAATATTTACGAGAAATCGATGTAATGTATATTTAATACTTATAAACAAATGGCAAACTATTTACGGCGTATATGTACGAAAAAGCTGTAAAAATACATATTTATTTTCACAAAATTTCTATTTCTGAGTATAGCTCCGGATTTTTTTGTAATCGAATTTCTTTGAGAAAAAAAATCACCTCGTTTCGTTGAAATATTTACAAAATATATATTTTTTAGAAAAATATCTGAAATATTTACGTATTTTTCAAAAATATTATCCGAAATATTTATAAATATATTTATTCCTCAAATATAAACATATTTTGTGTGAATTTTATGTGATCGTGTGGGTCGTCATCAAATGAAAAAGTGGAAAATAAATAGGTATTTAGATATCTACCTATGAAAATACAAACAAAAATTATTATTATTTTGGGAACATTTTATTTTCAAAAATTCACATTTTTACAACATTTAATCACAACAATAAATCATACCAACAAATTATAGCCTCATTTGTTCACAATTAATATTTCAAGCGAGACATTCATTCCTAAAATTCACACATAATTCTGTAGAACACATACAACATTTTCTCATCAAAAACAATAATTAAGAAATTTTGAGGCTGAAATATTTATCTATTTAATAACAATCATTCTCTCATTAGGCTTCTTCTAAATAAAGCGTTTCATTCATAAAAAAAATAATTATATTGCATTGTCCATGCTAATTGTAAGTAAAAAAAGACGTATTATATCACTTTGTATTAAACCAAAGTGTAAAATATCATGGTTTAACATACATAAACTTAATGAAACACATTTCACTTAAGATCATACGTAAAGTTGTCGCAATCATGAAAAAAATTCATGACCACGAATAATTAATAATCATTAATCAAACACAAACATTTCATATTTTTTGGGAATTTTAAAAATTTTCCATTTTTCATACCACTCATCTTAATATGTACCACGTATTCCGGAAAGAGATTCACACAAAACAGTGAGTTGAGCTTGATGCATAAAAATAAAAATAAAAACTTTTTCGTTATTTTGACACATTTTCACACCTCATTCAAAAATTGTTTCAAAGATAAGCATGACACTGACACAAGCTCATTTTTATACTTATTGATTATTGAATATTTACGTAAATTCACCTCCTAAATTATGAAAATATTTAATACGAATATTTATGTAATAATGATGCACTTTACAGAAAACTTTGGGACGGATTTTGATTGGAAACATTTTTCTGGAGGGTGGTCTTCCTCAATAATACTCTGGCATTTAAAAATAAGGAAATATTTATGTGAAAATTATTGCATTGACATTTTAAAAAAAAGATAAGGTTTTTTTCATATTTTTACGAAGATAACATTGATAAATCTTTCGCCTATGTAAAAAAATAAACTGTACAAGTTAAAACAAAAGTAATAAAATCTTGATAAAGTCGATTACAATATTTTAATAAATGGATGCATCCAATTCGGCTGTCTTCGTTCAGATAATTTTTCAATTTCGCCATTGGAAATTTTTAGATTTGGGAATTTTCTAGCAGAGTTTTCGTTCATGATGAATATCCTGTAAAAACGGGGAATCAATTAGTACAGCTTTTTTTGCATGGATTATTTTATGAATTGGACAATACGCAACATTTAACAAGAAGAGAGTTAAATATGTACATTAGTGAGATGAGAATAGTTTATATTTAATATGGCAGAAGGAAATTGAAACTCGTTTTCAATTAATATTTGTATGCAAGCCTTGTATGTATTTGTATCGTAAAAAAGTGTGATTGTATTCAAGAATACATTTTATCGTAGGAAAAATCTCTATTTTTTAAATATGCACATGCAGTTTTAGTAGAATTTACACTGACTGAAGCACATTGAAAGCACGTAAAGTAGTTAAAGGTATTAGTAATTTCTTACCTTTTCCAGCCAAGCGATCTACTACGAGCTACATACGTCTAACAGTTGCGGTTAGATTATTTTGTTAGTAGAACTAAATATTTAAGTTGCATTTAAGGCAAAAATCAAAGTTAGTCAACGTTTGTTAGTAATTTATGAGGAACATTGCACACCGAAAAACAACACAAATTTAGTATTAATTGTGGTCGAGCTTAGAAAAAATGTCCATTTTCGTCAACGTCATCATCACTACTGAAAGACGTGTTTGACGTAAAGTCATGGTCCAAATTAAAGAAATCTGGCTCTGGTAGAGAAATAGGTGCACTCTTTTGAGTAGAAGGTTTAGCTTCTAAAGTTTTATTTGCAACGGAACGTGTGTCGGAAGAGGAATGTGCGGAAATTGTGTCGTCGTCGTTGTTATTGGCGTCGTCGCCATCTTCTCCATCCTGGCCCGGATTTTGAAGCCTACTCGCAACAACTTTCATCAACATGCGTTTAGCCAAGTGCGAACGAGACGGGTACAGCGGTTCGAGACCGAGGTATGGCGTGTCAAAAGTATTACGGGCTTGTTGATCTGCGTCCTTGTAGTGGTACTCGTATTGCAGGGGGACTTCGCGGGGATGTTTTTGGACATCGACATAATTCGAGTAGTCGTCGTCGTGCGGGGGTCGGGTGGACGAAATCCCGCCGGTTTGGTCTAGTTTTTCGTGGATTGGTCCTAAATTGAATGAACACATTTGGAGGTTAAGTATCTAGATTATGACAGCTTATTGGATTCCGGTGGTGATGTGGGATCGCTGTGCAGTGCGTGTTTTTTGCAGTGGTGCAATGGGTCACGTGTGCAAGTTACGTGGCGTAACTTGAGTTGGATTTGTGTGGGTGTGGGTGCGGAAATAAATAATTGATTTGTACTGCGGTGATCAGAAGCATGAAAAAAAATCTCTTTAAGCTGCGGAATCTGTAAATTGGCTTGGTCTATTGGACTTAATCCTCTTGTGTTTCAGGAGACGTTGTCTTTGTCTTCGTCGCCACTCTGCTACGGAGAATGTTTTATTCGGAGGTGGTGATTTTGGACCCAGATTGATCCTTCTTCGTCTTTGGGGTATATTTTCTGAAGGGATTATTGGAGTAGTTGTGGCGTTCTCGTCACTTTTTGTGAGGATTTCCTCATCAGTCTTGATATTACTTAAAGTAGTACTGTTGACAACACTTGCTGCCAACATTGTGGCGTTGGCTACCTTTAAAATAACTGGGAGAGAAGAAGACTGTTGTGACCTATCGTCTATTTTAAATGGCGGAGGAGTATTGCAATTGTGATGATGACTAGTAAAAATGGAGGGCCTAACTCTCCTCATATTTCGGAGCCTTCTCATCATCCTACGCTTTTCTTTATTAGTCAAACTTTTGCCTATTAGTGGTTCTGCATTCGGTAAAGAAAAAGGTTTATAGTTAAAATTTGAATGGGGAGTTAGTGGTACTGCTCTTCTGGGCAAAATAAACTCTAAATTTCCACCCGATTTTGCACCACCTTCTTTCGCGATAGCGATCTCCTGCGCGGTGGGAACATATTCTTGACTACTTTTGATTTCAAAGTCGTTTTTGGAGTAGATTTTTAACCTGTAACCGGCCCCGATTTCTTTTGAATCGGAAAAAGAAGAGTTATTTTCTGCAGAACCACTTTCTTCATAGGTTTCTAATGAAGTATTGGTGGTGGGGGAATAGTCTAAAATTTCAGGTTTGGTGGGGGCCGTGGCCTCGAAACTGTCAAACTCTGTCGTGGAGGGGGCTTCTATTTGGGTTTCGAGTTCAAAGTCTGGTTGAGAAGTGGCTTTAAGATCTGAAATTTCAATTGGGTCAAGAGGTGGGTCTGATTTTATGAGGTCGCTGCTGGCAGATGAAGATGAAGAATAGGTCGTATCTGGATCTGGGTCTGGAATGTGTTTAGAAATTGTGCTTGGTTGGACTGGGCGACGGATGGCTGGTTTCTTGGTCAGAGTGCTAATTGGGAAAAATTTTCGTTCAAATTTCCTCCTTGGTTTAGTAGTCGTTGTTGTTGTGGAGGTCATTTCTGTCGGGGTTTCACTGTGAGGATCAGATTCTTGGTGGTAATATGCGTCGTTATCTGTACTACTGACAACAATGGTGGCAGAAGAGGAAGACATGGTTGAATCCATGTCATCATGCTGAATTTTCTGCGAATCATGAGATAATTCATTGTAGTCTGGTTCGTCACTTTGTTGCCGACTCTCACCATTATTATAGACATTTGGTTCATCGTCATTCGTCACTTGTGAGTCTGTAAAGTCTTCTGAAGCGTTATGCGTATTGTTTGCGGATATTGAATCTTGTTCAGATTCGTTAAGCGATGATGACGAGAAAGCAGTAGCGTTAGTGGCGGAATCATCATCAATTTCAGATTCCGAGACAAACATTGGGTTAGTAAAAGCACGAATAGTTTGGTTATTTTTATCAGACAAGACAGCAACGTCACTTTTTTTCTGGTTTATTTGAGACTGCTCAGTATTCATCGTCGTTACGTTATTATCGTCAGCTAATGATAAATCTGGAGAAAGTTCTTGTTCTACGAAATCCTCACTTTCACGACTGACACTGGAACTAACGGAAACTTTCGACTCGCTCGAAGACGTCGAGTTCGTTCTAAACTTCCGTCTCGGCGATGGTTCCAGGTACGGCCTACCCCTATTTTTTAACGGATAAGACATTTCATACGTCCTATTTTCTATAACTTTCTGAATATCGTGCGAAATGGTGGGGTCCGAGTGGAAAAATTTAACTTTCTGATTCTGAGGGAATATTACTTTTCTCCTATTAAAAATAAACGGTTTTGGAGGAGGTGATGTCGACGAGGAGACAAAAACGGGACGATTCTCAGACTCACTTTCATCCGAATCATCCAAATCAACATCCTCACTTTGCATGTTGTTGTTAGTCAAAAAGAGTTTGTCTACTACATGAAATTGTTTGGTTGTGTGGCTCAACTTGCCTTGAGTAGTTGTGGAGGAATCTGTTGATGTCGAGGGGGAGGAGGAATCGTCAGATTCCTGAGAAGTGGAGGAAGAAGAGTACCTATGTCCAGGGTGTCGATATACAGGGCTAAGGTTTTGAGAGGAGGATTGGTAAGGATCAGGATTAGAGGGGGACCCATACTCAGAATTTGACGCCGGCGCAGGACCCAAAGATAAGCTGCTGGAACACGGCGTGCATGGGAACGACGGCATCACGGATGGCTGTTGTTGTTGCGGTTGTGCTTCTTGCAGGAGAGGGCGATACTCTTGATCCGGTATGGACGCCTGTTGTGGTGCGGGAGGTTGTTGGTACTGCTGGTGGTCATAACTTTGATCGGGTTGTGGGTGGTATCCTTGGTCCGGTTGATAAGTAGGCGACGATGGTTGGAAACCTTGATCAGGAGAGGGACCATCTTGATAACTTGGTTGTTGATAACCCTGGTCCGGAGTGGGCTGGTAACTCGGCTGGGGTACCGGGTACCCCTGGTCGATCTGATTCGTCGTGATGAAACCTTGCTGTTGAGGGGCCGGCTGTTGCGCCGGGATTTGTTCGTAGGACTGAGTATGAGCTAGGGAAGCGGGTTGCAGGGAGAAAGAGGAGGAGGAATACCCGGTAGACGGGAGGTTTGTGGGTGGGGCTCCATAGTCACCTTGTGGAACGGGTCCGGCAGGTTGTCCTCTCATTTTGAGCGTCTCGTAAACCATGAAAACATCTTTATTGTTGGCCACGACCGACGAGTCAGGTGTCCCATAACTGTTTGCGGTCGGTCGGTCGACGGCATATTGCGGAGAAGGAGCTGATGACAAGAGCCCAACAACCCGGTCAGAATTAGAATTAGATTTTATCCTTATTCGCACCCCGTGCGGGGGCAGCATGCTGGCATCATGAGTTAGTTTGTCAGCGTTAGTATTATATTTGTTAGTGTTAGTGGTTGAGTTTTTCTGGTTAGTTGGTAAAGCCGCACTGGTGAAAATGTTAGTTTCAGCGTTGTCATTGTCAGTATTATCATTAGAAAGTTCGTTCAGGGCGGGAGTGGCGGTTGACGAAGCACTAATTATTATGTGTCGAGGGGGTTGAATGGTTGGATGATGATGATCAAGTCGATTACTGCTATTCGGCCGATAAGTACTTGCCATCGGGGTAATTGTTCGTGGTCGCCACGTGGTACTACTACTATGCGCATACGGAACTATGACCGAGGGCGTGGGGGGAGTAGTACTAGAAGCAAGTGCGGTGGTAACTACTACGCCGGGGTGGATTTTACTGGGGGCAGGGGAAGAGTCAAGTGCTACAAGTGGTCGTGGCGTTAGTTCCAACTCGTGTAAAACTAAGGTGGGCGGGGTGGATGGGAAGGTGTTAGTCCGAAAATAAGGTCGCTTTCTATTCTTACCGTGTTTGTTATTGTTATTTTTCGTAAGTTCGATATGATATTGCTTGTGAATTTTTAAGGTAGGGGTAGACTTTCGTCTGTAAAGTTGTCTTTTTTTACCTGGACTTTGACTACTGTATCCAGTCGAGGAGGAGTGAGAGTTAGGACTTGAGTAGGTCATTGAGGAAATTTCTATGGCGGGTTGGATCGACGAGGAAGATAAAGAGTTTGCGTTGAAGCTAGAGAAAGAAGGAGTATTGTAGCCCGATTGGGGGGCTGGAGCATTATATTCCGGCTGTGGCGCGGGGGAATTGTACCCGGGTTGGGGGGCGTTGTATTCGGGGGCGGGGGAGTTGTAGCCGGGTTGAGGGGCTGGAGCATTGTACTCGGGCGCTGGGGTATTGTAACTTGGTTGTGGGGATGGCGCATTATACTCTGGCGCAGGCGCGTTGTAGCTGGGTTGTGGGGATGGCGCATTGTATTCGGGCGCTGGTGAGTTATAACTTGGTTGTGGGGATGGCGCATTATATTCTGGCTGTGGCGCGGGGGAGTTGTACCCGGGTTGGGGGGCATTGTATTCGGGAGCTGGGGAGTTGTACCCGGGCTGTGGTGCGGGAGCATTGTACTCGGGCGCAGGCGCATTGTAACCTTGTTGTGGGGCTGGAGCGTTGTATTCCGGCGCGGGCGCGTTATAACCTTGTTGTGGTGCGGGCGCATTATATTCCGGCGCGGGCGCATTGTAACCTTGTTGTGGGGCTGGCGCATTATATTCCGGCGCGGGTGCATTGTAACCTTGTTGTGGGGCTGGCGCGTTATATTCTGGAGCAGGCGCATTATATCCTTGTGATGGTGCTGGCGCATTATATTCCGGCGCAGGCGCATTATAACCTTGTTGTGGTGCGGGCACATTGTATTCCGGCGCAGGCGCATTATACCCAGATTGTGGGGCTGGTGCATTATACTCCGGCGCTGGCGAATTGTACCCAGGCTGTGGAACTGAAGGGGCATTGTACTGTTCTTGTGGGGTTGGGGAGTAGGAGTTTGAAGGAGCGTTGTTATAAGCTTGTGCCGAGTAGCCTTGAGTGCCACCGTGATCATTATTATTGTACCCATTACCAAAATTATCATGTGAGGGCAAAGGATCTGACGCAGGTGCATTGTACTCAGGTGCTTGAGGCTGGTACTGTGCAGCCGTTGACCCGTGCGAGGAGGAAGAGCTAAAATCACCTGAATGGCTTCCACTGAAAGACCCGTACGAATCGGACGGCACGGGAGGAATACTTCCTCCGTATCCGGGGGATGGGCTCGAATATCCGGTTGAAGGCACTGCCCCATAGCCAGTGGAGGGCACTGCCCCATAACTTGAGGAAGGCACTGCTCCATAACTTGAAGAGGGGACTGCCCCATAACTCGAGGAAGGTGCCCCATAACCGGAGGAGGGAGCCCCATATCCAGACGAAGGCACTGGGGAGATGACGATGTACCCTGCATTTCCTGGAAATTTATAATGAAAAGATTTCAAAACCACAATTTGGAAATGTTAACACCGAATTTTGCAGTGATTTTCAACGCAGACCTTTTCCACCGCTGTATCCACCACCGCCACCGCTGTATCCGCCGCTTCCTCCCTTTCCATACCCTCCGGAACCAGAACTCCACCCACCACCTCCGCCCCCACCCTTACCAAGTCCGCTGAACAGGCTGGAGAATTTTCCCTTGATGTCGAAACCACCGCCGCCCTTGCCGCCCCCACCGCCTGAGGACCAACCGGAAGATGGTGGTGGACCATAAGTAGCCTGGAAGATAAATTGAATTTTATGCATGGTTTCATAATTTGGATTTGTTTCAGCTTTTGATTTAAATTATTACCTTGGGTGGACCGTATGAAGCCTAAAAAGTGCATATTTAATTGTATTAAAAATATGTATTTTTTAAATTTTCTCGGAAATTTATAAAGTCGAATTATTACCTTGGGTGGACCGTATGATGCCTAAAACGAACATTAAAATGTGTTAAAAATATGCGAAATTTTTATTTACTGGGAAATTTATAAAGTCGAATTTTGCATGTACCTTTGGTGGACCGTATGATGCCTAAAGCGTATTTAATTGTTAAAATGTGTTAAAAATACAGATATTTTTTATTTACTCCAAAATTTATACACTCAATTACCTTTGGTGGACCGTATGAAGCCTAAAAATGTAAATAATTTGTTGGTCATACACATTTCAAAAATTTCGTTCACAAGCTATTATAATATTAATAATACCTTTGGTGGTGGACCGTATGATGCCTACGAAGGAAATTAATTTATCAATTAAAATTATTTCAGAATTTTAAGTCAAAATTTAAATATTTATTGAATTAGCTACCTTGGGTGGAGGACCGTATGATGCCTAAGTAAAAATATACATTAATAATTATTTAATAAATTATCACAATTTTAATTATTCAATTTTAAATTTTATTAGACTTTAAACCTTAGGTGGACCGTAAGACGCCTGAAAAAACAGAATCAGTCAATTAATTACTTAATTCCTAAAGTTTACATTTTCACATAAAATTGGAAACCTACCTTTGGGGGTGGTCCGTACGAAGTGGAAGGTCCCTTGCCTAAAATTAGTGCAAAAATTAATAAAGACGCAAAATTCGGCATGGTTTTACTACAGGAAATGTAACATGTTCTAAATAAAGAGCTTGACCATCAAAGAATACAAATTCTTTGAAATGGTGTGATTGAAAATGTGTAAAGATTTGAAATCATTTGTATCGATTTCCCGTGTCGAAAAAAAGTGTAAGTAAAATGCAGTAACGTGTAGGTGTCCAAGTCGTGAGTAATTACCCGTAATTAACCAGGTATAACGGATAGATAAGGTGTAAATAATGACGAAAAGGCGTGCATAATCATAATAAATAATGTGTGGTGTAATGTAATGTAGCCGTGATTGAGCGATATTCAGACATAATTTTTGAAAAATTGTGTGCATGAATTACTGTCACGAGCGGTTGTCATCATCTACGTATTAAGAAAGACGACGATATTTTAAGGATTAAAGTTTGAAACGCATTTTCTTGTAGAATGAAAAGAAATTCGTGTGAGTGAAAAAATAAACCTACAAAAATTACTCGGCAAACAAATTGTGACGAAATCCTGGTACACGCACCTATTTAGTTTAGTGCTTGTACATATTTAGAATATGCCACCGTAATCACTTTCCTTTTCGATTTTAAAGTATTTAAACTTAAGCGAAGGAGCAAGTGTGCGAGAAAATTGGTGACTTCCGTCTTGAATTCAATAGCATTCTCTGTAACACCGCCGTAATAGCAGTGTCAGCAAAGGTGCTGTTATTAATATCGCTACATACACAAGTACTTAAATAGTTAGCAGATGAACTACTTATTTTGGATGTGTTACATATGTGCAAGACATTAGTTTTTTAAGTGACTCGCATTATTCAATAAATTGCAGTGATGTGATGTGGTGTAAATGTCTCTGTGACATTTTTTTGGGAGTGGCTGCGGCGGCGGTGTATTGATTAAGTAACATTTCCTAAGATGATGATTACCTTCTTCTTCTCCCTTATCTAACTTTGTATCGGTTATGTTATTAATCAAACTGGCTAAAACAGTGTCAGAAGAGTCAGCAAGCGTCAAGTCTCTTTGCGTGGCGTTAATATTGTTGTCAAAACTATTGGCACGAAGGAAGTCTTGGTGGTTTTGTTGTTCAGCAGAATGACCACCACCGGGGAATGGAGGGTGGCTAAATATGGGATCATGACGAGGATAATAACCATCATTGAGGACGACAGAGTCCGTATGGCTGTAATGGGGGAAGGGATGTTGCTGAAGATCGTTGATAGAATTTGAGAGATAGAGCTGATTTTGTATTATCTGGTCATTCCAAAGATCATTATGGCCATTGGGAATCCCATTGTTGTTCAGTTCGTAATTGTGCAGGGTATTCATCATCATGTGAGGAGTCATTTGCTGTTGAAGCAGCTTTTGTAGCTGAAGGGGGGACGAGGAGGGAAAGTTTTTTAAGTTATTGGCATTTGAATCGCTGCCATCAGTTTTGTAAAGGGTTGAATAGTTGCTGACTTGATTTTGGCGTTGGCTCATCATCGCTTGGAGAAGGGCGGCTTCGTCCATCATCATGTTCGGATTATCGTTCATAATGGACATGCCTGGTTGCTGTTGTTGCTGTTGTTGAGTCAGATATGCGTCCTCTTCTTGGGAGGAGGCGGTTTGTGGCGGAGATGAAAAGTAAGGTTGGTCAAACCAGGGTAGGTTTTTGTTCATGGGCATCATGGGAGGGGAGCCAGGTTGCTGCATCATCGCCATCATGGGGCTTTGGGGAGGGGGACCTTGTGGGGGTGGGGGTGGTCCTTGTGGATTTGGGGGTGGAGGAGGCCCTGGTGGACCCGTCCCGTTATTGATACTTTTCCAAATTTCGTTCCAATACGGGTCGAAGGGAATGGGTCCAACTGGTCCGGCGCCGGGGAAGGGGATGAAGGGAGGTGGTACACCGCCCGGAGGGAGGAAGGGTGGCAGTCCTCCGGGAGGAAAGGGCCCTCCAGGGAGGAAGATGGGTTTATGCGCGTATTTTGGGAATGGAGGAGGGGGAGGAGGTGGAGGTGGCATTGTTGGGGCTGGTGTAGTGGTCGGTGCAGGCGTCGTAGTGGTTTCTTCACCCCATCCCGAACTATTTGTTTGCACCCATCCACCCCATCTTATTGGGTTTCGACCTCTGCCTTTTCCTTTCCCGTTGAAAAGTCCCTTCTTGAACCATAACGTGTCCTTATAGGCGGCCAAGAGGAAGGAGAAGAAGTCCAAGGGGGGCATAGTTTTGGGCGCGGGGGGTGGAGGTGGACCGGATTGGCTTGGACTGGGCGCAGTCCAACCCCAACCCCCGTTTCCAATAGGAGCACTGTGATTCTTCGGACTAACCCAGCGAGGGTCAACCCAACCCGCACCATTGTTAATTGTGGTCGAGTGAGGGGCTCCGAGTGAGATGGTGACCGTGGGCAGGTGGGGAATGAAGCCCTGAATTATGTGGATCGGGTTTGGAATTAGGGCGAGGATAAACTCGTAAATATTCTGGGGTCCGACGGCTGCCGGGGCGGAGTAGGGGGTCAGTTGGACGTACAAAGTGGGGAGGTGCACTTTGGGAAATCTTGGCAAGAGATTCATCGTGTTTTTAAGACCGTAGGCAAGGTCGCGACCCGGCATTCGGAGAGACCACCGATTTTTATGGTAATTCATCCGAATGTGATCGGGGTACCCGGGGATGGTAAACCAAGGTCCTTCTCCTTGGTCGGTCCAAGGTCCAGTGTCTTTTTTTAAGTCAATGGTTAGTTGGTTAGTAAGAAATATGTACAAATAGAGAGGGATTTCACGTCAAGTTCGTAACCTACGTAACTGCGTTAGGTTTGTAAGTTTACACACTCTTGACGTGAGTTGATTTTGTAAACGTTTTCGTAAACATTTTTTAGTGAAAAAAATATCGCATATAAAATGTCATCAAAATGTTGCTAGCCAACTTTATCCTACCTTACACCAAATGACATGTAATTCTTTTTGAATTTTTTTGCCTAAAATATCAGTTTTTCAGGAATTACACAGCCATTTCATAGGTCACAAAATTCTATAATATACCAAAATCATCGTATGATCAAGACCGATCGATTGACACCCCACTGGATGAAGTGTGTCAATTTAGCCCGGATTTGACATTTGGGGGCTGGTCGGATAGCGACAAATATTTTCGGCTGGCAGCAATCTTTTGTAAAATAATTAAATTAATTTGCATTTGCGGGACGAGATCACAAAAAATTTACAATAGACAATTCGTCTCTAAGACAATTTCAACCGAAAATGTAAATATCAAACTCGAATTATTTACGAACTTTTGTTTACGAACCAAAAACATGCGTTTGAAGTGCGTAAGATTCGTAAAAGTTCGTAAGTCAATTTTCCTTAGAAATGTGTGTAAAAGTTCGTAAAAGTTTGTAAGCTTACAAACCTTACGCAGTTACGAAGGTTACAAACTGTGACGTGAGTTCCCTCAGAGAGAAATCCCACATTTTGGTTTGTAAAAGTTACGAAATTAATTTGAAAATAAAATTTCTGAAAGTATTTGAACTTCAAAATGTGGAAAGTCTCAAAAAGTAGAAAAAATTGGTCTTGTACAATGTTGTCAATTTGTAAGTTTAGTATTGTTAAAAAGGGCAAAGAGGCGTCGTCCGGTCGGTCTCGATTAATTACTTGTCATAGAAAAATCTCATTAAATAAGTGTCAATTTTACATTAATAACTTTTTACAAAAAAGTCATGACATCTTCATATTTTCACTGAAAATGCAGATTATAAAATGTCATTACCACCACTGAATGAAAGTTATAAGTATTTAATTGAGTGGAAAAGTGAGTGTGAAATACTCTTAATTTTCCAATGTCATTGTTCCCCGTACTCACACGGAAGAAAATTTGACATCATTGTCAATTATTATTGTCTCTTTAATTAAAACCGTCCCGCCGTTATTCCACTGATTAATCACATCGTGGTCTCGTAATGTCGACGTCTTCCTTCACATCGTTATTATGACAAACAAAGGAATAAAAAGTCAGTGTCATTGGCGTCTTGGGCGGAAATAAATTGCATCCAAATAAATCTGTGCAACTTCATTACGGCATGGTTTCTAAAGCATAAATTAATTTGTATGCGTAAGTTATGGTCAAGATGGATACTATTGTTAGTCAAAAAGCTAAAAATTGGGTGGATAATTGGCAGCCAATATTGACAGGGTAATAATGAAAATTCGAAAAATTTCGAAAAATTTTTCAAAAAAAGTGTTTCGGGTGCAAGAAATAAACGCAACAAAGTGGTCTCTTGCAGATATTTTGACCTGCAAGAAATGCAAGGTGGTAGAAACTGCGCCACGCCGCTATACTTATGGCGCATATTTCTTGCACTTTCTCCCAGTTTCTTGCACCTCGCATTAAATTCTTGTCAAACCCGCAAGAAATGAAACACTACTGCTCACTCACTTCTCAAGATCTTTTAAATTTCAAAGTTTTCACCCTTTAAAAAATTTACATGGTTGTAACGTGCCTCATAATTTTGCCTGTTATTACTTTTGACAGGAAGGAAAGGGAAATGATTCCCACGAGAGGGAATTAATAATACAATGGCATTTATTTTATGGCGATGCACCTGTTCGTTGAACTGAACTGAAGGTAATTTTTCTACATACATAAATATGCATGCAACGCATATGTACATACACATTCCCCATTTAACACCACTTACTTACTTACAACGCGTTGAACTAGGTTAAGCAAATATTGAGCATGTCTCTCTCCCTACTAAATATGTACACCAACCAATGTTTACATAATTTATGCAGCTATTCGACAATAATACACACGATTAAAATTTGAAATCGCTAAATTTTCTCATATGTACATTTGGAATTCGTCGAAATACAAATGTCTCATCGTTCGTCAAAAAAAAAATAAGTCGCATCATCATTCCATCCTCACTTTTTTTCTGGGGATGGACGACGACTGGGGACGGTTTAATTACTCATTGTTAAATTATTCCCTCTTCTCCCGCTAAATATGGCCATGTCCAAACAAAGTTGTTGCCATACAATTGACCACCAAGACTTGACTCCTCATGGTAAGTAATAAATAGCCATTTTTCTATTTGTAGTATTGGCAGTATTGACAGACACATCATCATCATCGTCATCAGAGAGCGAGGTGAAAGTTGCTTAATTTTAATGATTTAATTTTGTTTAAACTTTTCAAACTTCTTTTTTAAACCAACGAACCAACGACCAATCCCTTTTGTACGTGGAATATTATCTCTGACTGCACTGACAGAATGCATAATTATTACATGGAGGACGGGACACCACCTACCCACCCAGTGCCAATTCTAAATTTGCAATGATATCTACACTTAGTAAGTAAAATGCACTTCCTTGTACTACTTATGCACGTAGCTAGATGAATAGAAAGATCTGCATACGACAAGGTTTAGGGTTGGCCTGGCCAGGCCAGGGTTTTACCAACGTTTTTGAAACGACGTGGCTCCTCGCACGACTCGAGTATCATTAACGGAAATGGAGAAGTCGAAATGAAATAATGTTATGAAGTGGGTTCCCCCTTTTACAATTAAAGTATTAATATTCAGCACCAACCACACAAGTTGACAGTTAGTATTAGATTGCTACTTGAAAGCAGTGTTGGTTGGAATGTAAGTGAGAGTGAAAGTTTCCGCATTTTTATATAACGCATTGTGTCAATAGGACACATTTACTGGGTTCCCCATTCTTTCCTGAATAAAGATTATGAATATTATGACTCCCATACGACACGAGAATGCAACAAAGATGATACTTCAGTTGCGTACCCATTCATCATTTAATATGTATGACTACGTAACAAGCAAGATGCATCATTATTATTTACTTTTACGAAAGAAATGAGTTTGTCTAATCATGGTTTGGTTGGTTGTAAATAAGCCATGTACATAAATGCGTAGACCGGATCTTGACGCGAAATTGCATACCTCTCAGAAGGTGAGGCGTACGTATGCAAATTGTTGTATTGTATGAATGAAAGTGGTAGATTTTGTGTGTCATCGTCATGATTTGTGGGGTATTATGTATTTTGTAATTGTGTTTTTGAGATGTTTGTATGGAGCTCTTATGAATTTTTGGTATGTTTCTGAACCCGATTTGCAAATTTCTTACCGTAACCACCACCTCCGCTGTAACCACCTTTTCCACCTCCTCCTTTTCCGCCAAAGTTAAGATTTGACAATCCAGACTTGAGCCCTTTGCCTTTTTGAGCAATACCTTTTCCAAAACCTTCAATAATACCTCCTTTTGCGGCGATGAGATTTCCCTTGGTTTTGATCACCTTCCCCTTCACTGCGATGATTCCTCCTTTGATGGCTTTGATTGCTCCGATTATTGCACCTGGAAAAAATTAATGGATTTTGTAGGGATTTTTCCATTTTTTAGTTAAAAAATAGGTGGATTACTTACCCTTGATGGCAGCCTTGGTGCGGATAATGTCTCCGATGATGTTACCAGCACCTCCGCCACCCTGAATTATGCGGAATTAATTGTAAAAGGGAAAGGTGTGAGATTTATTAAAATGAATCTGAAAATGTCTCACTTTGCCTCCACCGGAATTTCCCCATCCTCCACCACCCTTTGGAGGGCCGTAAGAGGCCTTAGGAGGGGGACCGTAGGAAGGCTGTTAAATAATTTAAAGTTACATTAGTGACCTACATTTCCTCATTTTACTCGATTATCCAGTTAATTATTTTGTTTGTGAATTGGCAAAAGTTAAGCTATTCCCGAGTGGAATAGTCGAACGAAAGACCACGCAGAATAAAATTGTCAAGGTATGAAACCTGTTTTAATATTATTATAAAGTTTGCAAATTTTTGTCTCAACTTCCCCACATTTTTATGAACTTGCAAAATCTCGCATAGTATCAAGTTCACTTTTCTTTTACTACACTTGACTCCATTTCTTTACGTGTAAATAGAATTTACTTACGGCTGGTGGTCCATACGACGCTTTTGGAGGGGGGCCATATGAAGGCTAATTAATTAATTAATCAATCAATTACGCTGTTTTGAAACAATTAATTACTAATTAATTGCTGACTTACCGCTGGTGGGGGACCGTAACTTGGTGCGGGGGCATAACCACCCCCTTTGGATGGAACACCTACAATTTTTTGCCATCAATTAGTTTGCAGTTCTTAATATGCATTTGAAACTTCAAAATACTCTGAAATTACCATAATCTGAGGCTGGAGCTCCATAACCGGATGACGGAGCACCGTACGAACTTGGAGGTTCTGCGCTGCTGAATACTGCTAAAAGCACGACTAGACCGGTACACTGAAAATAACCATAAGGAAACCAGCATTTAGTACTTAATTGCATTCTTCAACACGTAAATAAAATATCTAAAACTGATTAGGAGAAGAAGAAGCCTGCTAGAATTTCTCCTATCCGTTTAACTTAATTATTAATCCTGATTAGCACCTTATTTATCGCTTTTGTGTGCCACAATGCAGATAAACACTAAAATTAAGGTCATCATCACATGTTCTCTGTCATCCAACGATTCTCAAATGCTTGATTTCTCTGTGTATGTGTCAAGTCGACGACGACGGGTGCACATGAATGAGCATCAAACCGTTATATGTACGGACATACGCTCCATCATCCCAATTTTTTTCCTATCATCTTAAATATGTGCAAATATCAGTAAATGTCCATCTTTTGTCGCTTCCCGTTAATAAATATCTATGAAGTACTTTTTATTGCAATAATTCACACGGTATTTTTTTCGTCAAGTTCGGGGCTACACATTTTTACCTCAATATTTGCCTGATTTTTGTCGTAATTTCCCAATAAAAACGTGTCCAACTTCGGGGAAAATTGATGACTACTAGGAAAATTCTACAGATTCACTGATTCTGTCATCGTACGTACATCAATTTAATTTTAGTTTTTTTTGCATCGCATTGTTTGTTACACTCTGCATCCTATTGTCTTTATTGTCCCCCCTCGATTTGCATATTTGCCAACTTATCATCCCCGAGATGCGATCGCTGTTACAGGGACGCATGCGGAGACAACAGATTAATCAACTTGTAATACTTTCCTTTAATAAAAATAATATCTGTGTGTATGTACAGCTTAAATAAATTAGCTGACGCGGGCTGAATACTTAATGTGCTGAAAGTGAAATTAAGCCGTATTATTAGGCACTATTAATAACGGTTTATTATGGCTCATCAGTAAGAAAAATGCATAGATTTTGCTGATGTGCGCATGCGTATGAAATTACACACATAATCTACCAATTCAAATTAACTGAGCTTTTCCAATAATCTGGAACGTATTATTATCTAAAATTTTCAATTTTATAAAAATCTGCATCCCAATAAATAAATATTTATTTTTGCAAGAAAGTCTTCTTTGATTGTTTTGCTTGGAAGGCGAAACGTGCATCAAAGTCATGCATTTCCTGACACAATAATAATAATAATTCTTCTACTTGTATTCAGGCTCACTGATCGCAATCACTACAAATACAACGTCGCGGCCGCAGCATCCGGAGTAAAATTAGTAATTGAAATTAAAATATGAAATGATACTTGTTTCATATTTGCTCGCATGCAAAATTTGACAGTTGGAGATTTAAATCAGTTTCATAAAGGATTGGATTTATTTAATACGGAGCAAGCAAATGAGTTGGTTCATCTCATGTGAATATTAATGTGGTTGAGAAGACAATCGCCTCGGAGGAAAAGGGAGTCAGTCAGTCATACGGTAGTAGGAACATTTTGATTTTTTTATTCAATCCAAACGTGGTGTTCGATTCGATTGAGCCACGTAATTGATCTCGAGATAAATAAATCTCAATTCAGGAGGAGAAACTTTCTTCACTAGTCAAATTTCCGATTCATTCTAATTTTGAATTCATATCATGATCTCGTCTGGTCAACCAACTTCTTTGTAAGAATAAGAATGGTACTGCAAGTCCCATAATGTAGCAGCTAAAAGCAGAAAAAGATAGTAACGGGACGATCCGTTGTGGTGAGGGATCATTTCATATGCATAATTACTCTGGGGACGCCACGCCACGCCACGCCAAGCCACACCGCGACCATAGTCAATCCACATCCACCTCCTGCAGTGGCATGTCATGATTTTTTGATCGACAGAATGACTGATTACTCAAAATTAATTGATTATTTGGTGTCATTAACGCTAATCATGATTTAGGAAAATTTATGTAGGTACGTGTTTTTGGTGAAATAGATAATTGTGTATGGTAGAAAAAATAAGGTGGTAAGATTATGGATAATTGTTATGTCAGAGTAATTGTACCCCAACAAATATGGATGGAAAAATTTTGAATTTTTTACATCTCAATATCCAAGATTGCAGCATATCTGGTGCATATGCAACAGTTGAAATTGGTTCATAAGCCTGTAAACTGCCCAATTAAGTAAGTAGACGAGAGCTAAGTGTAAACTCAGTCTCGTGGAAAACTCGCCTTATCGTTCGTGCATCACAGTTGAGTAATCTTAATCTCCGTCAATCTCGTCATCTTTGGATAACGCGTAATGATGATGATGAATAATGAATGAATAAAATGTGACTAAAAAGTGATGAGTGAGATCTCGAAAAGTGACTTTCCCATCAGTTCAGATAATTGGAGAAGAACTGGAGTAACGAATTGTGCCCTTATCCATGTGCATAAGCACGTTAACGAGGCGTTAATAAATAAGTAGTGCGGTTTTGAGCACATAGAAGGGAAAAGTTGTCCCATTGTTCTTGTTCACAAAAGTATTGATGTAAATCAAACGTAAGTAGATGACACATACAAAGTCAGATAATACATATGGTCACTCTTACTTTTTAGTCGAGATGGCCTAAATATTTAGGTATATGCACATACATTCAATAATTATAACCAGATGTGATGAATGTGCATCAAATCCTGCTTAAAATCGTACCCATTTTACTTTTAATTGGTCCCCTTATCACACACTATTTAGCAAAACTGCTCAATTTCTTCACAAAATGTACTGCATGCTAACGTAGGAAATTGTATGTAAACTTTGCCGTGGGTGAGTGACCATTCAGTCTTTTTTAATTAGCTTGATATGCACCTACCTACCTTAATTTTAGCAATATTAATACCTACAAAAGTATTTATGTGCTTCTTGTGGAGGGCATCAAATTAAAATTAATAGCATCCCCTCCAAACAACGGGAGGTCGAGAAATATGCAAGTAGACGGGTTGCCGTTGCAGACGATGTTTTTTAACAGGACGTAAAAAAAATACCTACAGAGTGCGGATTTAGGAAAATGAGCTTGTCCAATAAATCCTCCACCTCCACCTCTGCTGCCCATGACTTTCTCGTCAAGTTTAATTAGTGTGTAGACACAAATTGAAATAAAAATAGAAGCAGTCCATCCATTGAAAAGTTTAGTGTGTCAGTCAAATATTTGCTGACATCGACATCGACACCAATCGATAATGCAATGGAATAATCGGTCCCACCTTCGCTTTGACATTCAACCTGTGCGAATTAGTGTGGCGTCACATCACAAATATGCGAGAGGAGAATAATGGAGATGAAATTATTATTGGGAGAGGTTCAATAATTTGATCCTGCATTTTAGTTCAGGTATGTACACACCACGCTAATGGAGCATTTAAGCCGTATTTAGTTACTTAAGCGTGGTGGTAGTAGCATGAAAAAAAATTCATGAAAATATATTTCTCTGCAAGAGTGAACGTCTCAATAATCCATATGTAAAATAATAAATAAGCTGCAACGCAATCGTTGAGTGGAAACATCCGTTTCATTTCATTTCATATTTTCCAACCCTTTGTTTTCCTCAGGTAATCTCCATTTGTAAATAAGTACACAATCCGTCACAAGTGTGTGTTCTGAAGAAGGTGGTGGATGAGCCAGCACGATGGATGGAAGGAATTAGTCTTGTTTGTTATCATAGTTTCTACCTCTTGACTAAAAAGGAAAGGGTTGCTTTTGTATGGCTCGCTCGTTGTCATCTTGTAAATACGTTGGTTGGATGGAATGGATGCTAATTCTAAATCGTCACCAGCAATAACAATATTGGCGGACTTTGGCAAAGCAGGTGCCATTATGTTTGCGGTAGAAATTCTAAAGTGATAATTTGTAGGCCTCCTAATGTACAAACCTTGTTGGTTGCTTGGTTAGTGGCTGGGTCAATCATCTTTGACCTACAAATTCCTCGGAAATTGTTTGACAAAGATGATCGGGAGGATTAACGTTTTGATTTGGATGAAATTTTCAGACAATTTTGAATTGAAATTTATTGAAATTTTCAATAATTCCCAGCTTTATTTAATGGAGGAATCGACAATAATCTTTATATTCAAGTAGCAGTATGAAAACCGTTAAAAAATTATTACCGGTCGTATAATAAATAATGCAGTTTTTTACGTTCATATTTATAGAACTTGTACATAAATATGTGTTGCATCTAGGTTAATGTTAACTACAACCTCACACATGTGTACTTATAATAATGCTTAATAATAATTTCATAACATGAAGAATTAATTGACTCCACTTTTTTAAATGTTTTTGGGTGAAACGACTTTGAACTGATTCCCGTGAAAGCAAAACAATCAGATTTATTAGGTATTTCAATTTCTCCTAAATATTTAGCAATTCATGAAATCTAGCAGCAAAGCTGCGAAACTGTGAAATTCAATCTCATTCATTTAAGAATCAGAATTATAGAAGTATTGAAGAGGAATTATTATTGCTTTAATCATTTCAAAAATTTAAGAAATTCTAGCTGCTCCAAATTAAACAAAGTCGTCTGTAGTGTCACCCACCAGTCATTCACTAATCGCAAAAGATGTGCCCACAGCAAGAATCTCTTTGTTCTCATTAACGATCAAACTTTAATTTCTTTTCTCCGCGTAATGAAATCTGATCTAGAATCTAATCCCTTATTAATCTTTTTCCTAAAGATGAACACTCACTTAATGACTTTACCAAGCTATGTAAAAGCAAAGCCAAGTAAAATAATGTAAAGCAAAATAAACATGACACACACACTGTTTGCATCCGTTTGTACGTACCAAACATCTATCATTTATGCGATGCCGCCTGTCGCCTGATTTTTCCCAAGCATTTTTTTCTGCCGAGTAACGACAGGCATCTAACGGAAATGTTTTCACGAATCAAGAATACAATATCAAAACAGTAGAAGAAGAAGAAGAAATAGTAAATATGATGATGAACGTCGTCGTCCATGTCACTCACTCACGTTTCAAACAACTGAATAGATACGTATAAATATATTTAGAAATAATAACGTTGCGTGAAAATGAATGCATTGTCATTGTCGAGTTGGATTGGATGGTAATGATTGTTCAAGAGTGAGTACTTCCATATCCACTTATTCGAAAAATATGTATTTTCTTGAATCACTTGTACTTTCAGTTGAAATATTACTGCATATTGCGCTTCATAAATAAATATGTAGCTAGAAATTATTACCTACTGCGTGCTCCTGACTTTGTTGTTTATGCGTTTCCCACACATGAAGTAAAATAAAAGTAAAACTGACTGACTGGTGGTGAAAAAGTGGAGCTTTGAACTTTTATTTTCAGTGTGACCTTCCTCTTATAAAATTATTAATGAAGGGAGGATGAAAGAAATTGATAATCAACTAACACATTGTTTGTCGGGTACAAATTGAGAAATTAAAAAAATGCAGGTAATTGAAGTAGTAATAATAATAATTATAGAAATATTAATTATTAGAATTTTTTTAATTGAGAAATTGAAAAAATTCAGGTACATAAACCAGTAATAAAACTAATTATAGAAATATTAACTATTAAAATTTAAAAAAACTGGGAAATTAAAAAATGCAGGTACATAAACTAGTAATAATAGAAATACTAATTATTAAAATTTCCTGCAAAATAGAATCGTTTTTCTTACCTTATAGTGTTTCCAATTCATTTTGGAATAATTTCTGAAACGAGGAAGGAAGAAGAAAAGTCAGAGAGACGGATGGTGTCTCTCACTCCCTCCAAAAACGGTATGGAGGTCGACGCGGACGCGTACGTTTCCCAAATGTTTCTTGATAAGTGTCCGATTTTGCACTTTTTTAATTAGTCTCAGTCACTTGGTGGCACTCACTTCTGCAAAAAATCCGTGTCGTGCTTAAACCGAAGAATGAATTCAAAATGCCGTGGCCCTTAAGTTATTGGAAGAACACAATGCGATGTAATCGGGCCAAACGTCAAAAGCACAATGGTCTTCGGGAGGGGTGGGTGGCTCACTATTTATATTTTCAACCGTAATTAAGTGGACACTGCGTCTGGTGGAGACGCTTCGCAGCAGATTTTTAAAGAGTGAAAGGGCTTTCAGAAGATCACTACTGCGTCGTCTTTTATGTGACCACGGTCCGCACGGAATCCTGGCCCAACTGAGAATAAACCTCGTTCAGTTTTTACCTACCCCTTTTATCCCTTCGTCGCATATTATGTATTGCTAAAGCCGGATGGATACCAACCACATATGTACGTACTCCCTTAAGCGTTTGTCCAATTGCTATTGCAGAAATGTGGTGCAAATAAATAAATACGTATAACACGCGACTCCTAACTTAACTTATGTACCACGGTAGATGAGAATTGCATGGGAGTCACTGTGTTAGGACGGCGTAAGGAAAAGAAAAGTGAGTACCGTTGGGTGCAGCAGGACGCATGCATCGCAGCGTCGTCTTAAATATGAAGACGTAGTAGTAGCAAAAGTGCAGTCTTCTTTACGATGCGGGGGAACGACTTGCCGGCAAATCGAGGAGGAATGCATGCACGTATGGATGATGTACATTTATGCATATTCTCGTCGTCGTCGTCGTCGTCGTCAAATAATGGGTTGACTTGACTTTCTCCCCCTTTCTGTTTGGCGTCTGACATCATCTTAATGTATGTTTGTTGAGAGTTGGAATCGTTGTGGGTCAAATATGTGGCAGGATGAGGTTTGACTTTGGGGGATAAATTCCAGTTGGGATTGTTAAAAAAATAGTAAAATTGAGAAAAGTTTGGAATTGCTAATTTTAAAAAAAGTAGCAACATTTGTAGTTTGATTATGACATTAAGTTTCTGTCAATTCTGCAATGTTGCCAATTTTGGGATCGTACTTGCCTGTTTTTTTTTGCTGATGGACAAAGAGCACGATTAACTGACATCGTTTCTATGGGCGGTGCCCCATACGGTTGCGACAAATGAATTATTTTGAAAAAAAAAATTCATTTTTAAATCTTTGGGCCGAAAGTCCCCTTGTCCGGCCCAACGACTTTAACCTTGAATAACTTTTGAACAGGCAGACATAGAGACTTAATTCCTGAGGAGGAAATCATCCTAATTTTTAGCTTGATTTTTTAAGCTAAAAATCTCGAGTGTACTATTTCGATAGCTAAAACGTTTATTTTGAAGAATATCTCCAAATTATAAGTTTTTCAGCCTATTCTTATCTCACAAAATTCTATAATATACCAAAGTGATCGTATGATCTAGACCGATCGATTGACACCCCACTGGATGGTGTGAGATCACTTGACCCGGATTTGACCTAGGGGGTCATCTCAATCTTCCAACTTAGCAACGGCCCACTCACACTATTTTTTCAGTACATAATAATTAAAATTTAATTTCTTCAAAAAATGAAAATTTGTGTTGGAAACAATTCATTTGTCGTAACATGTATAGAATGGTAAAGTGTCAAATAATATTGGACAAAGAGGTTTTGCCGTCATCATAATATAATAAACCGTAGTAACGTTAGAAGTAGCTCACCCTGGAATAATAATTAGGATATAGTTTTGCACCGAAGGTGCAAAATAAGCGGACAAAATGGATACATAATTTTCATATAGGGTTCGATCGGAAAGTAAAGAAACATTTGAAAAATGCCTGTAAAATCCGGAAAACTTAATTAATTCCAATGACATTTTCAGAGATTATAAACAAGGTCTCGACCATTCAATTTTTTGCTTGATACGAGCCATAGATCCCCATCCTTCCTATCTGGCGAATTATTTGCCTCGCGGTCTCCAGAAGTGCTTTGCCACTCTTTCTCGCTACCACTTTTGAGGTGTGTGTCCAAATGTGACGGAATCTTACCAAGTTTTTGGCTGGTTTTGTTCGACGACTATATTCTCTGTTGCATAATGCCCAAAATCGTTCAATTGGTCTTGTCCGACGGACGTAGGGAGCATATTCCTTTTTTGCAACAAAGTCGATTTTTTTCGACCGCAGGTAGTCCACAACAACTTTTGACTAATGGCATGTTGCTGTGTCCGGTCAGAAAAGTACATTACGATTATTGATAAAGGGGATCAAGATCTTCTTTACACAATCGTTCAGATATCTCTCCGAGGTCATGGTGGCTGTGGTCACGAACGGCTTTGAGACGTCCCCCAATGAGTCAAATCCTTGCCGATTATGTGCTCTGTGGGAATTTTGACTTTGGCGTATATTTGAAGGAATCTTTAAACGTTTTCTTATTAGTACATGAGTAGTACTTCCTCGCAGGGACTTCATCTGGATCAATCGAGCACTTGGTCTCATCATCCATGAGAAGAATCACGGGCATGTTTTGCTTGACTAGTTTTTCAGCAATCTGCCAAGAGTTGGGCTTTGCTCTTTTTTGCTGACCTTGGTTGTACTTTGGTGCAGGGGTCGCCCTATAGGATTTGACCCCCAACTTCGTAGATTTAATGTCATGTAAATTTAATTTTGCTATTTTCAATTTGTAGCCCTAATTATCATCTGATATCCAAAGGTTATTTTGGCATCCCTGCTGAACTTCACGTATTACTTTGGGGGACGCTACACGAGCAGGACGATTTTTTTATTTTTTGAATTCAGCATTCCTCCTCCCCTCATACATATCTAAAACTCTGCAAATTGCTCCATTATGAATTTTTTCTCTTTCGAAGTGGCTATTAACCATTATCCGAACGCGCCCGCACACGTTTTCGTAGTAGTGGCAAATTCTTTTTTCTAGGTGTTCTGAATTTTTTGTTCTCATTTTTTAACTATTCGAGATATCGACTTCTGGTTTTCAGATTCGGGTAGAAAATCGCATGGACTACAAAACTACCGCGTTCCAACTCAGTGACAATTTTTCTTTCATACAAATAAATATACTTTTTCAAATGTTTCTTTACTTTCCGACCGAATCCTAATCTTGCACCAATGGTACAGAATAAACGGGGGATAACGGAAATTTGATATAATGTTGCACCAATGGTGCAGCCGAAATGGTTAAAATGTGGACTAAATTTTGACACGATTTCAAGGTTAAGTTATGTCAGCCAAGGCCAACTAAAACTTTCAGTTAATCCTAACCATTGGTGCGGAATATATCGATTCCTCCAATTATTTCGCACCATTTTGCGTTAACAATTGTTTGATACCAATTGTGCTACAAATTAGGGTTAAAATGGCCGTGGGACTTATTAATTAGCATCAATTGATGCAAAAATATCGCTAACAGACAGACAGACAGACGGACGGACGGACGGACGGACGGACAAGAGGAATTCAATAGCTCTCATGTTACGCAGGGTGAGCTAATAACGAATCATCCCACATATTGATATTCCACTCAGGAAATTATGAATCCTTTTAATGCTTAAGGGATATGAAACTGTGCCATTGTTAATTGATTGAAATTGATCGGTCTAAAATTTAAAACATTTAAAATTTAGATTTTGAAATGTTAAATTGGAAAGCTATTTAAATTCGTATTAAGTAAGCGGACCCCGAGCCCATTAACATGCATGGGAGCACCTCCACCGTCGTCGGCATGTGGCGGATTTAATGTTTCAGGGTGATATCATATACATATTGCTGCTTTTATGTATGTATATTATGAGTCGATATTGATTGATTGGAATTTGTTGACTAACAATGGAGGTCGCCCAGCGTATGCACACAGATTTTCACAAAATTAGTGTCAATCGATCAGAAATCTGATTATATGAAATTTGCAAATGACACGATCTCCCAATGGTCACGTTTGGCAGATATATTTGCATCCGAAGAGGAGAAAACGCACCCTAAAGTTGACAATTTTACACTTTGCAAATTTACTGCGCGTTTTCTCCTCTTCGGATGCAAAAATCTCCGCAAAAACTTGACCATTTGGAGATCGTGTCTTTTGCAAATTTCATACTGATCAAATTTGTGATCGATTGACACTAGTTTGCTCAAAATCTGTGAGCATGCGCTGCGAGACCTCCATTATAAGTACATATTATTTAAAATGCATATTTTAAGGGGTACATTTACAAACTATGGAACAAGTACCTACCTAAAACAATCGAACGTATCTCTAAGAACAAGCTGAACAAAGTCTAGACGTTAGTGAGCAATTTACCAATACTTTTAATTGATTGGAATTGCATAGATTAACGAATGAGTCAAAAAGAATGTTGCAACTTTTTTGTCTCAATAATGTCTGGCTTTACTGCATAGAAAGATGAGGATAAAGCCATCATCAGATTACGTTTATGCATATGAAGTCTTTTATATCTACATGCTGACCAATCCTCTTTAAAAAAACGTGTAATTTTGGGCTCATCCGTTTTTATACAACTTCCTAGAACAAGAAAAACACGAGTTATATAATACTTTTTTGCGTACGCATGCATACATAATCTCTTCCACCCGAGGCCCTCCATAATATAAATATGTCATAATAATTTTATTAAGTAAAGCAAAGTGCAAATGAGGATAATCCGTTCTGCCAAATTAGTTGAAAGTCAAATCGTCATGTCATGCGAATTCTGCTCCGTTTTCATCAGTGCCACATAATAATTCGCCAATTATGTCGTTTGAATGCGATGAATTACCGTCACTTAAGGATGAGGATGAATAGTCGCTCTCTTTTTAACAATGCTGTAAAATTATCCCAATAAAAAATGATAGATCATACCGAGAGGAGCTGACAAGTAGCCAAATATTGTACCAACCAGCAGCAGCTTCCGCTTTCTCGTTCGTCTTATGAAAATTCTGTATGCACATATTTAGACAAGTTTCCCCCAATTAAGTAAATCATTTTTGTCGCAATGGGGGCATCCTAAATGCGAAATATGCAAGTTTTTTTTACTTATTTCATATTTCATGTACAGATATTTCGGAATATTTTCAATTTCAAAATTCTGTTTCCTTTTTGGACATAATTTTAATTATCTAGGTTTTAGGTAGCTGCTGAAAATGGCACGAGTTTCGTGGCACTGGGTTAAACGACACGATACGATATGTATGTAGCTTATTAAACGCAACAGATCGGAACAGACAATACGTAGATACGTACGCACATTGAGTAATCCAAGCAAATTGTAACACAATTTGCAAAGATTTAGTTAATTCGAGGTTTGTTATGTGTGTGTGGAACAAATGTGTTTAGGGTTCTGATGAGGAAACTATAAAGTAACGGTTGATGACACTAAATTTAAGTTAAATGTGTGTTAAAAAACGTTAAAAATTCAGTGGACTGGGCCGATTACCTTCCGATTTACAAAAAAAAACGACTAAAATAACCAGAAATTATGTGATTCTCAAAACTTTGCGATTCTCAAAAAATTATGCGATTCAAAATTGTGCAGCGAAAATTGCCCACGTTAAAATTTATTGATCTTCTTCGCATACTTACTTCTTGTTAGCACAAAAATGATCAGCAATTTTACGATTCTCAAAATTGCAATACATAATTTTCTTCACATACTTAACACAAAATGAGACATGAATTTATCCACCTTCCTTATAAATTACAAGTAATTAATATGATGTCATCATCACCACCCTCACTCTACAAATGTGCATATGAGGAAAGAACAATGATTATGTACATGCAAATGTATACATAATAATGACACATCAACCAGTTTTTTTTTGCACGTGCAAATTTTTGCCCAGAACATAATTGAGATATTTACTTGGAAATTGCATAGAATTTTGCATCATCCTACCTCTGATGATAATGACAATCGAAACACATAATGAATGGACTGCGAATAATAACCATTGTAACAAACTGGGCAGAATCTCAGCTCCCAATCTCACACTGCGAATTGAATTGTATGGCCAAACTTGCGCGCACATGGCGTTTGTTCGTGCCACGTTATTGTTACGATATGGCTCAATTTAATGCATTGCTGACTGGCTTCTGCTTGCCCAAGTTGAGTTAAAAGTTAGCTCGTCTTGGTCCCAATTATTTATTACTGATTCAACAAATTAGACTTCCCATTGTTGTACATATTGCCGAAAAAGAGCATTTTGGTAATTGTTTATTAGCCCAAATTACGTAACTTGCTACCATTTTGTGCAAATTTGGCTGTTTAATTCGTACTAAAACAGGGGATTGCTAGAAAAAAAAATTGCAATGACAATTAGCAAGCAAATTTTCGCAACAATGTGCAATTCGATATATGTATGACCAAAAATGGATATTTCCTTAAAAAAAACGTGTTACATGTATTGTCTCGGTTCCAATCTGGTGATAATAAAAATTGGCCAAAGTAGTCAATTTGTGCGAACATTATTTTAATAACATGTTGCATTCTGTAATTAATTAACACCGCGCTTTGTAATCAATCATAGGTAAATTTAACCTTTGCCTTTAATTAAGATGCGGTTTAAATCGCATGATTCAATTCAAGTCCATCTTGTTACATAATCGACGCTCCTTCGTTGTGTTACATCCACTTTGTAACATTGCTACAAACAATGTTACAACAAACTCCTTGACGTGATTGGAAATAAATTGGCGTGGCCAAAGCGTGGTTTTTGTACATATTTTCAACGAGATCAAGTCTAAACTTTGTATGTTCATGGTGTTTAGCTTAATTTCAATTGAACTGGATGTACATATCTGTAGTTGTTAACTAATTAGTTTAATTATAATATTGAGGGAACTCACGTCAACGTTTGTAACCTTCGTAACTGCGTAAGGTTTGTAAGCTTACAAACTTTTACGAACTTTTACACACATTTCTAAGGAAAATTGACTTACGAACTTTTACGAAACTTAAGTGGTGTTTATGCTTCACGTCATCGTCACGTCCTCCTCCAAGTCCGATTTTTTGATTGGTTAAAATTTTCAATTGTCGTAGTGACAATTTCGCTCAGCCAATCAGAAAATTGGATTTGGAGGAGGACGTGACGATGACGTGAAGCATAAACGCACCTTTACGCACTTCAAACGCATGTTTTTGGTTCGTAAATAATTCGAGTTTGATATTTACATTTCCTATTGAAATTGTCTTAGAGACGAATTGTCAATTGTAAATTTTTTGTGATCTCGTCCCATCAACATGCAAATTAATTTAATTATTTTACAAAAGATTGCTGCCAGCCGAAAATATTTGTCGCTATCCGACCAGCCCCCAAATGTCAAATCTGGGCTAAATTGACACACTTCATCCAGAGGGGTATCAATCGATCGGTCTTGATCATACGATCATTTTGGTATATTATAGAATTTTGTGACATAAGAAATAGCTATGTAATTCCTGAAAACCTGATATTTTAGGCAAAAAAATTCAAAAATAATTACATTTCATTTGGTGTACGCTAGGATAAAGTTGGCTAGCAACATTTTGATGATGTTTTATATACGATATTTTGATTTTACTAAAAAATGTTTACGAAAATGTTTACAAAGTCAACTCACGTCAAGAGTGTGTAAGCTTACAAACCTAACGCAATTACGTAGGTTACGAACTTGACGTGAAATCCCTCATTATAATTAACAGATTATGTAAATATGGCTGGTTGACTGGACTGGATGAACACATTTTTTTGTGGCATTGACATTTCAAATCTTAATTAAAACTGTGATACAATGTTGTGCAGTCAATATTTTAAGCTAAAATTGGTTTTAATGGTGGAGAATTATCGCTAATTTTAGCTAGAATCAAAATTAATTACTACTTTAAAATCTTTTTAAAAAATCTTAAAATTGGCACAAAATAATAAAAAAAACTTCTTTTGGCGTTGACATTTCAGATTTTAATAAGCTAATGAGCTGTTATATAATGTTATGCAGTTAATTGAATTGATTTTATGGGAGTAGGATTATAGCCGATTTTAGCTAGAATCCAAATTCAGGTTGATTTTCAAAATCTAGAAAAAAAATCTTAAACGTGCAATTTCTGGCACAAAAGTAAAAAAAGCATAACGCATTAAACCCGAGTTTCTATTTCATACATAGTTTTAGCAATCCCACCGCACCCCACTTGTTCAATGGAGATAAGTACGATTGCTACTTACCTACACACACTCTTGAGATGTTCATCATCAAGATAAAAAGTGAAAATTATCTCGAGGCTAGACTTTAAGTTAATTTAAAGTCATAAGTCATCCCAATTTCATAATTGCAATGCTGCATGTTTGGTAGACAAAGGATTCACCGTGTGTGTGCACCTACCTACATTTCTCTAAACTGAATGTGTAACTATACACACATTTGAATATTATATTTAAAATCTGTCCTTATCTTATTCTTGCGGCAGATAAGCGGTGGGCCAATACTCGTCGTCAAGCCTGGCGTGGCAGAAGAAGAAGAAGACGACGATGATATTGTATGGTGATCGCTGGCAAGATTACTGTAATATTTTTTGCATAGCATTATTTATTGATGATTACCCAATTTTCAATACTTTCAATTTTCTTTTCCACTGATTCAAATTTCAATCAATAAATTATCAACGGGATTGTCGGACGGGGATGTTTTGTAAACAGGCGAACAATGTTGGAGAGATAGTGTACATGTCAACTTGTAAAGTGAGCCTTATTCAGACGCAGTGGCTGCAGAAGCCGTGGGGACATCGGGGGACATTAGAATTGTGGGATAGGGGGGGGAGGGGTTTGTATAAGATGGACAGATGATGGGGACATCGAATAACCGTGGGAACATTGTCCACACCCTTCCGCGGCCACTGTTCAAAATGACATGACGAGTGTGTAAAAGCTTTTTTTATGATACAGTCGCATTTCACAGATAAATTGACGACTAATTTAGCTCGCACACAAGTCTTTTCATGGCGTGCCTAATTGATTACTTCTTCTCCTTGTGGAATGATGGACCGTGCAATTGGCCATTCTTGCTTGTTTGAAAACCCATTCACAACTTTGTCAAGTGTGTAGAAAAGGAATGTTCGTGTTTCAGAAATTACATATGAGAACTTGCGGAAATTGTGGCTTCCGTGCTCTTCACCAATTGTATTATTTATTTTCCAAATAATAAATCCTGCATCGGAAAATTGTAGCTTATAATCCTCTTTTTATTAATCCTCCTTAACTTTCATTTTGTAACAAATAATTGTGAGAATTACATTCAAAATTTGGAAAATAAAAAGGATATTAGTAGCTTTTTAAGTTCAAAATATTTATTACCAGAAAAATTGTTGACCGATGTACAATACTCACATGAACATATGTACGTACATAGATATGCGTGGTTTGTATTGTTCATTTTATGAGTATTATTACCACTCCTGTGATAAAAGATGACTTTTACATATTAAATTTTTAAAAAAAACTTTGCAAAAACGTAATATAAGAAAGTGGCGAAACCAAATATGCTTTTTAATGTAATCCGCAGAGGGACAGACGGATGGACGGACGGACCAGGAACAAACATAAAGTGGGGTTCTTGTTCTCACTTAATAATACAGGTAAAAGTGACAGCGCTATAAGTAAACAGGTAATTATTAGGCATGCTCATCAAATTACTTAAAATGCTTACTTGTCACTGCAATTTGTGCAAATAGTGACATTTTATGTAATCTGTGGAGAGACGAATACTACAATTTTCTCATTCTCAACTTTCTTACCTCACTAATGTCACATTAGTACACGTGACTGTCTAGCGTCTTTAATTGTCCTGCTGTAATACATACATATTTAGCAGGTGTAAAAATTCTTTTAAAATCGCTGCACGACGAGCCAACGAAAGTTATGTAAGACGATGCGGTAAAAATTTTCTCTGCGAATTTCAACTTATCAAACGTTATTATTATTTGATCTTAAAGTGAAAATGACCAACCTTGGCCTGGTTAATTGATTCATGCAGTCGGGATTTCCCCCCATTTTTACACGGTTGTTGTACTTTCGTCAATAGAAAAGTGTGACACCTGTCTGTCCACAGATTTGTCTGTGTCATCCTTACTAAATATTGAATCATCTTTTGCTTATTAACCAAGCTGACTTTTATAATCTGAACTTGTTATAAAAATAGCATGCAGTAATAAATATGCACTTATGCACACTGATGCAACTTTCATAATAAACATTCCACCGGCTGCTGCCACATCATATTTTTACTGGCAAAATGACAATGACGAAAGTAAGTGCATCGTAAAAAATACATTTGGTCCTATCTCCATTGCACAAGACTTCCCATCCCAAATTGTTTAAATACGGGCAGTGGCCGCGGAAGCCGTGGGGACATTAACATTGTAGGATAGGGGAGGGAGGGGTTTGTATAACATGGGAGATGATGGGGACATTGCCCTCTGTCCGCGGCCACTGAATATAAGCACGAATTAGTTATTCATAATAAATACACTGTAGTAATAATAATAATGCTTTTGCGGATGGGGGATGTACCCCTTAAAAATCGTCATGAAAGTGTTAATGTGTTGGTCCTTAATTTAATTTGGCTGCAACGACGCCTGTCTATGACGAATTGATAAAATAAACTTAAACAAAAAGCGTTGTGCAACAAATTGTGAGAATTTGCTCTTCAACTTGGGAAATGTATTTATTTTGAGTGATTAGTTAGTTAGGATGACAAATTGTTTTCAATGCACTTTGCTGCATTTCATTTTTTATTTCATCCGTTTTTAGTGAAATAAAGTTCAAAATTTTGCTAAAAAATGCAAAATGAATGGACAGACGATGGTGAACACAATGCATATGCAGCACAAGGTTCATATCTGCACTTTATAAATAACGCCTATTGTTTCAAAGTAAGTCAAAGTCAAAACCAATTTAATGCTATCGCTACCTTTTTTTTAGCGATATGAGGTTTTAAATTCAATAAGTGCATTCATTAGTGCAAAAAAATTATCGAAAATGCAAACTTTTTCTCATCATGCTGTTCAACATTAAACCTTTATGCAGCTGCTGCTACCACTGTGATCCTATCCATACAAGTGCATACATACATAAGCTAATTAATTTATAATTCCTCTTATACACAGCTAAGGGCAGACTATTTCATGCTGCGTGGATCTGCTGGCTTGTGCCAGCAACGAACCATTCAAGTCTGAAGTTCATTATAATTGACGAAAGAAACTGAAGATAAATCATGATCGCGTCGTTCTTTCACGTGAATCACCGGAAGTTTTATGTACGATTTGATAAAAAATAATCAGAAGCAAATCCTTGTGCTCCAATTTTATAGTGGATACAAACAGGCAAACTGGAGAATTGAAATTGAGTTGCATTTCTGCATTTGTTGTGAATTGATAATGAACTGCTTAGAAGTTCAACCCAGATATCTGCATATGCATTATTATCTCTGGTAGAAGGATTCACCTTTTTTGGATAGATTTGAATAAAATTAATCCACTTCCGGTCGTATGTGCATGGGTTACAAAGGTTTGCCTTTGCTTACATGCAACGCACACGTACAGACTGATTTTAAGGCTTGGGTTATGTGGACAACAAAAACGATCAAGGTTCAGAGCACTTGTAACTAATTTACCAACACTTAGCTATTTATGTACACAATGTTACAATGAATTGTAATTGAACACACGGACTTACTTATTGGACACGGATTAATAAGTCTGAAAATTATTAAATCATAATTATTAAATCATAAATACATGTAACGTAGCCCTTGTCCCATTTATTGGAAAAATTCGTAAAATCTGTTCTCATCTCTCTGTTTAAATAAACAAAATCTCTTGTATGTACCTATTTTCTTTTCATACAACAAAATGTGACCGAATTTTATGAATGTATTTATGTATAACATATATTTATTTATGCATTACTTAATAAACCCCATGCGACAATCGACTTCCGTGAAGAGGTGCACCGCCCCCACACACCACACACCCGAAGGAAATGTAAATCTGGCGTGTCACAACTAATTAATAAAATGTTGCATAAATTCCTGATGACAATTAGAATTATTCTGAATTACATTTTGAATTGTTGCATCAATTTTGCTCAAGGAAAATTCGCCCTGAATCTGCTACTCCTCGTCATCATCACACACAACACACTTCATTTACAAAGATGAGAAGGTGATAACTCAGGCTAGAGTCAAAATTAAGATTTGGATGGGATAGATACGAGATGGTGACTATTGACAATGACGATGGCCGATTAACGGACTCGAAACGTCTAACTTACCAAAGTTAAAATAAATGAAATGCTTAAAAAAACTTTCTCTTTCTGTGTCCACTAATCTCGGTCACCAAACAGTATGCTTTCAGACGTATGGATGGATGTATTTTGCATAATAATAATGCATGAAAATGAGAATGAGACGCAGACGACGGACGGACCTCATGACCGATGATGATGATGATGGTCAGTTATTTATTTCGCTTAATATTAAAATAATGCTGATCAGTAATTCTTCTTTTTGACACGCTGTTAAGAAGAGCAGTTATGTATTACGCGTTGGGAATTAGGCAAAATTTGTATATGTATTTTAATAAGTAATTAATGCAGCTTAATTAAAGTAGAAAACATACATGCATACAGCGATTTTGCTACACGATACATGAAAACGTTTGCGATTTCGAATATGCAGAATCATAAAAACATTACTTATCTGTGAGGGAAATATAATTTTTAAAATGTGCAAAATTTGTTACATTTTGAGGATTTTTTGTATATTATGAATATATATTATGCATATTATAACAATTAATGAATGTAGCTTGATTAAAGTACAGAAATTTCATTTTACATAGTTGATAATAAAATGATCTGGCTACACGATACCTGAAAATGTGCACAAGCTCGAGTAAAATCATGAAACCCGTATTTGTCAGCGAAATCTTACAAAAATATGCGAAATATGTCACATTTTGAAGATTTTTCATTAAAGGACTGAAATGGGTATTTCATACCAATTTCAAGAACACATTATTATTGTAGCTACACACATACCTGAAAATATGCACAATTTCCAGTAGAATCTGCTAGCGAAATATTATTAAAAAATATGCGAAATTTGTTACGCTTGAGGATTTTACTGTACGTATATTTCAAACCCATCCTGAAAATTTACGCAATTTTAAATAGACTCATAAAAACAGTATCTTTGAGCAAAACATTATTTTCAAAATATGCGAAATTGGTCACATTTTGAAGATTTTTTTTAAAAGGACTTTAAACATATACATATTTCAAATCCATTTCTGGAGCACATACTTAGGTATCTATTTAGCTACACACATCATAACCCACTAACTTTACGTATGCGTACGTGTAGATGGATTGCATAATAATTTTGAGGAAGTTAATATTTAATCAATCATAATCAAGAGTCATCAAAAGATTAGGACGGTCTTAAATGCAGAATCGTACTCAATAAAAAAAAAGTCCACCGCCTTCACACACAATGTTAACCAAACCAATTTTACGATTAATGATATTATCAATCAAAGACAACAGGTGTATTCAGCTCAGCAACCGTTTAAATTAATCCACTCTGTAATTATGGAATAAATTGGAAATGGGGCGTTTCTTCTACGAGAATTAATATACGTACGTACGGATTGTTTTATCATAGATCATGATAATAATTATTGTTTATTTACTTTCCTTTGCATGCATTCAGCTTACTTTAGTAGACGAATATGGACAGGATTCAAAAATTTATGTAATCCTTACTCATTCAAAATAATCTTTACAGTTTGAAAAAGGATTAAGTAACGAGGAGATCACATACTTGTAACTAAATAGTACACGTCATCCCTCCTCTGTAACAATAAATAAACCGTGGAAAACGAACGTAAAAAAGTGGCGTCATACAGTAAAATGTGAAATGACACTGTATGAAAAAATTATTTTATTTATGACCTTTGACCTCGTGTTCACGGCCATGAGATCAAAAATATTGACGGTTTTGTTTTGACTTCGTGGTGAAATTTCCTTTAAAATGACACCCCATTTGAAAATTAAGAGTAAATTTAATTTTGGACCACACCCCCTCGCGCGGTGGGGGTGGCCCGATTGATCCCATTATCTAACTCGACCGAGAACAAAAAATTATAAGCATAATGGCAAAAACGGCGTTTGATTATGATGAGGCGTTCTGGAGATATCTTTTGTGCGGCCGGACAGACGGACAGACAGACGGACGAACGGACAAAACAATCACAAAAAGCGGCCTGACGCCACTTGACTAGTATACGTCATCCCTCCTTCTCTGTAACAATAAATAAAGTATACGCGGACTTAGTCACGAAAATTGTGTAGGTATCTATTTATGCGCTTTTATTTCTTTCAGTGAATCACGCAGTAAACATTTTATTGGCCAAATTGACACAAAACGTTCCTCAAATGTAACGGAATTGTGTGTTTTAAAAGGGCAAAATAAATAAATTTTTGCAAAAATGTTTACACTCTTTGCCTACATAGAGTTGCACAACTTCAAGTGTGCACATTGTCTGCTTGCCAGAATTTGAAAACGAATTAAAGAGATCATTTCAAGAAGGGAAAGTTCCATAAATAAGTAGTAGCACAAGTATTTGGGTGAGTGGATGACAATCTTTGCGTCATTTTGTTATATAAGAAGAGGAATCAGAAAGAATTTGAAATTCTCATTGTAAAAAAACTGGTTATCTATTGAACATGATTTTCACGTTTTTTAATTGATCTTCAATTTAAAAACTATTTTTAAAAATTGCAGATTATGCAAATCTGACTCACCGTACTCTTCCAAATAAACGTTTTTTACCTATGTAACATGCCCATGAAACTGTTCCTTAAATAAATAAATCCTTCTTACAGGAAGTTAAAGTGTCCACATGTGACCACACCAACACGCATCTTCTCCTCTTGAATGGGATTATTGACCCATTTAAAAAACGTACAGTAGACACTTTTCCTATTGCGAAATTAATAAACTATACACGCATTGCGTAAATTATTTAATGAGTGATTACTACCAAACCAATCTGGTTGTACATGCATATCAATGTACATAAATTGACACACTTCGCTCAAATTCAAATGATTCATGCACCCGATTGACATTGTATCCTGGCAAAATGTAAGATTATTATTATTACCACTGATGCATTCGGTAATACATTACCAAAGATCTGTATCGTCCATTTTTTCATACAATAAACTGCTGACTCACGAAAATTAGGGGGACTAATTACTCTGAGATGAGTGAAGACTGAATGAAGGCGGATAAATTGCGTGTGTGTTATCGGATGTTCAAAACGTTTCCTTCTTGCCCGATATGTGTAGTTGGACATTCTTTTAAAATAAATTGTCCATTGAGCTGTCAATAGTCTGAAATTTTAAAGCCATTACAATGAATGACCACAATTACAATTACAATTACTTGACAATTATAATACTTATGTGTGACGATTGATGATGGAAAGATGTGGGTGACGAGGACGATGGCGATGTCATGTCGCAATCGGAAATGGAATCATTCATCATCACTTTAAACGTGATATAAATATGCATCCACTCCGTCATAATATTGTTGTTACGAATTTGTTAGTATTATTGTAAGAATTACGGCATATTATTAGTATTATTCGTTAAGTTCACCATTGTTGTGGGGGAAAATACGAGTAGATCAGTGGCCGCGGAAGGTGTGGGGACATTAACATTGCAGGATAGGGGAGGGAGGGGTTTATATAACATGGGGAGATGATGCGGACATCGAATAACCGTGGGGACATTGTCCCTCTGTCCTTCCGCGGCCACTGGTCGCGGACATGCATATGTATATGCACGTAATAATTAATATTGCATAGTAAACGTATAATTTGTATGCATTTTATTTTAGGGAACATATCGCCTCGATCGACAGCCATACTACGAAACGTTGTACGTAATTACATTTCTCATTGTTGTAAATTTTTAGAAACACTTTCACCGTCTGGTCTGGTCGAAATTACATTGTATCGATTAGCTCATTGACTTTGTGTCTGTCTACTCAGAGTTTTTTTAGTGGTCTCATTATGGATGGGATAACATTCGTTTTTGTAGCATGTGCAATTTCAAAATTTGAAATTTCAAAATGCGTGCCTAACTAACGATCATTCTCGTCACGGCCATAGGACGAAGGAGCATAACAATGTGAAAGAATTGCATTTGCAGCGAGATTTTATCCGCATTCTTTTGATCCATCCAAACAGAGGGGAAATTCCTTGCTGCACTTTCCTCTTTGTCAAATAATTTTAATAATCATCTCAGGTGCGAAGAAGAGATGAAGATGAAAGTTAAAACTAACTGGGCAAGCCATTATTTATAGTTTCATACATTCATCAATGCAACATTATCCTCGGAGGTCAACGAAGAAGAATATGATAAATATCGAGAAATTTTTTACTTATTTAGTTACTGGGAGCGTCTCTTCTTAAGTACAATTAAAAATTGTACGTATACATTTCTATAAAAATAAGCAAGACTGACACTGCAGCATTATTGGTAGAGGATGGATATGTATTTATTTTTAAGGGTTTCATATGATGACGACGGATGATCAAACTTTGTGGGTGTGTTCCCGAACTCGAATAGATCGCAAAAATTTCAAAATATTTTTCCATTCTATTGAATATTTCTAGGTTTTCTGACATATTTATAAATATTTCCGCTATTATTTGAAAAATATGTAACTATTTTTGATACTTTTTCTAAAATGCATATATTTTGTAAGTATTTCGACGATAAGAGACGATTTTTTGCTAAAAGAAATTCTACTACAAATAATTCAGAGCATTATATTCAGAAATACACATTTTTGCGATTTTTTTTTGTTTTTACGGGTTTTTGGTGCATATCTTGTAAGGGTATTTTTTCGTAAATATTAGATACATATTTCCTCTATTTTTTGTAACTACATATCCGCCCTCTGATTATTGGCGATTTAGTGTCGTCCCTCGTAAGAGAATCCTCACTTGAAGACGAATAAAAAAGAAGAGTTACGTGTACCACCACTAATTCACGTTGGATTATGCGTGTATATAGCGTATGCAAAATAATAATGAGTGGTCGATGAAAATAAATAGCGACGCGAAGGTTGAAGTGACCAATCGTGGCATCCACCAAGCAGCAGACACACTTGTGCATGTATAAATATCCATCTGAAAACGTCCCACTGCCAAAATAGCATCGCCGAAGAAGAGTGTTTCCTCCTGACCTAAAAACAGTTCAGCGACAGAAGATCCTGCTAATCACACTAATCAATCCTACCATTTCGCTCTGTTCTTCGTGTCCCTTTTGCCTACAACTAATCGTAGCAGCAGCCAGAGAATTCTTATCAATTTTTCGCATCAGTATTCTTAAAGAGTGGACGACGATGGACGAGTAATATGAAAGCAGAAAATTATTTCGGCTGAATTCCTGTAACAAAGAATTATTATTGGCCTTTGCGTCTGCCTGTACCGCGTTATTTTATTGTCACACTGAATAAATAACTGACAATGGAGGTCTCCCAGCGTATGCGATCCGATTTTGAGTCAATCGATCAGAAATTTAATTAATATGAAATTTGCAAAATTTGCAAATCTGCCAATGTGCAGATATTTGCACCTGACGAGGAGAAAACGCCAAATCTGTCAACTTTGGGGCGCTTTTTATTTGCAAATCTGTAAGCATACGTTGGGAGACCTCCATTGTGAGAAGAATAATTATTTATTAGCGATTCTAACTGTAATAAATTACTCGGGGATGCATAAATACACAAGAATTTTGTATGGGCATGGATAGACATTTTTGGCTTTATCGATACATAATTCATCGGAGAAACTAGTTAAGCACACACATTTTTAATTTCGTCCGAGACAGCTTTTCTACTACACTTTCTTTGGAACAAAGTCATATTGTTGCCTTGCAGCTCGTACTCTGCATCTCTAGACAATTGTGTATTGTTACAATTAACTAAATTAACAGGTAACAATGGATCAAGTGTGAAAAGACAAACAGGTGAGAGCACATCTTCTTCAGCAATTTCATGGCAAAGGGACCGCCTCTACGTACATATTTTTAGCCATAAGTATGTATGTACACATGTACAAATACAGATAAGTAATGTATGATGTCGATGAAAATAATAATGATGTTCACAAAGTGATAAGTTTGTCCAACTGTTTGGGAAAACCATCGGAACAAAAGAGGTTCTCACACAAACTGTTGTTTGTTTGTGGAGCAATTGAGGTTATTTATAGCTCAATGCGTATAATGGCGACGGGCAAATTCTTGTCGGACAATGTGGACATGATTAGAAAACAATTACCAGGTTGGTAAAGATCAATAGAAAACGCGACTTGTTGTCTGTAATGGATTTTGATTTTGACCATGAGTGGCTGCACACAAATTTGTTTTCATGCAAGTTTCTACAAGACATGTACCATTATTTAGTCGTAATAATTGCAGGTGCTAAATATGAAAAGGGAAATGAATTTTCCAGGTTTTCAATGAAAGAAATTGAAGTTTTCTTTAAAGTCTGAAGGACGAATCTGGGTCGTACATTGTAGAAATTTGAGTATGAAAATCTAATTCTGTTATGTTGGCATATAATCTCAAATCTTCAAAAAGTTGGGATTTTTTTATCCAACTTTTTATCGATATTAGTTTTCTAGATGTTTACACGATATCCTTATTGAATTATTGATGAATACATAGAGTAAAGTGGATTTATACTTATTGTTGTTTTATTGCCGCATGTATGAAAGCATCACAATAAAAAATTCATCGGATACATTAATAACAATTTCGCTTCTACACGCACTAACACTTGGATCGACTGGAATCGATATCATAAATCTTCTCCATATCTGTATAAAGTTATATTTTGGTGTAGTTAGTAGTGGTTATGAAAGGGTAAATGTTTTGTATGTATGTATTTATGTAGTTTTCTTGGATAGGACGTTGGTTGCATGTTACCAGACCAGAGGTATTATTTTATTACTAAATAGCTGCATGGGTTAATATTGTACTAGATTCAGCCTCTACTACCCTAAGAAATTTTACCACCGGATTATCACCGACCGGTGAGTATACATGTATGACTTTACCGGATGTTGATAATATGTCACGGCTCGGTTATAACGGAATCACCACGTGGGAAAGATCACCACTAGCTCGGTGACAGTCTATCACCAAGCAGAAACATACTACCACCGAAATGGTAACAATAATCCCTGTAGTCACGTTTGTCACCGGATTTTTTAGAGTGTAAATAGTTATACAATATGTATTATCATAATTCCAGTCGTATCTTCATTTAATTTTTGCAATCTTCATTTCGCATGATAAACTATGGACTATTTCGCTTTGCTTGTGATTTTTCTAAATAAATACCTTTTTTACATAGCAAGTATACATGTGGACTATGTTCTGATTTAATAATTCTGCAAAATGTATTGCTGCCGTGTGCATGACAAGCATTTATGTAGTTCCAATACAAAACTAACATTTGCCTTTTTGACACTATTGAATTTGATTCCTTCGTTTTGTCACGTTTATGAATTTTGATTTGATTTGATTTTATATCACGCTACGATTTTTGGAATATTTTCAGACCTTTTTTGAACTACAGTGTTTCGAATTCGAAAGCCGCCTATGCATCTGCATCAGTCTAGGATCACTAATAAAGTTTTATATTCAACGTAAAATGCAGTTTTGTTATTATAAACATGGACTAAAATAGGTGGGCGATATGTGGTTTGTTGGAATCTATCCAGTATTTCCCATTGCAAATCCAGTCATCTCCCACCTTATCGAACCACACGGGTTTATAGTCGGCTTGATTATTTGTTTTGAGAAATTTTCTTTGTTTTTCTTCAATTATTCCTTTCTCCTCGGCAGCCTTGTCTAAATCACCTTCTTCCATTTTCCGAATGTCGGGTCGAAGCCTGTAAATTAAAATGTTGCGCAATTATTTCGGTACTATTATTGCAACGAACAATGGAGATATCCCAGCGTATGCTCTCCGATTGTTGTAAAATTTTTAGTGTCAATCGATCGCAAATTTAATTAGTATGAAATTTGCAAAAAACACGATATTCAAATAGACACGAATGACAGAGATATTTGCATCCGAAGAGGAGAAAACTGGGGAGTAAATTTGGAAAGTGTAAAATTTGGCAACTTTAGGACCCGTTTTCTCCCCTTTGGTTGCAAATATCTACCCGAAATCTGAGCATTGGCAGGTAGTGTATTTTGCAAATTTTATGTTACTTAAATTTGTGATCGATTGAGACTAGTTTGGTCAAAATCAGAGAGGACACGCTGGGACACCTCCATTCTTAGTTTAACTTGATTTAAATTAATACTTATTTACCTAGAATCCGTTGGACAAATGGAACTCATGTCAGGAAGAACTTGATTTAAACTCATTGCAAATAGTGTGAAATGATAAAACTGTAAAAGATATGAAACAAAATTATCAAATTTCTGTATGAAGAAACGCTTCTGAACTGCATTGCATATCTACATTTCAGCTAGAGTTTTTTTTGAAATTCTCACGAATTCCTGTTCAAATCTGTAAGATCAATCTTATCTCTGGCCAGACCAAACAAACAATGGTAAAGATCAACTCTTCATTCACTTCAGTTCAGCAATGTTCTCAAAATTCCCAAAATTGTTGTAAAGTAATTGAAGAAGCAATCATGGAGATTGGTCTCATGTGGATGGATGCGTTGTAAAAATATTATCAGAGGACGAGGAGAAGAAAATAAGAACTTTTGACCTGACTGACTAGCCATATGCTACTGGTTCAGTTCAACAACAACAATTTCATTTCGTACCAGTGGCCGCGGAAGCAGTGGGGACATTAACATTGCGGGATAGGGGAGGGACGGGTTTATATAACATGGGGAGATGATGAGGACATCGAACAACCGTGGGGACATTGTCCCTCTGTCCCCACGCCACTTCCGAGGCCACTGTTTCGTACCATGGAACTTTAGATTCTGAACAAACATGTGATGAGAAAATTGGAAGCTGGTTGGTAACCAACCACTTACGCCTCCCATTTATTACCCGTCGTACGAACTCAAGAAGTGGGTTCATGAATTATGAAAGAGATTTGTTTGTAGAACAAGTGGGGGCATGGCTGACTTTTGCTCTCTGAGATGAAATTCAATTCTGAGAAGAGCCCAAATTTCGCGTGATATTTCAAAGTTTTCTGAAATTTTTGGGGAAGATTTGTTGGTCGGATATCGCCCCTCTGATTGCACAAACACAATCGGAATATGCAAGTAGGCCACGGAGCAGGATTAAATTCGAAGAGCTTGCTCTTTACCAATTAAGGTCACCTATTATTTCCACATTTGCCGAAAGAGATCATTGCTAAAGTGAGGGCATACAAATTACAGGATAATAAATGCATACCAGCCTAATTGGCATTTAATACCGCAACGTAACCTTCACCCATCAAAGAAAACATAAGTAGGGCTGAACATTTTACTCGGAACTCTGTCGTCAATATACTCTATCCACCAGTGGCCGTGGAAGTCGTGGGGACATCGGGGGACACTAACATTGCAGGATAGGACAGGGGTTTATATAACATGGGGAGATGATGAGGACATCGAATAACTGTGGGGACATTGTCCTCTGTCCCCACGCTTCCGCGACCACTGTTCAAAATGACATGACGAGTGTGTAAAAGCTTATATCCAGTGGCCGAGGAGGCTGTGGGGACATCTGGGGACATTAACATTGTAGGATAAGGGAAAGAGGGGTTCATATAACATGGCCAGATGATGGGGACATAGAACAACCGTGGGGACATAGAACAACCGTGGGGACATAGAACAACCGTGGGGACATTGTCCATCCGTCCCAACGCTTCCGTGGCCACTGCTTTCTACAACTCTACACTGAAAGGAAAGGGTTATTTATCCTCCTCAAAACGCAATTAGCCCACCATTAATGATGGTTTTATGTATAACAAGATTAAGCTCATTGTTCGATCACGTTTCTGTCCTCAGAACTAATGGGAGCTCACCTCGGCGGAATAATCTGGTCGGGCACGGACCTCCCAGAGAGTGACGGAATTGGGGATCTCTGGTATCTCTCCGTCCAACTTGGGAGGCTCCTCGTCATTCCCGGGCGACAAGTCACCATCCTGACCAGAGTTGGGCTGTGCACACATAAACAAACAAGTCAAAGGGTATAGTTCAACAATCTGGAAAATCATAGAGCAATTTTGTGTCTGTAGGTTTGTTGATTTGCTGAAGGCAGAAGACCGGTAAACAATACGTACATCACTAAACGGTAGTTGTACTTGTACATCAAAGAAAAATCGGATAAAAGGAGGATTCAGTGATTCGAAGATTTTGTTATTTTTTTATTTATCAAAAGTTTCTGAATTCCAGTTTGTTTGAGATAAATCGGTTCTCTTTTAAGGAGGAAATATCTTTCATGAAACACATGTTTGTAACAAGTGGAGGAAAATGGGGCAGAAAATAACAAAAGTTTTTTTAGGAGAAAGTCTAGTTTTTGCAAAAAGTCTGCGGTTGCAATTTCCTTTGTGTGAAAAAAGTTGGCAAAAATATATAAAAGTCGGGGCAAAACCGTGATAAGTAAGAAGTAGGAATGAATTATTAATAACACTCTGTTTTTTTTGTCGACGACAAGGTTCGTTCGTCGTAAATGTCACCAAGTGTTATAAACTCATATCCTTTATTTAAGAATGGCCCAATTTGAGCAGCTTTTTTCTGTCAAAGACACGCCAAGAAATATGAGGATTTGCTTTTTCTCTAGGTTAGGAAATCATGGTTAATTATATTTCCATTCTATAAAAGAAGAAGGATAAAATGCAAAGGAGAAAGGTATCCAATTACTTTTCTGTCAGCTTCATTACACTTGAGCAGAGATGTTAACAATGGGATAAAAAGATGTGCTAAAGAGGAAAAAGATGAGATAAATCCAATCCAGTCGGAATATTGCAGGAGACAAGAAAACTTCCAACTTTTCGGATTCTGGGAACATTTGGGCTGTCATTTTTTTTTGGCGAATACTATTCTTGCGCCATTAGAGAATAAGAATGACTGAGCCGTATCAGGAGTCGACATCATTTCTCGTTTTCATTTTCATCCTCTTAAATTCAGTATTTCGTAGAATTTCCGAGACTCCTGCCTGCCCTTTAGAATTTGTGTTGTTCTCTTCTTCATCCGCCTGCTTATTTGGATGTAAAGGATCCTTGACATGGACTGACAAGCGGGGAATAACAAGTAAATAGATTTTCCTATCTATCCTTCTCCTGTATCGAAGAGGGGAAAACAGAATTTAAAATTCAAGAGATTCCGGGCTCATCCTTTTCCATCATTTACATACATGCAGATGATGTTTTCTAGCTAGTTTTTACGACTATAAATAGATAGGTTTCACATTGTGTGAAATAATCCTGGAAATTATGTACATACGTCTTTACACACTGGTTGAAATCTGGTATACTTAGGCAGCTATTTATTTCTCGGTATTAAGGTTGGTATTGTACCACTTTGTATTAAAATTATGTTTTGCGATCCGTAAATATTTGCTACCGATATGGTAAAACTTTAATAATGAGCTATGGCTACTAAGAGGGATTATTTATCAGTACCAACTTGGTAGAGTAAAGTAATCCTGAAAATTACATACATACACGTACGTCTTTACTTTGACACACTGTTAGAAATCTTGTATAATCCAGCAACTATTGATTTCTCGGTATTAAAGTCGCTACCGCTTCGTATTAAAATTATATCGGTCCTTAGAAAGCTGCTACCGATATGGTAAAACTTTAATCATAAGCCATTACTATACGGTATTACTTATCAATACCACTTTGGTAGAGTCATATATATATGAATATGGCTGGGTATTACTTAAATACCAGATTTCTAAGAGTGCATTCCTACCAGATATACACATTTGATGCCATATTTATCTCGAAAATGGAATGTCTCTCTATCCCTGGGTGCAATTTACTTTGATTTCTACATGCTCATCTTCCTCCAGTCTGTACATACGTTCTCTCTGACAAACCATTACGGTCATCCATTCCAATTCTGGCGGCGTTTCTAACAAGGGCAAAGCTTAGCGCATTAAAGTTGCTGGCGGTCTAAGTCATTTATTTGTCTTGCCTCCCAAGTTGGATGGAGAGAGCAAAGAGAAAGTTTCAATAAGCTACGTGAGGCACATTTCAATCGCCAAATATCAACTTCTCTCTATCTGTCCAGACCAGAAATACCGAGATGTTTAGAGAGACCATGAAATTAAATTGCAAGCAGGCGAATAAGTAGTTTCGATGCGACGACTACCTGAAGACAGGCGAATGAAGGTTGTTTATCTAGCTTGAGGAAAATTATCGAACCCTGGTGAAAGTGAGGTCAAGGTGTACACATAAAAAGAGAAAGTCAATACAAAATTATATCTGAAAACCTCAGCAGTTAATAATACTTATAGGAGACGGAAAATGTGTGTTTATGGACGGGGAATGAAGAAATATATGTTTAAACAGCGTTGTCTCCCAAAAAACAGTATTTCTTTTTGCAGGTTTGCTACATTTTTTGCACTGCAAAGCAAGAAACGAAAGAAATGCGAGGTGCAAGAAACTGGGAGAAAGCGCAAGAAATATGCATTAGCCACGTGCCATATGAAGTATAGCGGCGGGCCCTACTTTCTAGCGCATTGCATTTCTTGCAGGTCAAAATACCCGCAAAAAAACCACTTTCTTCCCGTTATTTCTTGCAAGTCGTTACATTCACCGGAAACATTGCCCATAAGACCAACTAGAGTAATGTGTGTCACTTAATATGTATCACGTTTCATCATCATCATCATCATTTCGCTTATCATGAAGAAGAGAGAAAGTATAATAACTCTTTTTCTGCTTTCTCTCCCTCTGAGGCGAACTGAACTACGGGGAGAAAGCGTAATTAATTAAGATCATACAGGACGAAGACACGAGTGAACTTTTACTCTCTGAAGAGACTAAAACTTAATTTGTGCTGTAACAAGGCGTATCAAAGGAGAAATCTCACTTACGTCCACACTCGTGCTGAATGATTTCCCCAAAGACAAGGAGTTGAACTTGGCGAATATCTTCTTTCCTGGGATCGGACTCATGATCGGTGACCTTTTCGACGTGTCCGAGGCAGGTTCTCCAAGTCTGGGGGAGAATACATAATTATTAATATTAGCAGTACGGCAAATTAATAATCAAGTATCTGACCTACATATGTACACTAAAAAAAACTGGTATTAAATTATTACTGACAGGAGTACATATGTACATATATGACACTGCTGGCATTGCATGGTAATAACGGACATTGCCGTTGTGGCAAAATTTACCACTTATAAACAAACTAATACTAATCCGGTACGAAGTTATTACCAGATCAATACCCATGTGTCACTCTACCAGATTTTTAGTACACTCTTAGAAATCTGGTATTAAATCGTTACCGACAGGAGTACATAGATATATATGTATGCTTTACCGGCACGGTAATAACGGGTATTATCATTTAATAATGTTACCACAATGAAAAATCTGCTACTCAGAAACAAACTAGTACCATTCCGATAGAAAGTTATTACCAAATCGCTACCAGTACAGACTATGTACGTGACTCTACCCCATTTTCATCCATCGGTAGAAAACCCCCACCACAAAACTATTTTGATTTATCTACTTTTGATTACAAATGTAATGATACATATCTAATAATGTCTTTTTGAACGAAAAACTTGTATCAATTTCTATCAAGTCGAAGCCTTGTTCCGGGACAAATCTCCTTTTATGATTGAAATTGTTATCCAATCTTCGACTGTCTGAGTGAACCCGAAGAAATGAAATGTCACCGCAGGCCGAAGAAAGAAGTACTTACTCAGCCAGGAGAAAGCAAAGAAAGTCCTTGAAACTTTTGCAATTACATGTTTCCCAATATTTCAACCTGTCTCTGCTTTAACAAACTCGCCTTTATAATACACTGCCTGCCTCCGCTCTTCTTCTCGCCACTCGAAACGGAATATTTATTTACTCTCTACTTGAGAGGAAACTGGTCGAAAATTGGTGAAAAGGAAAGTACATTTACACACCTGAGCTTGTGAGCGTTTGCTTTCATGTAATCTTCGTACGCCTCCATATCACAGGAACGCAGGGTTTCCGTCCACTTTCCGTATACATAGCGGTGCTTCGTCTTCCTGTCAGGGGAAAATTAAGCCATTATTATCAGTGGGTGGGTGGGTGGTGGGTGGATGATGGTGTTTGTTTTGTTAGGAAGTATATTAAACAATTTGTGGGACAATGGATGGATGAGCTTGCTTGGTTCGTACGTATGCAATCTGGTGTGGGTGGTGTGTGTATATGTATATGAGACGGCTTGAGTGTTATCAGCGACGGCAGAAGTTGGGGGGACATGTGGGGAGAATATGGTGTGTGTATTAAAATTAGACCTTTTTTGTAGCTATGTGGACGATGGTGTTTGTTCTGTTAATAAGTATATTAAACAATTTGCGGGACAATGGATGGGCTGGTTCATACGCAATCTGGTGTGGGTGGTGTATTTATATATATAAGAGGATTTGAGTGTTTCAGAGGCGACAAAAGTTGGAGGGACATGTGGAGACACTAACTATGATATGTGAATTAAAATTAGACCATTTTTTGTATGTTTCTTGTGTTAAGAATTGGATCTAATTATAAAATACCAAGCATAGCATTGTGTAATTGGGGGAGAAGGGACTTATTAACATTGGAAAAATGTGCAAGATTTTGCTGAATTTCTGGGAGGACAATGTCCCCCTGCTCTTCCTTCGCCAATGGGCGTTATTGTGCCCAGTGTTGTTGAATTTGTGGTGGAGTGGAGAGAAAGGTAATTAAAAATCGGTGAGGTGGAAGGTAAAGTAATTGCATGGGCGAGTGGGTGGGCTTATTAGTCAAGATTATCTACACTAATGGACTTGAAGAATAGACGCTTCAAAAGTTCTAGGCGAGTTTCGTATGGAAATTTAAAAAGGACAAGAACAGCATAGTTTTCGCAATAAAATAGAAGTTTGAAGGCATGTAAAAAGTGCATGTGTATGATCTTACTTTGAATCCGTTACGAATCCCTCTACCACATGGAGCTCTTTGTTAAACCATCCGGCCGGTTTGAAATGCAGACTAAGGGTTAAACCAGTTTGGACGCAGTGAAGTTCCATCGTTCCGTGATGCTCGATCCACATTTTTCCACCGATAATTCCATGGACCTGGGGCAATTGGCAACAATAATAATAATGAATGTGCACTCATAAATGCTATATGGACCTCTTTCAGTGGTATAATTTGTATATAAAAATAATTAAGGAATAGATGTCTCATACTATTTACTACGAGAACTCGACTCCCAACTTTCTGCTTAATAAGACACTCATAAAAACGTAGCTTAAGTTCCAGAATTTCATAAAATTCGTGCAGCCTATCCCAGAACGAAGAAGTACTCATTATTTCTTCAAAATTTTTAATATAAAAACATACACTTCCAAATTCACGTGCCTAATAGGTAAGCAATAAGCTTTTTTTATAGCTCAACATTTAGGTACACGTCTATTTGCCCTTGCTCAAACGCATCCATCTTCATATAATAAAGGAAGAGAAAGCTTTACTAACCGTACAGTTGATGTTTTTCCACGTGTAGCTCTCATTGAACCTGTAAAAGTGGGTAGAAGATGATAAAACTTGTATCTGAAGACAAAGAGAAAGTAGGAAAAAGGAGAATAAAGTTTTATTGCCTGCCAGGCTTACTTTTTCATGTGCAGCTTCATAACTCCCTTTGGGTGGATTTCGACAGATTTACCCCAAAGCTTCAGTTTTGGATAAACCCAGCCGTGGAAGTCGAAGGAGGGCGAGTCGGCCTGAAAGGCGGAAACTGGTGGGTGGTGGGACACTTGTTCGCAAATTAGTCTAGGGCAGAAAGAGGAGAAAGTGGCCGTTATAAATCTGGAGCTGGATTAATTCCATGCATGCATCGGATGACAAAAAAGTAATAAATGTGACTCACTTGTAGTCATTTCGTCTCAATTCGTACGTCTCTCCAATCACGGGATTGAACGGTTTTCCCAGTCGGTTCCAATTAGAGGCAAGCGCTGTATTTATCAGTGACATAAATACGTATGTAGTTTAGCATTTGAGCGAGTGACGTGTTTAGTAGGGGAAATTAAAGGATAATAAATATCAATTAGCTTACCACTTACGGCAAATGCTGCGACATGCTGTGCGCAAAAAATGTATGCATAATTACCGGAAATACTTCGTCATCCAGCAGTGGCCGCGGAAGCTGTGGGGATATCTGGGGACATTGACGTTGTAGGATAGGGGAGGGAGGGGTTTGCATAACATGGGGAGATGATGGGGACATTATTGTCCCTCTGTCTCCACGCTTCCGCGGCCATTGTATGTATTCACTCGCGAATAATTTACCTGTATCCTATCCACCGGATTTTGAGCTAGTTCCACATTTCCCAACAAATCTGCATACTCCATGTGCTCCGCGGCCCGTTGGAGGAATGAGATCGGCTCATTAAACTGAATCGGCATCGTCACCTTGGACAAATCTTTTCCGACACAGTTTTTCAGCACGGACCAAATCCCACAATCGTTTTTAGACGCTTTCGCCGGCAGTTTAGTTCTCAACGGCCCGTTGGCTTCTTCTTCCTCTTTTTCTGGTAACGAAGCACTCATCTTTTTTTAGTGCACAAAATATGTATGCACAGTCACCTAAAAAACACTCTCCCTCCGCCGCCGGTATCGATTATGTCACACTGTTGATTTTGTCTCTCCCACTCAACTCGTCAGCCTTTCACTTTCACTTTCACCCAGTTTCACCAATAACCACGAGCCCTGTTTGTCTTATCAATCAGGAAAACCAAGACAAACCGCGGCGCGGACTACATAAAATCAGACACCAGTGACTGAAATCAAATCAAACTTAATTTACAAATTGGTCCGAGACACCAGAAGAAGAATCAATACAATGGGTGAAAGTCGGAGTGAAAAGTAATTGGATTAGGGGACTGACTAGTCAAAAGTCAAGAGTTTCTGTGTCCTCCTCCTCTCCTCTGCTGACTAAGAAATAAACAGTTGACTGAGGAGACTTTCTCCCAGTTTCCTGCTCTCGAGAAGCAGAGAAATGCTGTAGGGTCACACGGTGCCTCTTCTAAAGCGAGGGCAGAATGTTACACATGGAGAAAACACTACAAGAGTCACGAGTAAATACGTACATTCACGTCCAGTCAAGGAGTGAAAGTAGTCACTCCTCCTGCTTTCTCTACCACATAAATTCACCGTTTTCTCCAGGAATTCATTGAATTTGCAACCCGACATACATAAAGTTACGTTACGTTACGTTATTCACTCACTGCAAAGTCGGATTGAATCCACTTTTCGCATAACTTTAGCCCCGTGCATCAAAGGATTAGTGAGAGGAGGAAGTTCAGATATATTTAATGGACGAGGAGCAGCAGCAGAGTGGGTGGGTTATCCATGCAGCATACATAGATAAGTACTTATAAGTTCTTATAATGATGAATCCCTCTGTTCTACGGGTGGTGCTGTCTCTTCGACATCTGGTATCGACTTGAGCCTCACTTTCACTCTGCAGCAGTTTGAGAGAAGAAGCGACACACACAACGAGTCCAAACCAATTTTGCCCGCTTGGCTGGATTGAATGAAAGAGAAACTGTTTTTAACGAGGTATCAGAGTATGAAAGAGTCTCGGCATATTTCATATCAGCCAGAATTCCACTGCTTCTTTTCACGGTGATGATATAAGCGGATGATGCTCGCGATCCTCCCGCTGTTTCATGGAAGGAAGGAAGGAAGTCCTGGTTGGAGAAAGCAGAGAAGAAAATTCTTCTACCCGATGAACTTTCCCAATCAAGAACTGGAGGGTAAATACGTACACAATGTTTAATGGAAGGAGATTGTTGCACGACGCACAATGGGTGTGAAAGAGAAAGAGGAAGGTTGATATGATGGTGCAGTTTGTAGTTTATAGTTTCTGGCCGGTTTTTGTATGTGGCTGAAAAGCAGGGAAATAAATAATATGGCGTGATACGATATATGTAGAAGTATTTCTATGATTAATCGTTAGCAAGGAAAAATTTGGGGTGATATGAAAAATATGGAAAACGTATGAAAGTTATTAATCGAGAAGAAGGTGTGGGAGGACAAGTTGTTATTTGTAAGCAGAGAGAAAGTAAAGTAGCATTGTTATATCAATACCTTGTTCCTCACTCCTCCGACCTTCACGTTACACGAGAGAAAGCGAGAGTGGGAGAGAAAGCTCTCTCTGGAGAAAGTGCTCACTGGTTTGGTTTGGTGGGAATGGTGAGAAAGTGTTAGTTTTCCTCCTTGGCAGGCCTGGTGATACTCTGGGATTTCCATTTTACATGGAACGCTTCTTATACTCAAAGAGAGAGAGAGAGATGCAATTTCAGAATTTTCCTACTAGTTTGGTTCCCGTTTCGTGGGAAGATTCAAGTCCATGCTGTGTGCCGCTTTATAGTACAGACTCGGATCGGAGTATTGATTCCTATTTCAAAATTTGCTGCGCATGAGGACACGACACGAAAGCTTTTCGTGTTGCCAGCACCACGGCCACTGCTCTTCTGTCCTAGAACGGTGATAGTTTCGTGCTATCAAGTTTTCTCTCTGGCTGACTTTCTCTACTTTCTCCATTACCTCGTCTTTCTTCTTGCGCTTTCTAACTTTCTCTGGAGATGAGTCGGATGGATGGATGGATGATTGGGGTGTTTTGATAGTCATTGGAGATGATGCATGGGAAATCACGGAGTCAAAATGGGACCAAGATTGACTCGGTGGAATCAAAGTGACAAGTGAAAAAGAGAGAGTGGTGAGGCTGTCGTATATTTAGGAAAATAATCCCCAAGTGCACATTAGCTTATAGAAATAGCAGGGAGACTTGCTAAATAATTTTACCTGGAAGTGGAACTCTACTCGTCCCAGAGATATTTATGGGTACATAGACTGGATGTTTGCTTTGGAGAGAATTACACGAGGGATTATATACAGATTGCCGTTCTGGGAAAGCAGGAGTAGTGCTTTCCTGTGGTTTTGGCTGGATTCAAGACATGTTTTCACATATGTATGTACATGTTTCATGGACGTATGCACACACGCTGGCTGGCTGACTTTGGCCACATTCATTATTATTGTGACTTTTCCCTGCTCGCACGAATCCCTAAAGTTTTATGAACATCAACGCAACGTGGAACAAATGTGTTTTTTTTGGCGAGGTGGTTGGTTTGGGAAAGAATGTATTCGTGTGAGTTGGACACAATCTAGCGAATTACTTACTTAATGGAATGGACGCTGATTGTATCTGACCATGAAATCCGGGATACGTAAAAATGGAAAGGTTCGATATTATCGGGATTATTTTTTATGTTTTATAACGGGAGAAAGTTATCGGGAGACTGGACTGGAGTTCGATATAAGAATATATGTGGCTTATTTTGTAAGGGCGCATGCTAGCCATCTGCACATTATTTGTATGCACATGTACGTACAAACAGTCGCCGCGGAAGCCGTGGGCAATGTTAACATTGTAGGATAGGGAAGGGAGGGGTTTGTATAACATGGGGAGATGATGGGGACATCGCATAACCGTGGGGACATTGTCCTCTGTCCCTCCGCTTCCGTGGCCACTGCATACATACTGACCCAAATTGTACGAAAATACGTTTCAGATTTTCAACAGAACTTAGATAACCCTGTATTTGACATTATTACGTCAACCACACCTGCGGCCTGAATACATATGCAATAAAGTTTCACTCCACATACAACTGCCAAACTAAACATTTCAACTACATTTCCCCCATAAAAGGTCAAGCATTCACTATTCAGACTAATTACTGGCATTATGCTGATGTCTAGTAAAGTGTGGTAACTAACTTGTAAGGATAAACTTGTCGGTATAAGTTTATGACGACAGTGGCCACCAGACCACAAATACCACAATGTATGTACAATCTAATTGATTTCAATGGTATTGGTTTTCTCTAAATAAAGTGCGGATTAAGACACAATTGGAGTGCGAGACAGTTAAATTATACGATGTTCTTCTCTCCCGACCGAAATGGGTCAGCGGACATAAAATGTATCCCTACGTGATTGTAACAGACAGCGGAATGCCGTCACTACATCAACTTCAACACAGTTCATGATCAGTGGCCGCGGAAGTTGGGGGGACATTAACATTGTAGGATAGGTTAAGGGAGGGGTTTATGTGACATGGGCAGATGATGGGGACATCGAATAACCGTGGGGACATTGTCCCTATGTTCCGCGGCCACTGATGTTCATGGTGCAACTTTGTGTTAAATATTTGCGAAGAATAAATGTAACGAAATTCTGCACGTTGTTGATAATGTCGTCGTCTTGTTGCCCTTTCTTCGCTCTAATGGGAAAGTTCGATTGAGTTAATGAATATTGAATCACGACTTGGTCAGTTAGTTTAATGTTGTTCTTTTTGCCCACCCCTTCCATTTATTTAGAAGCTGTCGGTCGGATAATGGACAGGACACCCACCACACCAGACCATCAATTCATCGGCTAATGCAACAAACTCGGCATTATTTATAAATCCTGGGGTGCACAACACACATCACGTTGATTCATGGAAGTCGGAAATAGTAGAAATCGTGAATTGAACCATAACTTAAGTAAATATACGAACGAATGGATGCATGTTGACCACAGATTTTGAGGAGAAAAAGCAGCACAAAAAAACATACACAAGTCCAACCAACAACAGAAATAGAACTCTCCGTATGTATCGTGGAAAGGGTATTAAAGGGCTTTTGTGGTGCAATACAATGTGTCGAATAAGCCGGCGTAATATCACTGTTAGACTTTATTTATACCGAATTGCGCAAAGAATCTTGAACTTTTTGGTAAAATGGGGCAATTTTAAGCTTTCTTTGGCATCAAGAGCTCAGCCGAAGCGGATCTTGGCTGCTGCTTGGCCTCGATTCTATCCCGCAATTGTGCCACCATTTCCAACAAAGCGTCCAAAAATTCCAAACTGCTCGGGATGATTTGATCTGCGGGGAGGATGAAGCCGTATCTGCCGGTATCGCGGAGCTCGAAGGCGAGGACGAGGGACGTATCGTGGATACCTTTCGCCCAATCAACACTGCCCCCACTCGCTGGGTCTGGAAATAAAGAAACATTTCAAAGAATTCAATTACCTCTCCGCCACAACAACAAAAAGCAAATTACACAAAAACTCGTGGAAAAGTCGCCCACTGAAACTAAATAACACATATTGTGCTCCGCGGATTCCTCGTAAACTCATCAGAGATCGGGGAAAAAAATCGCATGAAAAGAAAGCACGGCTTTCTTCAACCCGATGAAATGACGAGAAGCAATCTCATCAAGAAGCAGTGTGAAATTAAGTTAGGGGACAATTGAGTTGGTTGAGTGAGATTTGGTGGGTTGTACATATTCAGTAGATACTTTCTTCCGCAACTATTGCTTTTTTAGGAGGCGGATATGAACTAGTTACTGGGAAGGAATGAAAGGAGCGTTCTCTTATCTTTAGTTTGATTTTTTTTTCTAAGCTTACAAAGAAGATCGACAATGTTTCCAACGGTGAATTGTGTGTTGTATCGTCGTGCAATGGCGGCCTTGGCAGCGTTTCCAATTCTCATCTGGAATAGAATTTGTTGTTATCAAATTTGTTGTATGGTTCGATTTAAGATGGAGGTCTCCCAGTGTATGCTAATAGATTTTGACCAACTTAGTTTCAATCGACCGCAAATCTTAATTAGTATGAAATTTGCGAATGACACGATCTTCCAATGGGCACGTTTGGCAGAGATATTTGCATCCGAAGAGGAGAAAGCACGGAGTAAATTTGGAACATTTGTCGACTTTACGTGCCGTTTTCTCCTCTTCGGATGCAAATATCTCTGCCAAACGTGCCCATTCGATCGATCTTATATTTTGCAAATTTCATATCAACTAAATTTATGATCGATTGACACTATTTTACTCAAAATCTGTCAGCATACGCTGGGAGACCTCCATTGTCACTTTTTTGTCTCGTTTTTTTACATATTCGTTATAGTCTGGGTAGCGCGTGTTGGAGTATCCGTACGGAAGAAGGATGAATTGACTGTAGCTGTGCACGCTCAAGAAAAAGACGGCACGATCAGCAATGGTGTTGAAGTAGTCGGACATGGCTTTCGTCTCAACTTGGGAGAAAGCAGTGGTTCCGTGATAAGTGTCGTCGCAGGGGAGGCCTGAAGACCCTCCGGCTATGGAGCAAAGCAAGAAATATTATGTTTCATGTCTCATATATTTTGTAGTGAAAATTTGAGTGCTTATCGAACTGATAACTCACTGTTGAACTGATACCCCCAATTGCGATTTGGGTCGGCTCCTACAAAAGTAGTTGAAAATACAGTTTAGAAAAAGAAATTGATGGAAATGATGATTGACACTTTCTTCAAACCTTTGCATCCCAAAGGACTGGTCGTATTGGAGCGTGTCTTTCGCCACATGCGGTCGGTCGTGTGAGTGTAAACGTATCTGGGGAAGGGAGAAGATTGGCGAAATTTTGAAAATTGCGATAATAAAATGTATCTCGTTCATATCATCGCATTTCAATAAAATGTCATTTATCATTTACCCGTCTGGATTAGCGACACACATTATTTTCCAGTCAAAGTCCACTGTCAATTGAACAATGGCAGGGTCAGCGCTGTTCAGCAATTCATTGACAATGTAGGTGCACGTTGCTCCACTGATCCATTCCCTGGCGTGGATGGCTATACAAGAAAAGATAACATTTTACATACAAAGTTATTTAGTGACAGGAGTGGGGAGAATAATTCTCATTAATGCACGAGTCCCATGTATTTCCAATCCTTATCAAAATCAGATATGTTTTGGCATTGTGCAACATTTGGGAAACTCTGGCGTATCAGTGGGATTTCATTTGGGGTACGTACAACAGCTTTTTGGTGACACTTTATAAATGACAAAGGTGAAGGTGACAAGTGACGGGTTTATTCCGCCTCGTCTTATCGGAATAGGCTTTGAAATGACGCTGTGGGAGGTTGCCCGTGATTGCAGTGGCCGCGGAAGCCGTGGGGACATGTGGGGACATTAACCTTGTAGGAAAAGGGGAGAGAGGGGTTTGTATAAGATGGAAACATCGAATAACCGTGGGGACATTGCCCATCTGTTCCGCGGCCACTGTGTGATTGTTATGCAAATGGAAATTCCGAAAGAGGCTAAATCATTTTGCACCACAAACTCTGATATGAGAGAGAGATGGATTCGACACAATTCAAGTATTTGCTTTTGCCAACAAACTTTTCTCTCTCTCTCTTGCTCGCTCTCTGATCGATATTAGTTTTGCAAAGCGAATAAATGTGTTGGAGACTTACTTGCATCGTACCAAATGGCAGGCTTAGTATTGCCAGATTTAGAAATGCTGAGTACTTTAAGATCTCGGCCTTCAAAACTGGTGCCGATGGAAATGACCTGAAGAACACGGAGTTGGAAATTAAGCCACTTTCACTAACAATGTTTACATTATGCTGTATAAATAGAAATATTATGTGACATACTTCAGCAATGTCGGAGTGGGCGGCGGCTTGGGCGTCCAAAAACTCATAAATCTGGGGAAAAAAATTAGTGGTTACATAAAGTAAAATACATAAGTTTTTTTTGTAAATATTAAGTGTTTCGTTTCTTGCGGGTTTGCTACATTTCTTGCACTGCGAAGCAAGAAATGGGAGGTGCAAGAAACTGGGAGAAAGTGCAAGAAATATGCACCAAACAACCACGCGCCGTATGAAGTATATCGGCGGGGCGTCGTTTCTTGCATTTTTTGCAGGTCAAAACACCTGCAAAAAACCACTTTCTTCCCGTTATTTCTTGCAAGTGGCTATTTGCAAGCGAAACATTGCAAATAATTTGTATATACGTACATCGGCCAGAGTTCCGTACGAAGTCCAATCCAGAGCTCGTCCCTCTTTCAGAATGGTGAGAGCTTCTTGATCGATGAGTTTTTGTACGTCTTCTACAAAAACAGAGACGCCCATATTCTCCCGTCTGGTCATGGCAGGAAGTAAATCCATCTGCACGTGGGGTGGCACCATCACATCCACCGGCTGCCCCACAGACTTGACACCCTTCCAGAACTTGACCTACGAAAAAGTTAGCGTCAGAAATGCAGACCACGCAAAAGTTATGCTTTCTCCGATTATTTATACAAAAAAAACAACTCACTCCCAAATTGGATTCTTGGAGTTGGATCAAAACCTGTCGCTCTTCCTCAGTCTGAGGGATGAAGCGATAAACCTTGTAATTGTCATATTTGACTCGTTCGGCCGAGATTTGGTTCGAAAAAGCGAGACCGAGCAGGGTCAGAGTTACGACAAGGGCAAACTTCATGGTGGATTTTAAATCAGAAAAGCAAATTGAGAGACAAGAATGTGCACTGGGAAGTGTGTGAGATTCGGTTTTATGCAAATTCTTATCAGCTTTGGTGTCAAATTAGTATTTATATAAAGTTATTGATAAAAGACAATGATGCATTAATATGTCAGTTTAATTGGTTAATTGGATTGTGTAATTGTGATAGATCACATTTGTGTGTGACACGTATGATGCTGAAACTTTATTAAATACGTAATGATGATAAGTTACGTGATGGATAATACCTGTTTTAATATCTGGTTTGAAATGACGCATTAAAATTGTAGATAAACTAGATATGCGCATCTGTACATTAATAGTTAATTTGAAGGAGAATTCTCGGATTACATGATTGAAGGAGAAATCAAATTTATTTTCAAGCTTATTATATTAATATTAATATTAATAGCTAATATTATGTAAATATATTAATAGTTAACCCTGAAGAAAACAATATTGAATTGTCGAAAGCTTGCTGTAGCAAAAATAAATCTGCAAAGTTTATTAAATAGTTCAGACATGTTTATAAAATTTCCGCTATTATTTGAAAAATACGTAAATCTTTTACATATTTTTTCAAAAATGCATATATGTATATTCGTAGACATTAAATACACGCATATGTATTTCAGGGATTTTTTGTAAATACATATCCAACCTCTGTTGTAATAATGTAGTAAAAGCTGTAGTAAAATTCATTTTTCATAAAATTCATTGCCAATACATATGTACATGCATAATAAGTAATCAATGGACGCATGAAAACAGTGAACAAACTCAGACTGGTTGTATGATTTAATTTTTTCCTCCGTACTTATGTATACAATTCTACATTTTACAACTCTCTCATCTACATACCTAAGTACATTCATTGAAATATGATTGCAATATTGCAATTTTGACCTCACTTTTAAATGTCAACTTCTAATTTCGACTCAATATGATTTTGGATAGGATAGAACATCGCGAGACAAGAATGACCGTGAACAACTGATTTTGTTTTAGATACTTTGATAACTATGTCTCCAAATATCGCAGCAATTCCTAATCACAAATACTGAAATCATCCCCGTGAAATGAAATGATCGTTGATAGATTTAATGCAATTTTAATTGTGGGGAGGGGGAAGTATAGGAACAAGTAGGATGGTTTGTAAAATTATGTAATTTGCATGTTCTCATAATAAAAACGGTGTCAATTAACCGAATTTTTATGGATTTTGTTGGTGGTCATTCATGAATGCTTCACACGAGGTACATAAATAAATATATTTAGTCTCACCCCAAGCTGCTAAGAATGTAACAGTTAATGATAAAAATATTTTGATTAAATATTATTATACCTGCAATTGTTCTGTAATTGCTCTAGTTCCAGATAAACTTGACAATGAAATCCAGAAAGAAATGATACCGAACTTTGTAGGTCAATTGTGCTAAAACTTCTTGTTCATCATTACGAACTTAGTAAAACTTAAAACTTACTTAAACCTTAAAACATTGTAAATCATGTCATCAACATTGTTTTTCATAAGCTTTTTCGTTCTGTGTGGAAGTTTTGTGAAATTTGGAAAATGTGGGGAGGTCACAGACCTCCTCCTCTTTTTATATCGTGGGTAAGTTAATCCTTGTAAAAAATTATATCAATTAAAGTCAATAAATCCATTCTATGCACATACTAAAAAAATACTTTTATGTATATTATTTTACAGGGGCAACACGGACAGTTTCCCTGTCCGATTTGACTGCAATGGACCGCAACCGGAAGACCTGGATCCTCAACTGGAGTCATTCTGGGTTATGGATGGCTTCCTCAGTTATGTTAACACAAATATGTCCCAGAATTCTAGGAAAGGTTAGTCAGTCAGGTTATTAAGGCTACCCTAACAGAATTCCGCCATTACGGTACATAAATAAATGTGTTACTTTACATAGCCCTGCAGAGGACACACCCGACGTCCAATGTCCTCGTGTTGGATTGGTCCACTTTAAATGGACATGGAACGGGTATGACACACAGGCTATCGACAGGGCATACCAGCAGGCGACAAGGATTGTTGCCGAATTAGGAGACTTCCTTGGCACTTGTATGGTGCGCTTAGGCATCCGGATGGACCACGCACACTTCATATGCCATAGTTTGGCATGCCCTGTTGGTATGTGCAGCTACTGTTAGAATGATTCTTTATATATGGTCTTATTACAGACGTTTTTTACAGCTGGGGTAGTGGGGACAACGATAGAGCGACTAGCAGGTCAAAAATTAAAGCGAATATCCGGCTGTGACCCAGCCGGGTATTCGGTTGACAATGACGCTGACTTCGCCCGTTTAAACAGTAGCAATGCCGCACTTGTGGATATCTACTACACCAATCGCGAAAGGATGGGGACCAGGCATACTTCCTAGGAACAGTTAACGTTCTTATTAATGGGGGCCAGCGTCAACCCGGATGTGAGGCAATGGACCTTTATTGTGATGCAACCGTTGACAAACTTTTGGCTTGTAAGTCAGCCTAAATTTTATGCATATTTAGAAAATGTTACCTATACTACTCCTAAATAGATTAAGCCAATGGATGATGAGACTCTCATTATGGGAGTACTAATTTCCTTGTTCTTTTTAGGTTTCTGCTCTCATTCTTATAGCACGAAGTTTTTTATAGCTTCGATGGAGTCGAATTATTTTGTAGCTTGCCGTTGTGACGGAGATTCCTGCTATTGTACACAAGACTGCCTTACCTGCCTGGACGGGATACGTGTGGGATTTCAGATGGCATTATTAGAGTAAGGAGAAAATAATGTTCTTATAAATAAATACAATGTACATCAATGCAAGGCTGATCCTTCAATGCATGTAGCGATGAAGACTACGGGACGTACCATGTCGTCGCTGGAGAACTCTAAAGATTCTCATCATCGAACTTCCTCTCTTGTACTGCACCCAACTAATAGTTCGTATATTTATTAATGGTTTTCTTGGGTAATAAAACACGTCGTGACATTTGCTAAATTAAATATTAAATATGCTCACACCGGTTGAGAAAGTTTTTAATTTGATCTAGGACGTAGTAACATATCGACATTTTTAAAATCTAGACATTATAGATTTCTAAATGCTCGAATATAGTTCTCGTAAAAAAACTTGCTCATACCTCAGACGTTTATGGATTTAGGATATTTTTTCAAAATTATTTCCAAACTTTATTCCTTTGTTCATTCATGGATTTAGTATTTTAATAATCTTGTAGTTGTTCCAAGAATAAATTTAATTACGGCACCCTACGCTAAAATTTGTAGATGCAATCTAAATAATAGTAGAATGCGTCCATGTATTCGATGGGATAAGTCTGTAAGAGTTTTAGTACTACAAATTTATAAAATTTGGCATAAAATTAAGTAAGAAGGTCACTCACCCATATGAATGAGTTAATGCTTTGTCGCACTTTATCCGCGAACCCGAGCTTTATCTCAGGTTTGCTCAAGTCACGAAACAATCTCTTTTTGAAGTGTTTGTTCCATTTCTGCACGTCAAACTTCTTGCCGTCAATTCGTAGGTCACCGAAATTCAGGGACAATTCGTCAAAAGAAAGGTGGTCGATTTCCAACTCGGAGAAATAATAATACAAACGCCTGTCTATTGACGAGAAAGCGTAGACTGGGGTGCCTCGTCCCTCCACGAAAAAGTTGGTGACTTGAGCCCCACATCGTGACGAAGAATTGCAGGTCAAGGAGAAATTTCCAGATGGAAGCGTGTGTGGCGAGAGCGGACGGGCGTCAATGTGTCCAGAAATATTTAAATCATCAAACATTACTTCCAAGAACTTCGCTTGTATCGAGAAGTTGTGATGTTTTTGTTCTTCATAACTTGTATAAAGATGCGAAAAGAATAATCCTTGGATGTAGCTAGTGGTCTCAACGGTGCGGTTCGGTTCGGTTCTTGGAAGAACCGGTTTCGAACCGAGAACCGGAATTGAAGAACCGAAACAGAACCGAACTATTTTTAGCTGGAACCGAACCGGAACCGGACCAAACCGTGACCGAACCGGCGGTTCGGGTCAAACCGGTAGTGTTATTAATATGCAATAAACAACAAACAATGCTAATTGACGTGTTTCTGATGAAATTTCACATACAAGCCAATAACTTATCTGTATTTAAACATGCAAATTCTAATACATGTCAACAGCAAAACCACTTATGTATTATTGACGTTAGAAAACAATTCCAAGTTTGGGGTGCAAGTGAATCAATGGAAATTTCATTTCGGAAACTTTGGGGGTGTAACTAAGTTGGAATTTCATTTCGGAAACTTTGGGGGTGTAACCAGATCAAAATTCCATTTTGGAAACTTTGGGGGTGTAACCAAGTCAAAATTCCATTTTGGAAACTTTGGGGGTGTAACCAGATCAAAATTCCATTTTGGAAACTTTGGGGGTGTAACCAAATCAAAATTTCATTTTGGAAACTTTAGGGGTGCAGTCACGTCAAAATTTCATTTCCGAAACTTTTGGGGGTAAAAATTTTGTTTAGGAAACTTTGGGGTGAAAATATCATTTTGGAAATATTGGGGGTGTAACCAAGTCAAAATTTCGTTTTGGAAACATTGGGGGTTTAACCAAGTAAAAGTTTCATGTTGGGAACTTTGAGGGTGTGATCAAGTCAAAGTTTCATTTTGGGAACTTTGGTGGTGCGGCCACGTCAAAATTTCATTTTGGAATCTAGGTGTATTTCGGGAAGTTCGGAAAACTTTTTCGAAAATATGATTAACTTCGCTAATTGATTTATGTATGAAGTTCGGTTCACCCCGAACCGGCCGGTTCGGTTCGGTTCTCAAAGACTTGGAACCGGAACCGAACCGGTAATGAAAGTTTCGGTTCGGTTCGGTTCTCAGTATAAACCGGAACCGAACCGAAGCCATCGGTTCCGGTTCGGTTCTATGAGAACCGAGAGCCGTTGAGACCACTAGATGTAGCTTGCACCAATGACTATTATGACCCTGCATTAAGTAGTTTATTTACATTTACTAAATTTGTAGAAAATAGAAATCCACAAATATTTTGACAACATACCCGTAATTGCTTCCTTCTCGTAAATCGAGAATGGGCGACATGGTAAAATTTACGGTTCCTGGCATAATGATCCAAGGGTCTCGAGGGTCTGGGAAAATCAGTTGATATCTTTAAAATATTTTTCACCAACTTGACGAGTAACTTACGACAAAATTTGTTGGGCCACGGCCAAATGAAGGGGTCCAAAGAGGTTAGAGGAGATGCCAGAAGAAGAGGAACGAGGAAGAAAAACTTGAGAAATGAGTACCGCTTCATGACGGAATTATGTTAAACGGTTAAATAGTGGTTAACCTTTTGCAGTGTTTAATCCCCTGCGTCGTTTGATCAGAAAAGTGAGAAATTATACATTATATAAGACTTTCAAGGGTTGTCGCATTTATTCTTTTGTCTGATGCGTATAAAATGATTCAAATTTATTTTCAAATCGATAATATTTTTGCAAGAGTTTTCCTCAATTGATTACCCGACTAAGATAAGCGAATGTCACACCAGTTGTAGTCGCAGCTATGATTTTATCTGCTGCGTATAAAATGACTTTACCGTAGGTTCATTTCAGTTATGATAAGCGACAGATTGAAGTTTGACAGAACATGAAATATCTGATTTATTTTCAGACTAAAACTGGTGTGATAATCGCTTATCTTAGTTGGATAATTAATTTAAGTCCAATGAGGAAAACTTTTGCAAAAATAAATATCTATTATCGATTTGGAAAAACTTGGAATCATTTTATACGCATCAGACAAAAGCAGAACTGCAATAACCCTTGTAATTCTTATATAATGTACAATTTCTAATTTTACTGATCAACCACATAGCCAACATAATTTCGCCATGAAGCGACACTTAATTCTCAAGTTTTTCTTCCTCGTCCCTCTTCTTCTTGTTGCACTTCCTCTGGCCTTTGGGGTCCATTCATTTGGCCGTGGCCCAACGAATTTTGTCGTAAGTTACTCGTCAAGCTGGTGAAAAATATTTTAAAGTTCTAGACTGATTTTTCCAGCCCCTCGGGACCCTTGGATCAGTATGCCAGGAACAATCGGAAATTTCGCCATGTCGCCCATTCTCGATTTACGAGAAGGAAGCAATTACGGGTATGTTGTCCAAATTTTTACGGATTTCTATTTTCAACAAATTTAGTAAATGTAAATAAACTACTTAATGCAGGGTCACAATAGTCATTGGTGCAAGTTACATCCAAGGATTATTCTTTTCGCATCTTTTTACACCTAATCAGGAACAGAAACACCACAACTTCTCCATACAAGCGAAGTTCTTAGAAGTCATGTTTGAAGATTTAAACATTTCTGGAAACATTGACGCCCGTCCCCTCTCGCTACACACGCTTCCATCTGGAAATTTCTCCCTGACCTGCAATACTTCATCACGATGTGGGGCTCAAGTCACCAACTTTTTCGTGGAGGGACGAGGCACCCCGGTCTACGCTTTCTCGTCAATAGACAGGCGTTTGTATTATTATTTCTCCGAGTTGGAAATCGACCACCTTTCTTTTGACGAATTGTCCCTGAATTTCGGTGACCTACGAATTGACGGCAAGAAGTTTGACGTGCAGAAATGGAACAAACACTTCAAAAAGAGATTGTTCCATGACTTGAGCAAACCTGAGGTAAAGCTCGGATTCGTGGACAAAGTGCGACAAAGCATCAACTCATTCATAAGGGTGAGTGAACTTATTACTCAATTTTTGCCAAATTTGATAAATTTTCTGTACTGAAACTTTTGCAGACTTATCCTATCGAAGTCGTGGATGCATTCTCTTCATATAGAAAATGCATATACTATTTGGACGGCTAGGGGCCGTAATTAAATTTATTCTTGGAACTATTAAAAATATATTTATACATACTTAATCTATGAGTAAAGAGTGTCATTATATATGCATCAAGTTTTTACCCAATAGACTCGACTTTTTTGTCTGAACTTGAAACTTTATTAACAATAAAAAATGTATCAAGAGTATTTTGTCTTGTACGTACACTTTGTGAGATTACATATGTAATTTACATAGGGCACAATTAAACTTATAGAAGTGGGGTGCTACGTTGTGGAATGAAATTGAGAAAGCAATAATTTTATAAAATTGTATAAAATTCTCCTCCATCTTCTGTGTGTAAAGTCGTTGTCGAGTTTAAAACTAATTTTGCAAAAGTATTCGTGGATGAAACAAATAAAACCAAAGATAAAATACAAATGTGTACAAAAATGTACGAAAATTAGTTTTTTTACGAGTTAGTTAATTCAGAAAAATACCCTGCGCATCAGTAACCCGTTAAATGGCATGCATGCAACTGTCGCCAGTTTGTTCGATAATACGATACCTTGGAATTAATAGCATGATTTTATTGGTCTTATCACAAAATACAAATCACTTTACATATTAGTTTGATGGACATGGAATTAGCATGGAGGATATCCATATTGTGGGTAACAATTTTGCTGTGAATAATATTCCCCTTGACTCTGGCCGTAGCAATAAGGATACTGCGGTTGCTGATAGCCTTCGGAGTAACAGACTTGTGGGTATTGCTGGCCATATTGTTGGTAAGGATTTCCGTACATGGCGTTCATATCGTACCCCTGCGGCATCATGTTGTTCTGTCCTTGGTCAGCGGAACCACTGCAACAAGCCTCAGCAGCAACAGGAGCGTTGTTATCACACGTTGGGACAGCATTGTTGTTATCCGTGGGGACGTTGATAACCACAGAGTCACTACTGCCTTCAGGAAAGTGGGTCAATTTAATTGTCGTTTTATGCTGAATTCTCCCCCTGCAGAAAAATAAGATTTGGTACATTGTTTCGAAAGGAATAAGGTGAATAGACTGCATCGTCCTACGGTAACTGTAGTCGGATTGCTCCCTTGTCTGTCATGCTGAGCATGGGTTCGCAACATTCCTCGTCTGCTGGGAGTTTCTCTTTTTTTGACTTTTTACTTTCCTTCTTCTACAAATAAAAGGTTTGCTGAGTACGTTTGAGTCCAAATTTAACTTATAACTTGGACTAACCTTTGACCCTTCGCCCTCATAATAAACTATGCTGCCAGTCTGTCCAGCTTCATCAGAATATACATGTTCCGACCCTGTTTGGCCTTCCGCAAGCGTGGTGGTACCGTCACCCGCGTTCGTTTCGTCTGGGGGTGGAGAGCCGCTGGGTGAGTTTAAAAAGCCAAATTCTGACTCCAATGAATCATCTCGTGTCGCAGTTGTTGGGGGAAGATCGCCTCCCCCACCGGAAGCGGAACCATGTGTCATCATGTAAGTTTGGAAGTTCTGCTCGTGTGGGGGTTTCGACTTGCTTTTACTCCTGCTACTGCCTTTCTTGTTCTTCTTGCTGCCTGGTTTTTGTGATGACGTAGCTTGTGGTGGAGGTGGAGGTGGGTCGAAAACGAAGGAGGGAAGTCTTCCTGGTACCGCGACATTTTCACCGTCCCCGGTGATTATAGTGTTACAGTTGTGATCCAATTTTTCGGTGGGGGGTTTGTCATTTTTATTAGTATCCTTGTCCACGCGGGTACTATTACTGCCTCTGAAAATGTCTGCGGGAATATTTTGCTGCGTGGTCTGCATCGGTTCGACGGCTTGTTTCTCTCGTGAAGTGGTGGTTGAGTTTAGACCGTTTCGAATGCTGCTGTCCATTGTGTAGGGGAACGACTTTCTGGCATTTCTCTCCGTTTTCTTGGTGTCTTTGGAATCTTGCCGTCCTTTTCCGTTCTCTTTGGAATTAATGGGAGGATGCGTGTGGGAGTCTTGGATGTATCGTTCAATTAGGAAATTCGGTTCCTTATCTTCATCGTGGTTTCGGTGGGGTGGGAGATCCCGGGTGTTGGATGGTTCGAGATTTTGAGGCTTCATACTTCGTCGACGTTCCTTGGTAGGGGATGGGCCAACTTGTGGTGGTGGTGGTGGAGGTAATTCTTGTGCTTTTTGAGATTTGTAACTATCAGGGGGAGGAACCGCTTCGGATTTTCGACTCTTTCGGCGTGGTTCTGCGTTGGAAATGAGTGCTGTAGCCGCTGTAGGTGCTGGTTGCGATGTCATTGCTTGAGGGGGCTGGGCTCCTTTGTTGTGGTGACTTTTCCGCCGTGCTACTGGTCCTAAGGTTTCCGGTTCTGGTTCTGGTTTCAGACTTTTTCTTTCTTTTCTTGTTTCAGGAGGAGGCTCTTGCACAACTCCACCAGTATTTTCGATCTCACGACTTTTTCTATGATGGTGATGATGTTCGCTCTCGTTTGCAACGGATAACCTTGTTTTATCCTTATTATCTTGTGGGGGCGGTTGTAATGTTGGCGAAGCGTCGACCGGAGGTACATGGCTGTGTCGATGTTTATGAGAGGTTGTAGGTTCCTCCTGGGTTTGTTGTGGTTCAACTTCCGGTTCTCTGTGCGAGTGACGATGATGCTGTCGGTGATCAATTTTCTCCAAGACATCGACCGACAGTGCGTCACTTTTTCTAGAGTGGCGTTTAGACCGGGGCGTCTTATCCTCATCGGCAGTTTGTCCTTGTTTGTGTTGTTTGTGGGTGTTTTCCACCTCGTCGATGATATTACGCATGGCTTCAATTTCATGCGTGGTGACGGAAGGACCTCCTTTTCCCGATGGCTTTGGAAATTGGTTGGGGTCGTCGTCTTGGCTGTGACGGTGGTGGTGACGATGTCTGTGATGGTGCTCAATGTTTGGATCATTTGGGTCAATTTCGTCTATAATTGTCTCTTCTTCGCCGTCTTTATTCATGGTTTGGTCTTGGTTTGGTTTGATTGAGTGCCTGTGCTTATGTTTCGCAGCGGAATCGAGAGTAGGATCATCCGTCAAGTTGGCGTAGACTTGGATATTTTGGAAATATGGGTTATTTTTATTTGATGATGGGTTATTCTGTGCTGGATCTTTGGTAATTATAGAAGAGCTTGTATGCGGGTACCCTGCTGTGGTTGTGGTGTGCGTGGGGGATGCAGTGGAACGAGAATCAACAGCAGGACGGATCCTAGGAGCGTTTATGTCACGAAAATTTGACGCCCGTTTCAGAGGAAATCCGGAGGAAAGAGGCCGCGTATCATTTTCCAGATTTGTGGATGCATCAGCACGTCGAAGGCTTTGATTTTGATCCATTATGACGATTATGGTGAAAACGAATTATGTATTTATATAGATTTTGACTTTACGGGAATTCTCAAATTTTCATATTGCTCAGAATAAGAAATTTTGAGATCTCTAGACAAAATCGGGATTGAATGACTTTTATTATTGTCCAAGTAACGCTGAAGGAGCGATGTTCACTTTGATTCATTATTTTGTGACCCACACGCTACATTTTAGTCTAACCAGAATCAAAAAAAAATTCATATAAAAAATATTTAATATAAATATTTAAAATCATAGCATATTGATAAAACGTGTTAAATGAAGTTATATTGGTTGGACTGTATACAAATTTATGCATTAACGATGTTGACACTAATTTATAGTTTGTGAAGAGAACGTTCGGTTTTCTATTTTATTTTATTCCTTACGAATTTTCGTTTTACAACTTGAATTAGTTAAATTTTGTCTTTCGGTTAAGTTAGTGGTCGAGAAATTGACTTACATTCTAAAATACATTTTCGATAACGTCGTTTTTGATTTCATTAATTTGTAGTCAACTATGTATGTACTTTTGGCAGTAATTTGTACAAACGCAATACTTCCAAAAGTTTATATAAAGCAGTACCAAAACCGGAATTAATTGATAATTTTTCATAATATTTAGTAGCACAAACAATACTAACCGTTATAAAATTAAAATTAATTAGATTAGTTGCATTAGTTAAAATGATTTTCGGAATATCTGTAATATCGGAATTTTAGTTTTAATTAAAGCTTAACATTGCGAAGAAGTAAAATCTAAATAATAATTTTCATTTGGTACGGATTGCTCACAAAAACATGACTAGAATGAGTATTCATAAATGAACTTTAACGAAGTGATTAACAAACGATTAATTATTAATTAATTAATAATAACAATACTCTTGCAGGTAATAAATGCGATAAACAAGCACGTTAAAATTTCAACTGAATTTGTTTTTACAAGACTGTCTCCTTGATTGGATTTGGCGCAGACGAAACTGGTGGATCTGCTGATAACGCAGAGAATCCATGCGGTCCAGAACCCCTCCTATGGATTACTTGCGGCGGCGGTGGGGGTATTGAGGACACATTTCCATTACTATTACTGTTCCCATTTCTGTTGTTATCCTCGTTATTGTTTTCAGACGTCTTAGAATTTCTCCTTAAACCAAGACTTCCTGACGAGATTGAATTAACGAAACGATTTTGAAAAATGGGACGGGACGAAAGTGGCGAGATTCCATTACTATTATTATTTTGTGGTGGTTGTGTGCCGTCTAAATTCTGAAAAAAGTTTATCCGTGCCGCAGTCAAAGATGCGCCTTTGGAGGATGGATATCTCACGGATGAACTTCGTGGCGAAAATGGAGAAGGTGACGTGGGGCCATTTTCTGTCGTGTCACTCGGACTGGGTGACCCTCCTCTTGGATATTTTCCTAGATGTGGTTGTTTTATTGGAGAATCCAACTCGGATGGTGGTGTCTTTACAGTCTTATTTTTATTGTAGGAAGTACACTTTGGAAACAGGGGATGTTCTCTGGGCGGAGAAGCATCTTGATTTATGTTGCCTCGTTGTGTTGACGAATATGTCGGAGGAACACTAACAACTCTGGTTGTCCTATCAATCGCCTCAATACTGTGAGAAAGTTCGGATGACTTCTTTTTCGTGGTGGTGATTGGATTCCTCTGACATTGTTGGTTATTCAGGCACAGAGATGCCATCGGTGGGAGTGTCTGAGATTTATTCGCCTCTGACGAGGTTAACCTTTGTCCTGTTGAGGACGGAAGTCCACAACTGTTTTCTGGATTGCATGCATATTCTGTGAATTTTTTGGACGTCGAGATAGAGTCAGGAGCGACATTGTTCGCATTTTGTGGAGCAGTTGAGGATTCCTCGGACGAGATAAAGTGTAAGGAAGAGGAGTTGATGCAATATCGAAGGCCGGTAGGTTTTGGGCCATCTTTAAACAAATGACCTAGTAGAAAAAAAGTGTAAAAAATCGTAAATACATTTTTCGCTCTGATTTCTATCACTCGCAAATCTACATCTCATGGTTCTCACCTAAATGGGCGTTGCAATTCGCACAGGACACTTCCGTTCTGGCCAAGTCCGGTTTGGCAATGAGGAGGAGAAGATTTGCTCCAACTATGCGGTAAGAAGATCGCGACATTATGCACTATTTTAAATTATCATGATTCTCATGTAATAATAGAGTCACTATTACTGTGCGATAGATCCGCCGTCAACTTGACCCTCTTGGGATCTACGACATCTGTGAACGCAGGCCACCCGGATTTCGAATCAAATTTACTACATGATTGAAACAACTCCGCATCACACACGACGCAATGGTAAGTTCCAGACTCCCAGTGTCGGTTGTATTTGTTACTGTAAGGCCTGCAATTGTAATTATTATGCAATTAGAAAATAGTAAAGGTGACCCACATTAATCAAAGTTATAATCTTATGTATAATACCTTTCAGTCTCTCGTTCCTGAAATCACAAAGATTGTTTCAATATCAGGAATATTCTTGTTAATTAATTACAATTGTATTTCAAATCACTACCTGTGTAACACGGTACTCGATCGGCGTCAATTGAGCTTTCCTTTCTGAAAAGTCCTTTTTGTTGTTGTTATTATTATTTCCATTTAAGAACGACTTTTCAGTTTTAGAAGAATCTCTTCTAAGAAATCTACTCGACATTTAAAAAACCTGTAGATTTCCTTCTGTCCTTATAATAGTGGCAAAAAAATACTCTGGTAGCTGCACTTGTAGATGAGAATGAGATAAAAGAACGAGTATTTTTGGCTTATTATATGTTCCCACTGTCCCAACTCTTTTGACAAATTGAATTATTTATTATTTATGGAAGATCATTTTCAATATTTATTATGGAAATTAAATTAGTCAACTTTGTGGTCGGTCTCGGTCTGTTTAGCAACTGTTGTTTTGTTACGTCAATTGCGTGAATGTACATGTATGTGTGACCGTATATGCGAGGATGTATTTATGTGTGACCTGACTAGGATAATTGGTAATTGCCTCAATTAAATGACCTTCACTTTAATTATTATGCCTGCAACACGATACCTAGTAATATGTAGTTCCAGCCTAATTTTGAAAATTGTATATTTATTGTTCGTAATTTATTCTCTTTTTTGCAATTTCCAGTCTCTACTACTGCTCCCGTTCCTCTGCAAAACTAAAACTACACATCACACAGTGCAATCCTTCACATTTTAAAGAGATATCTAAAACACGTAATGATCTCGTCTGTGTTTCTGCTAGTGGTGCTGTCATTGTTTTTTAGGGTTATTTTTACCCAGTCGTTCGTGCTTTTAACTTTTTTGCCCTACTAAAACCAACCAACCCTGTCTGACACTGACACTATTTCTGGTAGTTCGAAACGAAATGCTTCCGTTTTCGACAAGCAAATTCCAATCCCACAAAAATTTTATGTATATTAAAGGAAACTTTGGTACAATTTTTTAAGGCGAATGAAGGAAGAGATCTCTTCTATTAATAATATCAGTTGAAAAAGATTCCTTTATTATTGCTACCAACTAAAATGACAGTGTAAAATAATACTTGAGTTACTTCCTTTCACAATTTTTGCCACCTTATATGTCGTCGTCGACGACTACATACTTCCTGCTATCTAGAAGTCGTTAAAGTAAACCCCCATTGTACAATACCGACTTAACTAGACGATACGATAAAGAGACGAATTATGATGATGACGACAATGAAATGAGTGGTTGGTGGTAGTGCTAGTTAGTAGTTATTATATTAGTTAGTACAGCCTGCTAGGTGGAAATTTCCTTTTTAGTTCTTTTCGCCTAAAGCGATCGGATGATGATATATTCTAAATGTTGATCATGTTTTTTATTGCTACTGCTTCAGCAGACGAGATTCTGCTTTGCAATATATGTGTTACGTGAGAAAAGTGGTGGATTTTTAGAGGCCATGTGATGTTTACACTCAGAGTTGGTGGGTGAGTCAACTACTAGTCACTAGTAACACAGACCATATACATAATCTGGACATTGCTCTCCTCCAGCAGAATTTATTGGCAAATTAATTTAATTACGGTGAAAGTTATACTTGTCCTAGAGAAAATTGTGTGTAAGTAATAGGGAGTGAAATTCGGTAGGTGTAGGTAGCAAGAAATGGCGACATCGCTAGACCCCGAGGAATTTAAACGGCTCGAGAGACGAAAACGTGTCTTGATTGGTGCATTACCTGAGGGATTTTTGACCCTGGGAGGTGCAGTGCGAGATGTTCCGGATGGGACACCTTTGACCCAGCAACAAATTCAGGAACAATTGGATGAACAAGCAGCCATTGCGTTGCATCAACAATTAAATGCTTCTGCCGGTCCGAGAAACGCTTATCCACAACCACAACCTATAAATATCAGGGGGAGGTTGCTTATTTCTGTGATGCAGGTGAGAAGAAATGGATGGGTGGTTATGTGTTAATTATTAGATGCAAGGGTTATGGGGCGTTGATTGATATTTGAGCTCAAGGAATGAACGTTTCTGAATGAAAATGGTGTTTTTTTACTCAATAGGCAAAACTATTGAAAAATTATGGGATGACAAGAATGGACCCTTATGTAAGGATTCACATTGGTCACCACAGTAAGGGATTTACTTTATACATCAATCCAATACCTGTTTTTTAAAATAACTTTGTCTTTAATTTGCAGTCTACGAAACTCCTACGGATGTTAATGGTGCCAAAAATCCGAAGTGGAATAAGACGATCCAGTGGTACACACTTATAATTGTCAAAATGCTGATATAGTTTCAAAATAATAGTTCTAATTCTTCTCTTTGAATAGCTTTCTCCCTGTGGGTATCAATCAGATCTACCTAGAAATATACGACGAATGCAACTTTTCCGTGGATGAACTAATAGCTCACGCAAACATAACGATTCCAGAAGAAATCTTCAAGGGAGAAACAAACGAAGAATGGTATCCCTTGAATGGAAAGCTGGGCGATGGAAAAGAGGGGCAAATTCTTCTCGTGTTCAGTTTTATGGTAAGAAGATCATCCTCGATCAGTTAACGACACATAGCATTCTATGTTTAATTAAATTCCGTGTTTTATTTTAGGCTGCACCAGTGGGGCCACAAGCTCCATTCGTTGGCTCAGTACCTTACATTCCTCCCGGCGGTGCGGCAAAAAGACATCATCACCACACGCCCCCCGTTCCACAAGTTCATGTCAGCGGCCAACCAGTCAGTCAAGTTGTCCCGGACGAATCTAGACCACAGTTTAGCGAAGATGATTTCAAGCAGGTAATCAATCATCCCTTCTATTGCAACTAAAAATGTGTAAATTTGATAATTTTTAATCTGAATTGGAAATTTATTCCAGCTGAAAGAAATGTTTCCCAACATGGACGCAGAAGTTGTCCGTTCGGTCTATGAAGCTGGGGGGTTCAGCAAAGACTCTGCAGCAAATGCCCTTTTGGGAATGTGTGACTAAATTATTTTTGTGGTTCCCATTCCGCACAAGTAAACTTTATAATGGAATTTCCTAATTAATGTATTTATCCTGTAACATATATATATTGTATATTGGATACATTGTTCATGTATAGATTGTAACGAGGCTTTAGCTTATTTTTGTTGGCCGATGACTGCTAATGAACCATAAAATCGAAATATTGTAACTTTAAGCTTAACTGTATTATTGAAACTGTGCTTAATATGCTAACAATATATTTACAAATTATCCATATAATTTTCATGGTGGCGATGATGAATTAGTATTTTTGTTACAGTATTGTCTTCTCTGTATCGGTCGCGGTTTAATTTAGGTTGAATTGCTTATTGTAACAAAATGTTGATTAGTTTTACGACGTTGTGAAATTGTGATGAAACCGTTGTTAATTGGCTAGTTTAGTTTAATTTATATAATCGGCGAACCGTTAACAATTTATTCTATGGAACTTGAAGTACCTTTTATAATCAATACTTGTCCTGATTTTCAACGAATATAATTAATTATATAATAGCTCATTAATTGTTAATTAATTATCGGTATTGGTGTGATTGTCCAGTGAAACGATTATAATGATTTTTATTTAAAATTTACAAGATTCCAGTCAAAATAAGTATGTAATATTGAATTCTTTGGCCAAAATAAGATATGCGCTTTGGAATGTAATTTAATCATTTCTATCAATTGTTGTACTCGTAATTATTGTACTGTTTTATGTTAGACATAATTAACTACTCCACAAATTATTATACGTACACAAGTCCCATGAATTGTAATCTCCCAACTATACGACCACTACTAATTAACTAATTATAATTATAGAGTATGCATGCATGTCTATCGGTGTATTATGCAAATTTTCCATGTTGTATGTACGTGTCTGCATTTAATAATAACGATGCTACCTATTTTTGTGTATTGATGTCGTAATCTTAATTGTTAGTCTTTGTATGTGTAACATCCTCCTCCTCCTTACTTCATTGTATACCAATTACTCAGAATAATAAAGACATGAATCAACACACATTAAACAAAGTAGTATTATCTTTATTTATTTCTCCTAAACATTTCTGCTTCCCCCACACGTCCAATCCAATTCTGTACTTTTCTTCATAACTTTAAATGATCAATAATTATATTTACATAACAATTCTTTTCTTCATGATGAACATTTCTTTGTCATCGTCAATATTTAAAAACCTAGCAGTATTACATATTCTTTATCTTATTACACGTTTGTACCCTAGAATAATTTTATAAAGTTTTTTATCCTCCATTCAGACAGGGTTGGAATTATAATGGTTTCTTTAAAGTTTAATATGAAAATTTCACTCCCATAATTAAAAGAAGCTACTTGATTACTTGCTCACTCGGATTTTAGCTAGACTTTCTTTCGAATTTCGATACATCGGGATACATATTTTTCTTGTTTAGTTATTAGTTACCATTATTAGCATCATTATCGAATTATTGATAATTAGTGTGGTTAATAAATGTATTAATTAATTAAGATAATAGCAACATCAACAGGTAGGTTTAGTGTATTAATAGTGAGTGAGGTGCGTGACTCGTGTTAATCAATATGTAGTATCGTTAATTATTAAATAGGTAGATTTTCAATAGAATTTGGTGAGGAATTGCAAACAGTGTGTGTGTACTTAACGGTAAATAATTGATTTGATTTACAAATTATGACAACACGCAGGGAATCGCTTCATGTTTTACGTAGTATAACAGAGTTGCAGATATGTAAACTTTGTATTAAGGAGAAAGGAAAGTTACATTTGTGATTGATTGATTTTAACACAATTTACAATTATTCCTACACCCACGTTAAAATTTTCATACATTTTGGTTGACTATGATCCATTAATATTTTTTCATGTACAGTAGATCTTTGTGGATTCCGTAATGCATACACGTAAAATAATTAAAATTAACTTGAGACAGTGAAAGCATCATAATTATACGTACATAATTCTTTTTACACTGTGTTAATTAATTATTCTGTGAAATAAACATGCTCATTTCACAACTCTACAATAAGGTCAGAGTTTCTTTTGACAATTTTTTGACATTATCCTTGGCTTTTTTGCATAAGGTATGTAAGGTAAAAGTGGGAGTGATGGGTATTGGTAGTGATTTCTGGTTTAATAATATTTAGTAGATTAGTCGTACTACTCGTAATTAGTTAATTAATTGTAGTAATACAGACTACTAATAACTTTCTCTATATCTTCCTACACATGCATACTTCTGTACTTTCACAACAATGACAACATATGTACGTGCATGCAACATACGTCTCAAGATACGATTGGATAAAATTCTATATTAATAATTACATATTACACTATTTTTAGGTACTCTTTTACATAGAGTTATTAGACTTTGACATCATCTCTTTCTTGGAATAGTGAACTCTTGTCGAATATTTTTTTTATCTCAGAGTAAATTAAAATTGCTTTAAAATTGGTTTTAAATCCGGTACAAAATCAAGGAAATTCTTAAAAGGAGTTGCATATTTAAAATAAGTGTAATGCAGAAAAATAAAATTAATTAAAACTCAACCTGGAAAATATATAGTAAGCGGAACGATAATGGCAAAACATTTTCCATCCGTCCTCTTGATCATAAATTTAGTAGTGTGTAAACAAACTTGTATTTTAAAAACTTGATAATTAATTAATATATCTGTATTGTATTGTATTGTATATATAATATATTCAGAATAAGATCTCATTGTTGAGTCACAACATTTTTAAGGATAAAATTGCGATCGTTCATAATACTTTATAATTTTACTTAACGATTTTGATGATTTTTAAACTGTGATGACAAACATTTTTTTCTTATCTTCTTTGGAAAACTGACGTGACATGCGATTCAACAAAAATCCAATAAGTAGTAGAACGTAGTACACTCTGAACTGCTGGGTGTCTTTACTTTTTCTTGGCCATTGGTTTTTGATGTTATTCCATGATTGTGTATTATAACGTGATGTTTCAGAAGAAAACGTTTGGATTCATTACTTTGGAATAATGTAGGATACGGGTAGGTGGGATATTTTTGGGGGAGAGATTACTGCTGTGATTTCTATATCTTTTCCTTGGAAGGAACCCATATATTTGGACCGCCTTGATCAGCGATGACTTGTTTTACTTGGTCATGAATCTCCTCGGGAGTGTCTCCCGACACGATGGCTAAATAAATTCAAAGGCAAATGTCAAACCACTTGTATACATACAAAGTTCAAGGTTGCATAAAATTGCCATGATTTGCAGATAGCGAGCATACCGGTAAAGTACTCGACGAATTCCTGCTCCGTCTTTTGTGCTCGCTCAAATGTTTTTCTTGCATTTTCCTCCGTCGTTCTTTTGTTCATATCCCTGCATTCAAAAATAATTTGCATATTATAATCTTTTGTGCATCAAATATTTAAATGATGACGGTAATGATCTTCCTTACATAATGGACTCGACAGATTTTGGTCGTATAAAGATGGCGATGGGGTAGAGCTGAGCCGAGTGGAGTCTTTTGATTGCGTTCTTAAATATACAAAATTTGTGTTATAAGATGAGACTGACCTTTTTTTAGTATGCATATTGTTTGAAGTAAAAACTTACCCCACTAACGTCCAAAATGCAATGCTTTCCCTGAGAATAAATAAGGAACCATAAAAATTTGTACAAGCTGCATTTACAAACTCGAAGAAAGTAGTCAATACATAAATGATGAGCAACTCACCTTGTCTGCAACCTCTTTCACGGCAGACAAACTAAACAAGAAGAGAAATAAGCAATGATTACGAATTTCAAGTTGCACTTATTCATATTTTGTAGACTCAAACTTAGTATGCATTTATCGTAAAATCATACCTTGTCCCATACAAATTGTCATTGTATTGTCCAGCTTCAATGAAAAGATGGCTTTGAATGTCACGTTCCATTTGTTCTCTTGAGCTGACAAAGTGATAGTCACGTCCATCAACCTCGTACTCACGGCGTTGCCGCGTAGTGTCTGCATAAATAAAGTGTGTAACAAAGTTGCATTAATTTATGCATGTGTATTATTGAACTGTCGAATAAAAGTCTTACGTGGCACACAGCTACCGAATCGTTCAGGAAATTCGGAGATTAAATCGTCATTAATGCGGTCCTTCATAGGGCCGAGAATTATGACGGGTCTATTGGAGGAGCAAAGAAATTTTAGATTTTGCTGGTTGAAATGAGTATCTGTCGGTGTGAGAAAGACCGACAAATTCAACCCACCGCAGAGAAAGTACGAACAAATATTTAGTTCTCGTAGTCAACTTACCTAGCGTAATTTATGGCTGCTTGCTGCACTCCCTCGTACAGCGCGACATCTTCCCCAGCTGCAAAATCCATTTCTAACATTACTTTAGTATGTACAAGAGGATTAAAATGTTTCTCTTCTTTTCATGCCACATGCGGAAATGACAATCAGGGAGAAAGAGACGAGAACGACTGAGAAAGGAGGGATGAGTGAGACAGAGAGAGAGTGAAAGCACAAGCAGGACGAAGAGTTTGCAGGAATAGTATTAGATACATACAAACAGCAGCGAGAGAAACAAACAGGGAAATGTTTTATCTGTTTCAAATACTACTTTTCTTTTCGGGTTCGACTTATTATTATTGCTCGTACCACAAAATTACATAAGCTACTTCCATATAACATACGAATTACAATACGAATACAAGAAAATACAATCTGAAAGTAAGGTACCTTCTAATCTATCATCTTGCATGTACACCACGTACGCTTTTGTGTTTGCAAAAAATAGATCAAACCGCTCATTAATTATAATCATATAATTATTAATTATAATATAATATAATTATAATATATAATAATATAATATAATATAATTATAATATATAATATATATATAATATAATTATTAATTATATTATTAAATATTAATTAAAAATCAATCACATGACTGTTATGAGTCATATATAACTTGTGACTCATGTAATGCACGTTTTACATAGATATGTATACATAATAATGAGTAGTAGAGAAGAGAGAGAAATGTCACACATGAGCAAGCCTTATACAAATGATAGAAAATTGGATGTTTTAAAGTCGAATAAAAAAGAAACATCAAACAAAAAACAGACAAAATGATGCAGGAAAAAGTCCGTATATATATTTAGAAAAGAAGAAATTACACAAACAGAAACAACAACGAAAAATAAGAGAAGATAGAAAATAGTCCCACACAAAAGTCGTTTCAGATATCGCTTTTAACCATGAACCAACCAGTACCACTCCCATCAAAGATGTGGTCTCGCACACTTACGAATGCTTGAAGTATCACCATCAGGACCAGGAGTACTCTCTGCAAATTGTTCATATACACAACTCAAATCGTTAAAAAATAAATAAGTACAAATCGTAACAAAAACCTTGCCCGGAGACTGATTTGAAATAAAATAAAAGAAAACACTTGCTCACTTTTGACATGTTTTCTTACACGAATCAATAATCGATGAGAGAACTATACTACTGTATGGTATAAAATAATGGAACTTACGTTCATCCGATGCATCATCAATGTTATCCCTGCTTTTCATAAATGGGAATTTTCGGGTGAAAGAGAAATTTTTCTTTTTCCTTTCCAACGTCGACATTGACATTTGCTGCAAAAAAGGAAAGAAATATGACTCAAAATCCGGATAAAAAACAAGAGTCACGTACCACCCACTAGACACACACACATAAACGCGACAAATACCAATACAACATATTAGTGTACCACACAAACCTCTAGTGATTTTGATTCCGTGGTTGGGCTTCTTCCCTGGAATTTTACGGAACGATCTCTCGCCTTCTGTTTCCTACGATGGGGATACGATTAAATGCATATAAGTTCATGGCACATAATGCTACAACAACAAAGATTTGGGCGTTCTTTTTCAATGTCGCTGTTATATGTACCTTTCCCATCGCTTCTTTGAGGGCACGATTCCTATTCCTTCCTCTTGTCCATTGGAGAGAACTTTTTTCGCCTGGAGCACAAATAATAAAATAATAATTGGATTCTATTTAGTGCATTACAGAATCAACACGTTGCATTCTTTTTTATACCCACCTGCCACCACTCATCGTCAGAAGCGTTGGTAACATGAAGAATGTCACCGAATTGAAATGCCAACCCCCGAGAGGGCAAATTGTCATCCTTCGCAGGGTCGAAATCATTTAGAGCACGAACGTACTGTGAACAAAATTTAAAAAATAGACAGAGTTCAAGGTTGAGGATATTTTCATGTTGCACATCTTGTATGTAAATCTGTACCATTGTCTTCTTTTGTGAAGTCCGCATCAAGCTTCCCGATTGGCATGCAGAGTTTATGCTAGAATTATTCAAATATTAAAGTTAAGACGTATGCATTTTTAAGGATCAAAGTAATGACTTGTGCACTTTGGCAGATGGGTTTGAGAAATTATTTGCTGGGAAAATGAACAATATATCCTCATATGTACCTCTGCTTCATGTCGTGAATCTTGGCTTCAAATCTATTGTATTCCTCGGGCTTATACTGCACCAACAAGTTCACGTTTTGTCCAGCGTTCTGAAATGAGAAAAAAATCCTAAAGAATTCGTTTGATCCAATGGGGCACACAAAAATAAATTCATTTATATTGGAAAACCAATATTGTTTGCGAATCTGATATACTTTCTCTTCTCCATGAGAGATAGCTAAACAAATGGAAAGTACACGAGATTCTATACCTTTAACGCGTGTGCGGCTTCCTCATGACTCGCAGCTTTTATATCGTGTCCATTAACAGTAATAATTTGATCTCCACGCCTTAGCTGGCCACACTGATCTGCCGGGCCGCCAGCCAGGATGAAAGAGATAAAAATGCCTTCGCTATCTTCCCCTCCCACGATGTTAAAGCCAAGTCCGGACGCCCCTTTGTTCAAGGCCACGATGCGAGGTTCTCTGGGTATATCTTCGTCCGAGAGGGCTCTCGACGTGGCGGAGCTAAGACCACCGCGATCTCCACTCGTACTCGAAACGGAAGTTCGACTTTGTGTCCCACTCACTATTCGTTCTTCACTTGTGGCAGAGCCCATCGTCATGTGGGATTGAGATTGGGTTGGCGTCGGGGTCACTGGCTTTGCCGGTGGAGGAGTTGTCATTCGCTTAAAATCCGTTTGTTGAGATTGATGATGTGTCGGGTGCGTTACTCCAGAATGAGGAGGAGGTGTTCGAGCCCCTTCAATCAGGATGGATCCAGTACCACCAGCAGCGGATGATGGATCTGGTTTTTGCACTAGGAGAACTACCCGATTTTCAGTCGCCTTTAGTGCCCCAACGGCGTCCTCGTGGGTCACATTTTCCAAGTTTTTGTCTCCAGTCTGTCCACGGAATGGAATAGAATAAAACATATGTCAACAAACTTTAACTCGGCAAAACTATAAAGTCACATTAATTTTCTTTCATACAACACAAAATAGCACAAAACTGACCGGAGTGTGGCGAACGGCTATCAATTTATCGTCGACGGCAAGTCGTCCATCAGCGTATGCTGTTGAAATGCAAAACATGTCAGAGTTCAAGAAATGTTGCATAGATTTTAACAATTGTGAAAAAAGAGAGAGCTGCATAAAATCGTAAACGTACCAGCACCACCTTCGGATATTTTGGTTATGTAAATTCCATTATCGCCTGAAACAATTAAAAATAAACAACATTATGTTGATGAATAGAATATCAATTGTAACTGTGTACACATTATTCATTGATATGCAAATTAATATTTCCAGTTATGGTACATATGTATATCCTTTAGTTACCAGGAATGTGTTGATTGCCAATTCCACCCGCGATGCTGAATCCCAATCCTTTATTCCCTTTTAACAGCTCAATCTCCAAGAACCGTGGACCAGCCATCTTTGGTCGTTTACGTTTCACATGCTGCGAAAAATAAATCAAAATCAATACTACTACCACCACTCTTGTGTCACTCACAATCATCATCATACATCATCTGGACTGATCCCACAGTCCAAAATAAAGTAAATCCCATGATAAATATGATCCATAGCAGAACACGAATATATATAAATAGCACTTACCAAACGAACAGTGCTTCCAGCCCGCTTGAGCGCACTGGAATTAATTTCATTTTCATTATTGTCAAGAAAAATTAAATAGCAAACGCAAGATTCATGTCATTTAAGCATAAATGAAGTCAAAGTTAACTATTTTTTAAATCTCAGCACAATCTTAAAGATAGTCATTTTCAAGACATTCGAAAATTTCCGAACAGATGCAGACATACGTCAAAATAAATAAAGGTAACACTAATTCTAGACTTACTCCACCGCCGAAGCGTGAGTTACATCCACTACAGAAACGTTATTGACACGAGCAATCACATCCCCGATCCGAAGGCGTCCATCTATCGCGGCTGCTCCACCTGTTAAATAAAATTAGCCGTGAGATTATGGGGAATGAAAATCAATCACGCCAATTTTATATAATCAGCCCAACAAAATCTACCTGGAATGAGTTTCGTGATAAAGATTGACGGGTCATTATCGACGTGGGGGTTATCCGTTCCGCCAGCGATGCTAAATCCAAGCCCAGAACTACCCCTCTCCAGTACGATTTCTTCATAGACAAACTCCTCCTCGCTCCCGTTGCTCGTCTGTTGCATTAAAATATAGAAATAAATAATGGGCAATTAGGAAAGTTACGTTTTTCAGATTTCCGTAACTCTCTCGAGTTTGGTCAAAAATTTTCGGGAGACAATGCGCAAAATATTCAGATGACACATAATAATGAGCTCCGTAAATTTTGACTAAACTCAAATAAGAGTTACAGAAATTTGAAAAAAACCATAACTTTGCTAACTGCATAACGTACAAAAATCGTCATTCCAAAATATTTACATCATCATTATCACTTCCGTCAACAGGACTTACATGTTTCGCATCTGGAGAAAAGTCAACAGGTGAGAAGCCACCTCCAGAAGCAGGAGTGCTATCCAGCCGCCAACTTTCCCCACCCGAGCTTGCCTGGAAAAACAAAGAAACCAGAACTTAAGAAACAATGTCAACATTTTACTATGCACCACCTGAGATTTCTATCCCTCTTTGTGTCAACGTCACCTCCACCCTACCTCTACTCTACTTATGCAAAGTCTCACTCCGACATAAATACATCCTCAACTTGTATGCATGGAAAGAACTAATTAATGAATTTTTCACTCCTCCTCCTCAACTCTTTCTCTTAAAACAAACCTCCAACCCTGCAGCGAGCGCTCCGGTCCCGAGAGAGAGGTTAATTACGTCGATGGTTTTAGCAAACCTGACAACTTTCCGCTTTCTCCGCTTCCTTCGGGACGCACAGTACTCTCGGTAGCGGGATTCAAAGCGGGGAAGGCAGACGGAGCACATTGCCGTTGGACTTGGTTAGTTAGTATGGAATTAAATATACGAAACAAGATCGAACTATGTTACAACAACCCTTCGAATTCTACGTGGTTGATAACTACATGTGTAGGTACATATGTAAATATGTACGTATTTGCACAAAGTGGTGGAAAAATGGACCGAACGACAATATCGCAGTCAACAGGTTACACTACAGATTCCGTCAAATTCTCACTTTTTTTACGGAGCACACACTTTCTCTTCTTCCTCCTTCACTCACCTGACTAACGCTATCACTACCCCCGCACCACTTCCCCATCAACAACCACTTTCTCCCGACAAGCAAGATTGGACTAATACACTGAGAAAAAAAGAAATTGTGTCCATCTAACTATTCCAGCGATCAAAGTGATCCACATCAACAACAACAAGTCCGAGAATAACGGCATGACGCAAACAAGGAAGAATTGGAATTCATCTTCAAGTGGATTCAGTAAATACTTTCCCTTTGGCGAGGTGTACAATTCCTTTTTCCAAACCCCAGCAACCAAACCAACTCGGATTTCAAGTAGTTGGACAAAATCCTCCCGTCCTCGTCGTCGTCAATGATGATGAATGAAATATGAACACTAAACAAACACCCCTCGGCGGAAAGGCTTATATGTACGAGTTTAAATTAAACTTTGACAACCAAACTTTGTGTAAGTACATGTGTATTTTGTATGTAGGACTTTGTGTGTGCCAATTCTTTTTTACTTGGCAGAATCAAATTCCTCTACATATCAAGAAGAAGAAAGTAAGCGGTGACCGACCACGACGACGACGAGTGTCTGTTCTGTTTATGAATGTTACCACACACGACATAATAATGCTCAATGTTGGCATATATAGGATTCCAGAAAGTGCCTGCCACTCTCTCTCTCTCACCAGCATTTCATTTGCTTATCGACCATCGACCCATGCCATGGATGGAATGGACATATGCATACCCGATATAATCCCACCACCAATGAATTCGGAGTATTCATCCAAAACTATTGGTAGTGCTGCGACGATACAGACGTATAGCACACAGACACACAATAAGCAGCTGTCCTCCTACTCCTTGTGAACAACAAATTTCCGTTTTATCCCACCGCACGATCCTCTTCAACAAATACCAGGCGACTAAACCTAGGCGATATCAAACGGAATCAGATGGATGGATGGATGATGGAATGATAGCTGCTGAACAAACACCGGATCCTGTGCTTTACACTGAAAATCGGATTCACAAAATACCCGTTTGTGGGTACCAACCATGTGGGGGATTAAATTAAGGGGCTGCTTGTCCATGGAACGGTCACATTCACATTCTTTCTCCTCCTCCTGTCCTCCGACTTGACTGGACTCATAGATTTTAAACATAATAATTCCACCAGACCACAAACTCAACCAGACATTAGTCGCAATTAAACACCGTCATTAAAATCCGACATAAATGTTGGTAATCGTCCCGCTTTCTGGTTGAGGAATATGCGGCATAATTTCATGTAAATAGGCGGATACTAAATGTTGCAAATATTTACTATATACTTAGCTTACCATTCGCAAAAACCGATTAAATGACCGGCTCGTCACTCTTACATTCCTTTCACCAATACGGGATCGATACCCAATTAATTTATAAAGAAAGTATTGATGAGTTACATACCGGCAAAAGAAAGAATCGAAGGTCGTATATATCCTTTCACCGACCGGGCAATTAATTAAAATCAAACGCAGTTTAACCATGCAATTTTGGAACCCGCCCGGCTTTCATTGTTTTCATTTAATATGAAAAGAAAACTTGCTTCACGACTGGAGGGAGGGGTAAAAACAATGATGATAAGCGCTGTCATACGAACATGTCGATAAGTGAAGAACAAATTTCCATATTATGACTTTCACTTTGTTGCTTCACGGTGCAGCGGTTTGGAGTGAACGAGAATCTATAAATGTTCACCGGCAGCAAAATGACAACGACGGGTATTTGCTCCCACGGCTCAGAGTGCACACACAATGGGATCAAAATCCTATTTATGAGAAGCATATGAAAAGCGACCGAGGGGGAAGGGAAAGTGGAAGCGTAGTCAAGCGAATGTACATAAATGTCCCTGCAGAACAAGGTACATAGTTAGCTCCATGTGTGTCTGGGAGAGTGAAATTCTTCCCATTTATTACCACTCGCTCATCGCTACTACGGATGGAAAACGGAATCTGGAGTTTTATTGTTAATTATAACAGACCAAGACCCGGCTACGATAGTCTCATTATTATCAAACGTTCATCCAGCACAAGATTTGGTTACTCGTAGCCGGAAGGGATTCATGCAGTTGGATTCATCCAACCAACCAACAAAAGTGAACCCGGTTGGTTTTGAAACTCTCTCTGCCATCATCAAATGTGAGTCAAACTGCTACTTTCACTTTGTCAAATCGTCGGACGACTGAACTCTTGTACAAATAAGGACAAACCTGGTCGCTGCACGCTGCTGCCAAGGGTGGTTATATAAACAATTTTATGTGTGATTTGGGGTTTGAGAACGGGACAAATTTTAATGAAGTATTGACAGAAAAAAAAACTTTTTGAAAAAAGTTGCATGCTAAAAAATTTCCCACGTTTTAGAAAAACATGAAATACTTTTTTTTAGAAACTTATATCCTTCTCCAAACTTGGCAAGTTGTATAACTACCATTTTCTTCAAAAGGTGTTCTGTCCATTCCACATTTTCTGTATTACACAACACTAAATTCAATCCTAAACTGATGTTATATAAAATTAAGTAAATGCTTTCTCCGTCTCGTGGCTGGAATCCTTACATACTCCATTTCACCAACTGCTCAAATTCGAATCGAATCTAATCCAATCCTACCTAGTGGCCACGGAAGCTGTGGGGACATCTGGGGACATTAACTTTGTAGGATAGGGGTTTATACATCATGGCAGATGATGCAGACATCGAACAACCGTGGGGACATTGTCCCTCCGTCTCCACCCTTCCGCGGCCACTGCTCCTAGCTACCTTAGCCTCTCGAATAATGCAAAATCAAACAACTTTCTCCCCATCAAAAGTGTGATAAAGTTTACCTTTGGGCTTTTCGGGATCTCCTTTCCATTATGGTGCGCCGGAGCGGGAACGTTGTGCTGGGTGAAGGGTGACCGTTGACCTGAGATGATGGTCGTCGAGTCCAAAATGTCCGAAATCGCGGATGGCAATTGTTGTCGGATTTGGTAATCCTTCACGGGTGGAAGGCCCATGTTCTCGTCCCCGTAAGAAGATGTTTTCTACGGAAAGATAAACACACCACTGGTTAAGTAAATATTACAAGACGTGATCAAATCATCACATTTCAGGCGTCGTCGTTTTGTAACGAGGAGAAATTCAAAGAAAGTACTCCCAGTAGTTTCAATTATTATTAAGGAGGAGAAGGAGCCTCGCTCGTGTAATTTTCAAGTGATTACAAAACGACATTAGTATTGATTGTCAGGTTCGAGGAACAATCTGTTACTCGAGATCACAAGTGGGTAGGTATACGTACGTACATCATCTTCGAACACTTCATCATCCATCATCACACACTTTACTGGCTCCTTCAAGAGCTTAAGTTGAGGAGACCAAGCAGTACGGCAGCCACGACTTTCAACCACACGGCTCTTGTTTATCTTGTCACTCTTGTTGCGCGCTTATTATACGATGTTAGTAAAGTGACGGGGTTGTTATGCAATAAGGTAAACTTTACCACCGTTATGATTACTATTTCTGGCAGAGATTCAATTAATCAAATCAAACGACCAGCCAGCAGTCCTCCAGATTTGATTACTCACCCGTAATAACAAAATAACTACTTTGAATAGATTATAAACGACAAAATTTAGTTAAGAATTATTACGACTTGGAAAACAGGAAAAAATCCTATATTAATTTTACTCGCAGAGAAAAAATCCGCGAGATACACACACACTCCACAAACCCACCAGCTAAACCGCGGAGGAACGAGTAAGAGAAAGGCGGAGACATTAAGAACACCTTGCCAAATCTTATTTCATCTCAAGTGAATTATAGGCCCAATCAAGTTCCGTCACATCAACCGGAAAATCAATACATTTAATTAAACCACCACGAAAACCGACCAGACCAACCACTATCCACTTGCTCTTCTTCTTCCCCAATATTCTCCCAAAGTCACGATTCATTTCATTTCACTCCTTACATACCCACAACACCAACATAAACCACGCAAAACGGTGCAGGAAACCAGACCACTATTCAAATTACGCCCATTTACTGGCTTGCACCCACGCAAGGAAATACCGAACCAAAATCTCATTTAGTTTACATAAGAACAAGAACAACTTTCTCCTCTTTATTTGCCAACCATATGTCAAAAATTTACCGCAAAAGTTTCCCCCGTAGTAAAAATGGTCTGCCTTTTGTGTATGTATCACCGGACTCATCATCTCATCCGCGAGGAGGAGGAGGAGAGGATCACATCAACATCAACATAAATAACTTTCTCCTCTACGGAGAGGATAAATTGAGGCAGAATTTCGGTGGTGGTGATTTTGTGCAGCAGGACAAAGAAGGAAAGTTGTTTCAATTGAAGACCTCTGACTTCAAATGTCCAGCCGTGGTGTCGACATAACTTCTCATTTGGTCTGGACAAAATCCAACCACGAAACTTATACGTTGCCTCCTTTTCATCTAATTTACAAGTTTGTCTTCTTTTGCTCCCCGGCTATGATACTACTAAATCAAGTTCAATTCGGAGAGGGGAACATTAAATCAAATAATCAAGGAGGAGGAGGAGGAAGAAGATAAGCCGAAAAAACATGGGCAAGCTTTCTTCCCGTGAAGTTTATCTCATTTATTCTCATGTTGAAACGAATACGTCTCATCTCATTTCGAGAACACAGGAGGCGAAGGTAAATAAGGTGAAAGACAGACGTCCGAATAAATGCTACGGAAAGAATGAGGAGTCAGAGCAGCACTTGTAGAAAACAACGGATAGATCAAACTCCAAGTGCTGTTTTTCTCCCTCCTTAAACAAGAGAAAGTTGTGCGACTACTAACTACCTGATGTAAAAAGTAGGAAGAGAAAAATCAACCATGTATGTATTCGTAGGTTGGTAACAACCCCGACCAAAATTGCGGCTAGGAAGAGAAACAAACAGAAACAAACATACGTAAACAATCCGTGATTCTCTTTAATCTCTCCGTGGAAAAAAACTGACCAGGAAGCGAGGGGAAGTTTTAACTTCAAAAGAGTTTTGTTGGAGACTCGACTAATTAGATTAGGAGAGAGAGAAAAGAGAGAGATGGTCAGCATACGAGGCTTCAGTCCACAGTGGCCGCGGAAGTCGTGGGGACAGAGGGATATTCGATGTCCCCATCATCTGCCTATGTTTATATAAACCCCTCCCTCCCCTATCCTACAATGTTAATGTCCCCATCGCTTCCGCGGCCACTGTCCGTCCATTATACACAATAGTACAGGCCGCCCGAATGAAATGGATCATCACGATGATACTGTCACGATGATAGGATTTTCTAGAATTAAAGATACTCCGTGTGTCTTTCTGAGAATTGTGAAAACACATTTTCGTAGGAAAAAACAGGAGGAAGGAAGGAGTTACTTGACCCACATAAACCATCCTCGGGCAGTATGGGCAGCAGCGTACCTTCAACGTCAACCTCTTCTTCGGTTCAGTTCAGTAAAAGAGAAAAAAAACGGTTGAATTATCAATTCTAAAAATACGACGGCGGCGGAGAAAGTCGTTTCATAAAGAGTGTGCCATGCAGGGCACGTCGTCGTGGCGTCCGTCCTCAGTATTATTCGCAGCACTCACTCGCTCTTATTAAGGGGTGAAAGCCCTTTATAAGATCGTTATGTCCGTCTGTCTGTCCGTCCGTCCGTCCGTCCGTCCGTCTGTCTGTCCGTAGCTCCGATAACTTTTGAACGAAAAGACATAGACACTTGAAATTTTGAACGTAAACTCCTAACGTCAATAGAGAGGACGAGTTCGAAGATGGGCACTGTAGGTCACACCCATCAAGGTCAAAAGGTCATGAAATGTCATTTAAAGGTCAAATTGCATACATGCATCAATTTGAATTGAAATACGGATAACACACTTCTTTCACCCCTTGGTTACATTCGTTGTGACGGTTTATTTTTGTTTTATTTCTCTACGTACAAAACACAACATAATACGCACACAAGTCGAAATAAAGTGGATGTGACAGAACCAAGTCAAATTTCAACTTTACTTTCGAGCTTGAATGAAAAGAGGAACAAACACATTTTCGTAGTTTGGCACCCACTCAACTTCGCCTCTGATCCAGATCCCGAACCTCCGTGGTGGTGGTTGGATTGGATTGGTTCCGTGGTTCTGTTGTGGTTTATTCGCTACGTATGTACATATTTATGTGGTTTGTTGGTCGGCTTATAAAGAGACCAAGAAGCTAATCGCATTTAATTTAGGGTGGTCTGGTTCCTACTTATGTGTAATTATCATTACATCATGTCAAGTCATGAAAGTGAAAGTTTATCAAAAACTTACAAGTTTCCCATGTACCTCACACAATGAGTTATGTCTAAAGCTGCCTGATCCGGGACTACTCCCACTCAAAGAGGGAGTCGATAACCGTATTGCCCCCACTCCTCCGCCGGGTGGGGATGAACCAGTCGGGGAACTAATTGCAGAAAAACTGGAGCTGCGAACCGTCCCACCACCAATTTCATCAGGATACATTAAGCCACAAATACACTCTGGTCCTCCACTAATGACCCCACCCCCACTAAAACTACTACTTCCCAGCCCCGCATTATTAATGGCATTTGGTGGACCACCGCTGAACACCTGCCTTTGCAAAATTTGGTCATGCTGCTCCTGCAAGCGACGCTTTCTCCTCTTTCGACGCACCTTATTTGGCACCGAGTTCACAATCACGTTCGAAAAGCGCTGACCCGACGAGCGGACGATGGATACCCAGTCGATCATGGTTGGTGGCGCTGTTTATTTGATGCTCTGCTCTTCTACCTACTACAAAAATCTATTACTGATCACTTTGACTGCTAAATTCACTTTGATTCTGAAAACACAAAGTGTATCACGTCCTCTTATTCGCTATTCTTACACATGGATGAACTCCCTCCCATCCACTATTTAGTGATAACCCCATCATCACCAGCAACACCACCATCGTCAACATCACAGTCATAGGAAAAACTTGGCCAAGTCAGCTATTTTTGGCGTCGCGACAAAGCCATCCCATCCAATCCCTCTAGAATATCGGGACACGACAAAATCTCTGCGAGTACATAAGAGTCAAGAACCAAACTGTCCAGTTTTTAAAGGGGGCACGGATGTGACGACGCCTCGCATCATTGTCATCGGGAAGGAGAAACGTCGCCAAAACGGAGAAGGAGACAAAGTTACGCCGCACTTTATGAACGTGCCACTGGCAAAATCTCACTTTCGCAGTTTACAATCCACTCAATCCTTTCAACAAGCGAGTTAAATGTTTTATGCGAGCTATCTCTCCCCTCCCTGCTTTGTGATATCATGAATCTGTGACATGAATCCTCAATCCTCCGGGTTTTCATACCCAAAGACAAAAAAGTAAGAGTAAGTTCCACTTAAAATCACAATTCACATGGTTCTCTCCTCTCTTTCTCTGCCTGTTCAGAAAATCAGGACAAATGCCAAAACATGTAGAGAAGACTAAGGAAGTTTTGTTTTATCTTGAAAAATCAGGAGACATATTTGAATCCAACATTTTTTCTAGGTTATGACACCCAAAAGGAAAGGACCTTGAACACACAAAGTGCTTAAATATGCTGCTACATACAGAGGTTGAGTATCTCGGGTTTGCCGCGTTTTCAAACTTGAATATTTCTGGCAAGGACTTGAATTTTAGACTAATTTTTGGCAGACTCGAAGACAACACACTCGAAAAGATATTTCCAGAATTTTAAAGTGATACCTTCAAAAATGCCCCCTCCAGTGCCCCCAGAGTTGGAGGGTGCGGTGAAAACACTTTCCAAACTTAATTATTCGTATAGCATGATAATTAAGGAGGTCAAAGGTCAGGGATTTTCAATATCCAAACGTTCGATATATAATATTTTGAAAAATAAAGGAATCCGACGTGAAGCACATGCTGCTGGACTTCCACCACCCCCAATAAAGTGCCCCCTAAGAATGCTAACTCCGACCGTTTTGAGAAAAATTGACCTTTTGACCTCAAAAGAAAGCCCACCAAGTCAAAGACAGATTGCACGCAAAGTCAAGGTGTCACAGTCGACTGTAAAAAATGCAATAAAAGTTTTGAAGAAAAAACTGAGGAGGAAGACCCGAGTCCATCAGCTGACCGAGAAGCACAAAAAAAATCGGCGACGAACTTGCAAAAATTTTTATTCAAATTATTTGACAAAAGGAAAGAGTGAATTTGTTGTGTCACTTGATGAAGCATTATTTTCTTTACAAGATGTAAACGGAAAAAGAAAAGTTTACTACGATTTAGTCAACCAAAAAAATCCTTCAAAGTGGGCCTTCCAGCACAAGGAGAACTTTTGTAAAAAGTTTATGGTTGTTGGTGCAATATCTGGTCGTGGGGTCCTGCCTCTAATTAAAGTTCCCCAAAAAGTGAAAATTAATGCAAGGTACTATGTTGACTGTGTGCTAAAACCACTTTTAGAAAAAGTTGTGCCAAAACTGTACGCAAGGACACTCCAAAAGTCGTAGTCCATCATGACGCCGCAACCTCGCATACCGCTAAGTTGACCCAAGCTTATGCAAAGGACCTATACAGAAGGCTCGGGATAAAAATTATTTCCAATAGTGAAATACCTGTTAAGTCTCCCGATGCAAGTCCCATGGACTTTTTCGGGTTTGGATATCTAAAACAAAAATGTTTTCTACGACGCCCTTCTACAATGCTAGGAGTTTGGAAACTTCTAAAAGCGGAGTGGTCTAAAATCGATCCTGCCACAGTGACCAAAGTGTTCAAAAGTTGGAACCAAAGATGTCGACTTATAGTTTGAGAGAAGGGCTCTCACATAGAAAATATTAGAAATCTCCATCACAAAAAACCATCCCGTAATTAAGGTATGAAAACGCGGCAAACCCGAGATACTCAACCTACATATGTATGACCGGAAGTACCTACGCGCTACAACTACAACTGGTTTAATCTTGGTAACCCGAGATAAAAAAGAATAAATCCATATCACGTACGTACGTATCTGGCAAAACTTTCTACGTTCGTTCGTTCCCAGTCTGTTTTTTGTTGAGGTGTAAAATGAGTCATACGTACGGTTGAAACTGACAAATTATAGGAACACCTGACGACGACTCTCGACGAGAACGAGGGATCTTCTCCGCTTACATGAATCATCGATTCGATAAATATGGGGACCACGAAGGCAAGAGGGAAGAAGAGATTCAACGAAATCATTACCCACAACCAACGCTGGGTAACAAATCACCCAAGAAAAATAATGATGATGATGTTGCGATTCATTATAAAAATAAATCGTTTCTCACTCAACACAAGACGACTCGAATAAAAAAAATCTAAAGGCCAATCCAACATTAAATATGGCATGTTTTTCGGAGAAATAACGATCTCGGCGCTACTTTTTCCTAAAAAATACACTATTAGAAATCTGGTAAAGTCAGGAAGGTATTGATTTCTCGGTATTTAAGTTGGCACCGCTTGGTATTAAAATTATACCGATCCGTAAAAAAATTGCTACAGATATGGGAAAACTTTAATACCGAGTTATTACTAGAAGGTATTACTTATCCACTTTGGTAGAGCCAAATATGAGTACCGCTTGGTATTATTTCAATACCGGATTTCTAAGAGTGCAACTAAAATTCCCTACTTCATTCAGCTACGGGACGTGGTATCGTCAAGAGTGAAAGTTTGAGTACCTTACGTTGTACAATGCTATATTTAAATACGTTTAATTAGTTTAATTTCTCCAACCTCAGGTTTTTCGTTCACGCCTTTTTCTGAGGATTTGTTAGTTCTTTCTTGTCTTGTAGGTAAATTGAATTTATTCAAATGAGTCCCTCATCAGCGTGACACTTGACAGGAAACTTCAAACATTTCCAAAACTATGTATTTATAAATAATTATTAGAAATTGTTAATTAATTCAAACCTTTGAACTTTTACAAACAAAATGAAGTCATTTGTGCGAAACAAAACTTTTGAATGTCTTTTGTTCTAATTTTATGGCACTTTACGCACCCACACAGCTTTCATCCTACATATTATCACTATTTGCATATGAGAATGTCCTCCTATGTTCTTTCCATCAATGCATGACACCCGTCCCGTCTCGAGTGAGTGAAAAGACAAGAATAAATTATGCTGACAGGTTGACACGAGCACACGCTAAAAAAAATCCGGTGTCAAAAATGACCACACCGTCACAATTTTGGTGATCGTGGTGATAGACTGACACTGAACTAGTGGTGGATGTTCCCACGTGGCAATTCCCCTGTAACTGAGCGGTGACATATTATCACCATCTGGTAAAGTCACATATATTCGCCGGTTGGTGATAATCCGGGGGTAAAATTTTTTAGAGTGGGCATGCCAGGTTTTTGACAGTCTGCTGCCGCCTCCTCGTCAAAATTGTACACATGAAGCAACAGAGGACAGAAATAACAAGAAAGTTGTCAATCCATGCTGATTATTAGTTTCGTTATTTGTGCTATGCTGTGGTCACTAATAATGTCCGCGTGTCTGTCTCATGACATTCCAAAGATATGATGTACACATGTGACGACAGTTTGCGTTTTGTTATTAAACGGAGTTGTCACAATGCCAATTTAATTTCAAACCGCTACAAATAAGCCAGTTTGCCAAAGTCTTCATATTTTGTTTTCTCATCTCATCCACAGTTTATTGCAAATATTTCATTCGCCAAAATAAATCAATCGGAACCTTATACCCGAGAAAGTGTGCGTATGTATGAAACAGATTTGTGACCCAGATTCAATAAACATCATAATTTATGAAGAAGAAAAAAAACATCAAAAACAGTTCTCCTCGACATAATGGGAGAAAATGTTGCCAATTTTTTTAAACAGAGTTTTCAAGAAATTTTCTAGAAATATATAGAGCTACATTTAGTCACATATTTTAAAAGCCATACACAAAATAAATAGTTCAATTATTTTATTCCGATTGAGAATGCATGCATGCAAGTGACGACTATATTTCAAAAAATCAGTCCATAATTCTCTTCAACTTTCTCCTTATTTCTTCCGAACAATTAAATTCAACAAGAAAGCCTATTGATTCAGACACGTGACACGTTTCCCCTTTTTTTGTGAAACATCTGGAGCATATTCGCTTCATATTGGGACAAAAATCTAAATAGTTCATCCAATTTCATACAAAAGTCCACCCTCCCCCTTCATATTTACTACTTGTTTCCTTTCATCAACAAGACCAAATCGAGGTCCGTGGAGAAAGCAGCCTAACCACAAATCAATATTTTAGATGATGTACAATTTCCTACACGTTTTTCCACACTCGGATAACTCCTCATCCAACCAAACAACCAAGTCCAGTACAACCAACCACAAAATTATGACCATGCTGTCCATCCCAACGTACATACTTATTGACACTAACAAAACTGCGTTTTAAACTTTGTCCTCTCCTAACCGTTAAATATGTATGTGTGTGTATTGCGTCAGTGCAAAATTTTGGACAACTTTCTTCCTTTTTTCCACCTCCTCCCACCCACACAAAGGATGAAAACATGACCAGCACAAAAAGTTGGATAACTAACACCACCACCACCAGAGTGGATCCCTTGCATCAAAAGTTTAAACTTTTACAACCATCTATCCACGGTGGGTGATCGTGGCGTGGAGAGTTAACTCCCATCCACATCCACCTCCCATCAGATCAAACATCCAGCTAACCAATATAACTTTACTTTACCACTACCATTATGCTTTAACAAAGTATAATAATACCCGCAGATTTACGCCCACATTGAAACCTTGTGATGGAACAAGATGAGAATATCATTATGCATTACGAGAATATAAACCCGACTGCGAGTGGATGATATGATGGTCGACTTTGTAAGTATATTGCGAGTCAAAAGGGAAGCAGCAATGATCTCCTTCTTCTTCGCTACATGCCGCAATGCAACTCAATGTATAAACTTAGGTGGACACAAAAGATGAAGGAAGAAGAAGTGGAAGAACTATTCATAATGCGACGCACGTCTCTCCAGCCCATCACGGAATATCTACATCATCACACAACACGCTGCCTCCTCTCCTCGAGTAATTTCCACTTTCACTTTCTCCACAATCTGTTCGCTTCTCAAACCGAACAAGGAACGCCAAAGCCACCACCACCACCGCCCTCATCATTCTTTTCGATGCAGTTGATTTCCTCGACGACTTTGTGCGTGTGCACAAATCCGACAAAATCCACGCATTTTTACAAGTTTACTACATACCTGATTTGGACAAACACTGGATGGAGGACGAACTTTGGACATGGTCACGAGTAAAAGTACGTTACAAATCAAAATCCGGGCGAAACTTTCTATCAATAATTTTGTCTTTCTCTCATGAATAAACCAAGGCGAACGACCAAAAGCGCACTTATACAAGGGACAAAAAGTCTTTATCTCGATCCGAATTGGGAAAGAGCATCCGAAAGGAAGCAACAAATTTATATCGGGGACATAAGCCGTGATTTGTAGGAGGGAAAAGGTTACAATAATTCTGCTCCGTAAGCCGGAGAAAATAGGAATGTGGGAAGGAATAGGATTGCACTGGAAACGTTTAATGGTCATGTCCACTCATACTTTTAAATAGTGCAGAATTTTTTATGGTAAAAAAAGTTACGTAATTTTTTTTAGACTTTATAAAGATCCTTAATTCCTAATGTGTCAAATACTTTACTAGCGACATGATTAACCTGTTGAACTAACAAATCTTTGAGTTTTGCCACTAAATTATGATGTGTATGCGACCATAAATAAGAATTGTACTCATTACATAACTTAAAATTTGAATATGTACCCACTAATTTTCCAAGTAAAGATCTAAATTCAACAAAATAAACACCCTCCCCCTCCATCCTGCATACATATTGAATTCCTCATTTCGCTGCACTTTCCAGATAACACGATACTGCCGTTGTACATAAGCATTTATTCTCCTTATCAAAGTGACGTCTAGACCGGAAGCCACACATTTCCCTTCTTCCATCAACAAAGATGGGAGAGAAGAAGAGGACATGATACGTACCATGTGCATGAAACTTCTTGCGTCATCTTCTCCTCCATGTCCACAATCAAATCAACTCTACTTCCGCTAACAAAGTGGACGTCGGATGTGGGATGTCACCCAGTGGGCTACCCAAGCCGTAAGTGTCTCGTCGTCAACTCCTCCCGTGAATATTTCCACTCAAAATGCAAAGGAGCAAGGTTTGTCCGCCTTTTTGCATACTACTCTCGAAAATGAAACACCTCTTTCTTTCTTTCTCCAAGAAGAAGAAGAATGCTGCCCAGAGGAGAAAGCAGGAGAGCAGGAATTTTTCCTACGACCCATTGCCTCTTGGAAAAGGATGACACAAAGTGCTACTTAAGTCCGAGGATGCATGCACCACGCTTAACTCATACTCGAACATATCTCGCGTAACGTTATGGTCGGCACATACAAAACTTGACGTGGCATTACATTACGTCTCGTACGTACCAGCGACCAGTGGCCGCGGAAGCTGGGGGACATTAACATTGCAGGATAGGGGAGGGAGGGGTTTGTATAGCATGGGGAGATGATGGGGACATCGAATAACCGTGGGGACATTATCCTCACACTTCCGGGGCCACTACCACCGACGGCAACGGCACCACTAGGATTAAATGGACACGGGAGATTTAAGTGGGACATATATTGTGACGACATACATACCCACGAGTGAGGAAGAGGGGGCTACTAGATTAGCCTAAAATATTGAAATACTTACAGAATTCGAGAAAGCAGGGGAAAAAACTTACTTGGGCCTGAACCGCATTCAGGAGGGGCATCGGACCATCGGACCCCTCCCATTTTGAAGCTATACGAATTGTCTCTTGCGTCTTTTCTTGCACGCTTTTAGTATCGTCCAGCAAAGTCAGCTCGTAGAACTCTTGGATATCTGTGACATGGATATAAATAAATAAGGATGAGTTAGAGTAATATCCAGATATGCACATATTTTGTGCGAGGCAGGCAGGCAGGCAAGCAAGCAATAAGATCTCGTGATAAAAAGAAGGATTTTTATAAACACAAATCACACACTTTCCTCGGAATGGAGTACATGTGACATTTTATAAACTATTGAGAATTCCAGGCTCTTATGCAACACAGAACGTTTGCGTAGTTGGTGCAGAAGAGAGTAATTCAATCCCAACAGTCGGGACGATTTAGTCTCACAAACGGGTGTAACGTAGTTACTCCTTAATGCACTCGGATACCTATAGCTCTCGTCTGGTTTAATCATGACGAGAATCTCTTTACAGTGCATCTTATCTAGTTTGTTAACTCGCACATGTTCCCACTTTTGCTTTGCACCTTAATTTTATTTACTTATTTACTAGTGTCATTAAAAATTAACGGGGAAGAACAAAAACTGCAAATCGAAAGAGATTTCGTGTTAACACAATGACTTTCACTTTCTTCTCGTCGTGTGAATCTGCGTCATAACAAGATAACAAAGTAATAGAGAGGTTGAGCAGGAGTCATTTTTTGTGATTGTGATTGTAATTTCGATTGTAGATGGATCACCTAGAATATATTTACAATCAAAATTACAATCACAATCAGAAAAAATTACTCTAGCGCAAATGTCCATAATTGCAGTAGAAACAAATGGGAAAATTTACAACATTGCATCCTACTTTTAGCAAGTATTGTATAAAATTTCATTTTATGATAGAAAATATTAATCAATTTTAATTTGGAAGGAGCAGAATTTTATCATATTTCTGTTTCTCCCGAGTTAACTAGTTTTTCTAATAAACTTTCAATATCTATAGAATTTCATTTGCAAACTTTCTCTCTCCTGTCAACTCGTACATACATTTTCACATACAATCAATTCGAACTTCCATCCATGTCAAGGTGTGCACACTTATTAAAACATTTTAGTAATTAGTTCGTCAACTTTTGGGGAAAACTTGCCCTGGAAAAATCTTGGAATGCTTGAACTAACAGAATCTGAACCCTGACCGATCTTTCTTTTGTTAAAAGTGGTGGTGAAAGCAGAAGGAATCTGTCAACCCCTTTCTTTCGTTCGACGTCCCGCAGTGCGCACCACGTTCCGTTCGTGAAATGCAATGCACAACTTTTATTATGGACCCTGTTTCACAGCTATTCATCAACCTACATAAACTTGATTTACTTTCCATTTTACGTTGTCGCAACGATTTATCACCCCCGGTTTCAACTTTACGGGAAATAATATCACTTTTACTCGGACACTAAAAACAATCTCGTAATAAATATGACTTGATATTCTGTAAACTTTCTACGTGCTGCTAAAATACCGCACTAAACGTCCTCCTACTTTTGGCGATTACCACCTTTAATTAAAATGATATTACGTTTTCTAACAGCTCTCATCAAGCTCATCTCGCCTAGAGTTTGGCACACTCTTAGAAATCTGGTGTTAAAATTATACCAAGCGGTATTATTCATGCATGACTCTACCAAAGTGGTATTGATACAGGGTCAGGCACGTAAGATATAACGATTTTGGCCTTGAATAACCCCGGAACGGTTTGTCGTAGCGGGTCAAAATTTTAAACCGACGAGCATGTTATCCTCAAATAGCCGTGTGCAAAAATTCAACTCTCTACTTTCAAAAATGCCTCCCCCACAGTCCCCAGAAGGTGAGACAGTCATTTCAACTTGTTCCAAAAAAAATTTCGCCGGTGTTTGCAAAAAAAATTATTTAAATTTTCTGTTGAGGAATTGGAGTGAGTTATTGGTGTCAATTGACGAAGAACTATTTTCCCTACAAGTTACTAATTGGGTTCGAAGAGCTTAGTACACGACAAATGCCGAAAAAAAATTCAAGAAATTTGGTGGTTTTCAGTGAGGAGAACTTTTTCAAACATTTTATGGTTGTGGGTGCAATGTCCGGTCGTGGTATCCTCCCACTTATCAAAGTCCCGCAAAAAGTGAACGTATCTGCAAAGTATGATGTGGACCGTGTTTTGAAACCACTTTTAGAATAACACTTTCCTAAATTGTACGGTGAAAAAATAAATAAGGTGATTTTTCATCATGACTCAGTGACTTCGAAAACGACAACGTTGACTCAAGATAATGCAAACGACCTTGAACCTAGAATGGGGATAAAAATCATTTCGAATAGTGAAATACCTGTAAAATCCCCCGATATAAGTCAAATGGATTTATTTGGTTCGAATACTTGAAAAGAAAATCTTTTCTGCGGAGACCGAATTTTTTAGACGGAGTTTGGAACGAGTTGAAATGACTGTCTCACCTTCTGGGGGCTGTGGGGGAGGCATTTTTGAAAGCAGAGAGTTGAATTTTTGCACACGGCTATTTGAGGATAACATGCTCGTCGGTTCAAAATTTTGACCCGCTGCGACAAACCGTTCCGGGGTTATTCAAGGCCAAAATCGTTATATTTTAAGCGCCTGACCCTACTGTAAGTAATACCGTTAAGTTGTACCTCGGTATTAAAGTTTTACCATATTGGTAGCAAATTTGTATAACTTTAAGTAATACCAAGTGGTAGCAACTTTAATACAGAAAGATCAATACTTCATCAGACTTCTAAGAGTTCAGTGGGTGAAATAAATTCAGAGAAGTGAATTTAATAATTCATTTAAACACGGAACAATGAAATGACACGATGACTGACTACTTGTCGATCACTTCATACTAAATACTCTCTTGGCCAATATTACAATTCAAGAGTTCAGTTGCAAAATGAGAATTAGAATTCAAAACTCATCTCATTTCCAGGCAAGCTAAACTCCTACGCACATACATGCATATTACTATACCTACATATTTACATGAAGCACTAGATATATCATCATCATAATCTCTATGCTGTCCTAGTCAGTCAACTTTCACCGCAAACCGTGGTCTGTATTAGCATCCGGATCGAATCCTCGCCATCAAAATTCTACACTCCAACCGCATCGCATCGCATCGCATGGTGCCACTTGGATTAAGGGTTACCGTTAAACCATGAAAATTGGGAATCATTATAATTTTGGATGTTCATTCTCATTCTGCAAAGCGCAATGAAATTCAACGTTATTGCGGTTTCCAGTGGCTGCGGAAGCGTGGGGACAATGTCTCCACGCTTGTTAGATGCCCCCATCATCTCCCCATGTTATATAAACCCCTCCCTCCCCTATCCTACAATGTTAATGTCTCCACGGCTTCCGCGGCCACTGGCGGTTTCTCTACCCGAGAGTAGTAAACCAAGCTCGAATTATGTTTCAAGTGTGAAACTCTCTCCCTTTTGTTGAGAGGATTCTAAATTTGGGATTCAAATTCGTCCTATTTTCTTGTGCGTAAGTGCAAGCTCAAACAATGTGGAGGAAGAAAATACAAGACGGTTGGGCTGGATTGGCCGTATTTGAATGTAAATCAAATTCGGGTGTAATATTTAAGTAAGCGACTTGTTGGAGAAGGATATACATAGATCTTTCCCTTTGATCTAGTTCCATACGTATGTAGCTCATCATAATCGATATGTACTAAATCCTACTTAACCCAAATATGGATCCTCAATGGTAAAAGATGTTAAAAATACTTGTCATATTTCACCCTAGAAAGGATTCATTCGCATCACAAACCTCACTCGAATCATCAAACAGCTCAAAAATCTTTGCATAACACTTATTCACTTTTACTTCCCGACCAATCTCGCCCACACGACGAAAATAGCGTTCACCTTTCCACCCAAATCTCGTCTCCCACGTAGTCAAATTTTTGTTCAGAAGTTGCATGCACAATAAACGTATCAAATGCTGGCTCAATTTCATAAAAAAATTGCATTATGATTGCAAGACAATCCAAAAAAATGCTCTCAATTTCATAAAAAAAATTGCAGTATGTACACCCATGATTGCAAGACAATCCAGGAAAAAACAAATAAAACTGAGGGTAGGGATCAAAAATCCATTCGAAATAAATCTAGAAAAAAATAAAATACCCATCTCTCAAAATGGCAGAAGCTATTACATAACTTGACATTATTTGCATTCTCTCCATGATCGGTTTCTTTCTTTCTTCCCGTCTCTCCCGTGTCACAATTTCTGTTAAATTTAATAAAAACATGATAAATAAAATAAACATAAAAATGGCAATACGATTTCAGGAAAAAACACATTTTGGGGGGAGCAGCAGTAACACAAAAATTCTGGAATAGGATTATTATTTGATTGCATACACGGATCAAATTTCAATCCGACTGCAATTTATGGACCGGATCTTCATATCTGACCCGGATTGATGGTACAGAAAGGAAAAGTTGGAATTTGGGGGCATAAAATGTGAACCGAAACCTTAAACAGGACACGATTTCTTTTTTACTTTTTCTCTTCCGAAATGTATTTTGCCTTCTTTCCACTTGAGACCCATTTAGGAAAAGAGAATAATAATTCTCCAGCTTAGCATCATCATCATCGTCGTCGATACATGTACGTATACTTATTTAGAATTGCAATAACTAAAGAGAAAGTAAGTAGCTCAGTCCACAGAGCACTTTCCATTCGGAACAACTAAACCGTAAACAGTACAATGACTGACTTATATAACAGACCGACCACCACGACACGACTTGGTTGGTCCCTTAACTGGCGTTTCACAATGTCCTGTAAATTCTCATCAAAATGGTTCAGCCAAAAAAATAAAGGGAGCCGAAAAGAAAGTCCAAGGAATTGGGGCGGTATGGGAAACTACCGAGTTAACGGGCTCCACAAGAACTTAATCTCCAGAAACGATTTAAGTCAACTCAACTGTTTCATGGGATAAAGAATGTGACTATTTTACAACAGTCAGATCCATTAATATCATTTTTCAAGGGGAAAGAGAAATAATGCGCATTGTTACTCCCATCCAGAGTATAGATTGGTTGGTGGATAGAAACAAAAGTGAAAGTAT